GCTGACGCAAACGTAATTCCAGTAACATATTGGGGTAATTAGCGACTTTAGTGGTGATTAAGTGTTTTAATAATAGCATATTTGCGGGACTATAATCCCAATAAAATGCATGAGCCAAAGAAATACTTGTCATCAGTCACCAATTCATACCGAGTTTGAAGCTTTGAGAACTGTACCGTTTGATGCGGAGTAGTTTAACTTTGTACAGCATAATAATTTAGCTCCTGACCGATTGGTATTGGTCATATGCCTATCAAGGACGTAGCTTTGCCAAGCTTTGTCAGTGGTTTGCTCAACATCTGTAGTGACGTAAGGTGCTTTGTTCTTCAACCATGCACAGCTTTCGAACAAAAGCATGTTGTGAGAAGGGATATGTGTGTGTGTACTTTATTGCGTACTTTATATTTTCAACAAATGAGAAGTGTCGTCTAGGCTGTAGTGTATTTGGGTTTCAGGAGCTTGGCGATTGTTGTTAGTTGGATGTTCGATGTGCCCTGCAAAAAAATTCCTTAAGATGCTTGAATATGGGAAATCAAACGTATCAACAACACCATACCTCGTAGATAGCACCAATCTTGCAATCCCTGTAAAACTTCTCACTTGGCATATCCCTAGTGAATCCAATACCACCAGTCCATTCTAATGCCTTACTGGCAGCCTTTTCGGCGATTTGAGATGCATAGAGTTTGGCCATGGCAGCTTCCATTACGAAAGGTTTGCCTTCTTCTTTTAATCGGGCTGCATTATATGTCAGGAGACGGGCAGCTTCGATTTCCACTGCAACTTGTGCGTATTGATGTTGCATTCCCTATTGTGCGAGAGGAATGAGTATGATTCAACAATGTTTTTTGTTCTTCCCAAGTTCGTATTTTTGCTTACTTGGTAGTCACCAATAGCTTGACCAAATTGTTTTCGTTGGAAGGTGTATGGCATTGCAGCATCAAAAGCACCTTGTGCCAAACCCAACATTTGAGCAGCAATACCGATACGTCCTTCATTCAAAATTTCGATGGCGTACTTGTATCCTTTACCGATTTCACCCAATACGTTCGCAGCGGGTACTTTCATTTCATCAAAGTTCAATACGCAGGTGGATGATGCTCGAATGCCCAACTATATCAGAGTGCAAACATTTGATCGCTGCACATAATCTCATGACCGGATCACTGTTTCATGAACAACAAGTGTACCTTGGATTCCTTTTTAGCAATCTGTACACCCATCTCCTTCTCAACAATGAAACAAGTGATTCCCTTGTAGCCCTTGGAAGGGTCAACATTGGCAAACACGAGGAATATCTCGGCTTCACCAGAGTTGGTAATCCACCTAAGCAAAGTCCATGAAGACTTGTCAGTTACAGGAAGACAAGGTCATGATATGACAACACGTATCGCTTTTTCTGCAATCTGCTGCGTCTACATTTTTGAACCACTGATTGTGTAATAATCTCCATGTTTGGTAGCCTTGGTGGCCAAAGCGAAAGCATCTGATCCTGATCCAGCTTCCGATAAGCAAAAGCATCCAACCTATATGGAAAAGTTGTGTCAGAAGAGAGATGAGGCAAAAAAAGATGTCGTGGTACCTTGTCGGTTGCAAGTGCTGTCAGGTACTTTTGCTTTTGAGCCTCAGTGCCGTATTTACGGAACAAGGTGTTGACCAATGTGTTTTGGACATCGCAGACAACTGAGATGGAAGGGTCGATTTTGGCCAATTCTGTAGCAGAAGTAGACGTGAGCAATAAAACGACAAACATATTACATCAAATGCTTTCTAGTACCTTCGACGACGACGATGGCGGCAGTGAATGAAGTGTTTGATCCACTGTATTCAGCTTCAGTCTCGATACCCATCAGCTAAGAAATAATGGTTTCCTTTTAAGCTATCAAGTGTTGAACGAGCACAGGGTATACAACATGGGAAGTAGCGAAACACGTACACCATTGTCAAATAGCCCCTTCAAGACTATTGGATCTAATTTCTCCTTTTCGTCCATTTCCTTGACTTTGGGGCCAATGACTTCTCGAGCGAATTTGGCGACTGTGGGTGTAATTGTGAAGCTGTTAAGCTGAACGACGCACTTGTATCTTGGTACGAGCAGCGAAACTAATAGCATGGATCGTACCAGTTTCACGCAACATGTTTTCTTCTTCCGTGAAGACATTCAAAGAATTGAGGCCAGATTCGGCGGCAGATGCTTGCATTCTGGGAGTAGTTGACGAGACATATCTATAATAAACAATGTATTGAATGATGAATTGAATGTTAGAACGTGGAATTTGAATGAAGTCACGTCCACAGCCTGCTTGAAAAGGTGAAAAGAAAACAGGTGGACAATTTACCGTGCTAATGCAGCCTGTTGAGCGACTGAGGCACGGGTGGCAGCTCGTAGGCCTGTTCGCAATAACGTGGCCATGGCTAATTGCTCTAAGCGATCGGAATGTGGGTTCTTACTTGGTTGCTGTTGTCGTGTTGAAAATTTGGAGTGAGCAACAAGCACGAGGCAACGTGAAAAATTGCATCGCTTCTTTCATATGGACACGGAAGCAGTCTCATATCGCATATTAACGTGTAATTTGTACTTTGAGCGTGTCCTCCTTGCCTTGGCTGTTCTCAATAAACCGGCATGCTACCTGCAATAAAAAATATGGCAAGCCGTAGTACTCACTGGCTTCGGTTTTGTCGCGTCAAGGCTATAATAACTCGCGTCCTGGAATAGCCTTGATTATGTTTGCATTCCGTAAATCATGGAATTGCGGACTCGATGTGCATCTGCTGCTGGTACAGGACTGACTCACATAGCAAGAAATATCTGCCATGTCGGGTTATAAAGAATGTGCGTTATCTTCAAATAAAGACTGTTCCTTGCCACAATCTTACTTGCCTTCTCTACCAATATACTGGTGCGAACTTAATGAGCGAACAAAACCAATCAATGAAAATACTGACTACACCTCAGAAACATATCTCCTTTCCGGAGCTGCTCTCCTTTCTTCGGCACTGCCAAATATACTCGACATCTCTCAATTTCGTCCGCTGTTGCCAGCAATACAAATCACCCCATCATCTCATCAATTTCACTGCCTGGAAAAGAGCTACAACCAACTATTCAAGGCAGAACTTTGTAGAGAATTCGCAAAACTCAGGACGCCAAGGAAATGTCTGCCAGCAGCTCGTCGTCCGACAATTATGGCCTCCTGTCTTTATCGCCTGAACCGGCAGCAAACCCATTGACGCAGATCATGCAAAACCGAGCTTCCCCTGCCTATTCGGTCGCTTCTAACCAGATGTCAATCAATATAAATTATCAACCGCAGCCATTGGTTACTATTCACAAGAACTGGATGCCTTCCATACAAAACTCGTTGATACCTCTGGTGTTCGAATATGACCAGGAACATCAACAGATATTGAACAAAGCAGATAATCAGATTGAGAAAGCATCGAATCCAAGTCACTCGGATGACGTGAATGTATATCTGGTTGCTGCAAGGGATGTTTTGACCAAGGTACAGGGTGTCTCATACTGGATCACCTGTGGCGTACTGATTTTCTCGTTACCTCAATTAGCAAATTGAGTACTATGAAAGGTCTTTAAACGTATTGGCTCCCACTTCTTCCAATGGTGTTCGTCCACACGTTGTTCAGCCTCAACACCAAGAGCACGACGATGACGACGAAGACGACAGCGAGGCTATATCTGTCATGAAGCGTGGCCCCAAGAAAGCTAAACCTCCGCAACAAAGCAATGCGCGTGGTATCTCTCGTACTCCTCGTGCTCACAACAGGTACCACCTTATCGAGTATAGCCTAATCTCGCACTTGATACTAGCTGCTTCTCTCCATCTTTTAGCACTCGTCATGATTCTGAACAAGTGCAAATCTTGCTGGATTCATACAATCACAAGCAATATTTGACTCCAACTGGTATGTACTGCATCTACACAAGCAAACAAACAAACGACCGTCAGCTTTCTCTCTGATGTAGCCCCAACAACAATACTGACAGTCCGACTGTTTTTAGAACGTGTCCGTCTCTCATCTGAAACAGGCTTGACCCAAAAGCAAGTCGTAGCTTGGTTCACAAATAAACGATCTCGAGACCCATCACGTTCCCAAGGAGAAACAGTCCAAGATCGCTACTCTGGTGCTGTGCCATCTTCTAAACGTGCTTCTCGTCGACGTGTATCACTGGCTGAAGAAGATGGGCTCTCTGAGGATGAAGAGACTGCTGAAGAAGACTCGAGCAACTAGCTGTGTGAGAATTTTACTAAGAAGAAGTGTTCTGGTTGTATCTGTAGTGTGCTGGGTGCATAATGCTGCGTGAATCTGTACGTAATCGTGCGTCTTTGATTGTGATCATTTGCGGTAGTAAAGAGCCTCGTTCCAATAAATCCCGGTGCGCCTCGACCCAAATACAGTTAAATCACGAAATAGAGTTATGTCTGCAACGTGACAGTTCGTTCTGCTCTTTACTCAAAGGCGTCCAAGCTAGGAAGTTTCAACAAATTCGTCAGACAGGGACTTGAGCCGAGTAAGAGCAGTTCCTCTTAAAGCTGAGCTTTAAATAAAGCTGAGCTTTAAATGTCGTTATAGCAGACACTGTAGCCAGTAAAGGGTCGCTTTCATCAGGCGTTGGAATTGGGCGCTTGTCAAGAACCTGATCGCAACGTTTGGTACAAAGATAGCTCAGTCAAGCTAGCCATGGCCACATATAAAGTAGAGATAGAACACAACAAGGTTAGGAAGGAAATACGTGGGGAATTTGTTATTGGTCGAGGTAACTTTAGAAATGTGTTCAACTCTGATGTGGTTGACAAAGACGCAAGGTATCATCCAGATCTGCTTCTTTTTAGCAAGGAACGAGAGCAATATGTCAGTTTACTCACGACTTCTCCATCTCTTTTGATGTAGAATCAGCAAAGAGCACATTCGTTTTAGAGTCGATGCTGCTGCTCGTCGAACAACCATGAAGGCAGTAAGTGCTGCTGCAAGTTTCTGCCGAACTATTGCTGGAAAACGCTCCAGTTCAAGATTTATCAGTCAACGAACGCTTCAAGCCAAACTGTATTACCTGACACGCTTCAATATGTCTAGATTGGCAAAAATTCTCCTGTCGTGAATGCAATTGTCATTAATATCAACCAGACTGTTGATCTCAAGGATGCAGATATGGTCGTCCTCGCCCAACTTGAAGATCCAAAGTATAAGCCGGCTCATATCAGAGTCCATATCACAGAGTCGACTTGTAATACATCATCAGCAGCTGGACTGAATCTTGGAGGTAATGCAACTACAGTCGCAAAAGATTCAACTACGAAAGCTGTATCTAGTAAAGCTACGAACGGTAAAGCTGCATCTGGTAAAATCAGTACAGATACCTCCAGGAAAGACATACCCAGTACAGCTTCCTCGTTTCGTAGTAAACCAGTAGTTAACGAACCCCCACCTCGACAGCCAACACCGCCACCACCGCCGGAAGTAAATGTGAACGCAAGTACAACTCAAAGACCATCATTTGCTGTCGAATACAACTCAGACAGTGATGATTCCGAAAACAAGATGGAACTAAAAGGATCGGATGAGTCAACAGCAGGAACAGATGATGAGAGGCAGGAACAAGACGAGAAGGAAGATGCTGAATCCGATGATGCTGCTGATAATAGCAGCAACGCAGATGAGGAATGGTTAAAAACACCACCATCACCTGATCTTGGAGCTGATATTCTTCGAGAAATATATGGTGATGACGTAGTGTCTGTCGATGATGAAAGTGATTCCGGTTCCGATAAACCAAAGATTAAAAACGCTACAGCTAAACGGAAGAAACGAGGTGCTGATGGTACCGAGACGTCATTGAAACGAGTCAAACGTGAACCAGTTGTCAAGAAAGAAGCAGGCTCGAAGCCCAACAAACGTGTTACGCCGTATGGTGTCTTCTCAAAAGGACAACGTAAAACTGTGAAGAAGGAGCATCCAGATTGGAGTGCTAAGGAAATAACGACACGCCTCAAGTACATGATGACCCGTTTGAGTCCCAAAGAACAGCAGGTCAGTCAATCAAGCAAAAAGTGCAGGCGCTGCCTCGGGAAATACACTATTGTCGTTTACTGACATGACCATACTTGCCATTCAATAGCGACTCCAAGAAAAAGCAGATCGATATAATTCTGGTCAACAGGAGGAAGATGATGAAGATTCGGAATCAGGCGAGGAGACTGATAAGGAGAAGAAAGTCATAAAGAAGGAACCAGAGTCTTCTTTTCCTTCTAGTTGTGGCAACAATCATAATAATAATGGAAACGCTTTTAGTACTGCACCCACCCAAACACAAACGACTCACAAACGTCTCCTCATAAGTGATGACCCAGATAATGACGACGACGACGATACTCCCATGCAGTCACCATCACGATCATCACCATTAGCCAAATCACCAGTCCGTGATAGGAAACGTAGTATTACTATAGAAGACGAGAATGATGATGATTTCGAAGACTCGGATATCAATCGACGTGTGTTTGCCAGTTTTGAAGCAAACAAGAAAATGCTCGTCAAGAAGAAGGAGAAGAGAGTAGCAGCACCGGCACCAAAAATACCGCCAAAGGCTCCACCAAAGGCCAAGAAACGTGTAATGCTAGATTCAGATGACGAGGAGGATGATAATGATGGAGACGTAGAAGAACCATAACCAGATGAGCATCCACGTCTTGTGATTGCACCTCCCGCTGTGGAATATGTGCGTACAGATAACAGGTTTAAGCCAGTTGATAAACATCAATTTGACGACGATGACGACATTGTAGGGGACCAACAAATCAGCACTGTAGTACATATTTGTAGATCACTGCACATATATTTTTATATAGCATTTGGCACATACATAAGACTCCTCTGATACCCACATCTGTCCTTCACCCAGCGTTACTTGTTGAAGAGTGTTTACTACCACGCATTGTTTCTTCGCGCTCTTTTCAGCAATTGTTTAGACAACCAGTCAAGACCTTCGCTCAGACCCTCACCAGTTGTGGCGACGAGGCTTTGAGCATACCAATCACGTCCAGAATGCTATAGCAAAAAATCCGCACCTCAGTCGATGAATGTTTCCTTGATGGATGTCAACAACAATACCAACATTATGATCATCTACCAAACGTACCCTGTTAAGACCCAACTCATCTGCAACCTTCAATGCAGGAGCAGCAAACGGTAAATCCTGCTTGTTTACATACAGCAACACGGGAATGTCACCCAGCACTTCATCACTCAGGAGACGTTGTAGCTCGTCACGGGCTTCCGAGATGCGGTGAGGGTCTCGGTCGTTAGAGTCTACCAAGAAGATCAACTGTGGAGAGGGAGAGACAGTGTGTGAGAGGCGAGGGGTAATATGGGCTTTGCAAAGAAGCTTTTTTTTTGCAATACAAGACATACAGCTTCAGAGTTCTGGAAATAGTGTGCCCATAATGGACGTATTCGTTCTTGGCCTCCTACCTTTAAAAACAGGAGCGCCGTTGAGTGTTGAGAACACAAATCAAACAGGACGCAAAACGTTCTTGAACTTACATCCCAAACAGTAAGACTCAAGCTCTTGTATACGACAGTCTCGACGTTGAATCCAACTGTAGGAATGGTGGTGACGACCTAGAAGTGATAACCAAAAGCATTGGCAAAAAAAACAAGGAGTCTTGACAACCTACTCACTTCACCCAGCTTCAACTTGTACAGAACCGTCGTCTTTCCAGCACCGTCCAATCCGACCATGAGGATTCGGCATTGGCGTAAAGACGTGAAGCGTCCGATAAGCGAGGAGATCCAGACACCCATTTTCTTGTGAAATTATTTAGGGAGCGTAAAGTGAATACTCGTTGGTGTTGATCATTCGAAAAGGGGCTTGCTGTGTGTGGTGGAACTGCGGAGTTGTGTGTTGGAAGTGAGGTCAATCATTCGGGATCTTGATTTAGGAGGCGGTTTTCCAACTTGAGCTCGTGACTAAGCAAGTCACTTCCATCCCATACTGGGTATTTTGCAATAGCTACCATAATCAAATGTTGAAAGAGTTTGGCGGTGTCTGTTGCGTTTGCGGCAGCCAAATAAATCACACCAGCAAATCAAGAATGTAGTCGCAACCACACACACTCCTACATTCAAACATAGTAATTTAATTTTAATACTTGAACTTTTGCTTACATTTGCAAACTACTGTATCATCCTCCTCTCTGCATCATACGTATACCTCTTAAACCTCAACACCAACTTGTACCCTTCACTACCACCACTAGCAACATCATCCAACGATTTACTACTACCACTACTAGCAGCAGTAGAAACCTTCTTCTTCGAGGTAAACGCCTTCACAACATCGTCTCCAATACCAGACGGAAAGTAGCATTTAACCTTCCCACTTTGTCCAAACGTTGATTCGATTCTTCCTGCACTTTCCATACCAGGTTGTCCGTCTTTACTTGGATGTATCAGGTGAATGGCCATGTTAACGAAAGGCTCCATAGATGTTTCCTTTTTGAAGAGGCCTTTTGCGATGAGGGTTTTGTCATCGGTGATCTGATTGGTAGAGTTACAATTTTAGAGAGCAAAGAGGACATCTTCAGACCGAACGCATACCCGATCAATAAATCCAGTCCTCTCCTTCATCTTATATATCTTGAGACCAGGCAACACCGTCTCTTTATACTTGACGTCTGTGATGATTTGCAAAATGTGGCCGTGAAATGCTATTCTACAGGTATTGGCATCTAAGACAAATGCAAACGTTACTATAACATCTTTCGAAGACATTGGGGATGAGACTCACGAATATCAGTATCTAATCTACTAGCAATGTACAATGATTTAGTCGGACAGGTAACAGGTGTTTCAAATTCTAGAAGAGCCCAGAATTGTCTTTGCGGTGGATTGTCTGGTAGTTCAGCTTCATGAAGGTATTCTCGAGAAAAGTCAAATTCTATTATTCAAAAAGAACAGATTTTTGCATCGTTAGGGTTTGTCATCGTCAAGGCGGACTAAACAACGTTTACCTGGTAGATGCGCCCGTCCAGATCGAGACAATGGCTTATCAAGTGACTCGGATGAGAAGAACTTGGCTGTTGCCATTACAGTTTCATGGCCAACTGTAACTACATTTGTAGAAACAAAGTTTTAACACCAATAACAAAAGAGAAGCAGCCCATAACGAAATACCATGCATCAGAGTTTTGGACTGACAAGCTCCTTTAAAGAACCTCACGCGCTCCACATAAATTAGAGCAGCGACAGCAGTCTTGACAAATCCAGGCGTGGATAGTACTCCACGTTCCATCAAATCGGCATCCATTTGAGCAACACATATTCCAACACGATCACCTTGAATAGCTTTTGTAACAGGTTTACGAAACATTTGCATGGATTTGACCTTTTTCGATATTTTAAGAGATGGGATTTCGACCGTCTGTTGTGGATTTCGAGCGCAAAAGAAAAGTCGGAATGTAGGGTCCAAAGACGCTCAGCGTTGTAAGTACTTACGTCACCAACTTTTACAGTCCCTTGCAACACTGTACCCGTCACGACAGTGCCTTGACCCTTGACAAGAAAGCAATGGTCTACTGAAAAGACGAGCTCTCCGGTCTCTTCTCGTGGCGGGACATCCACCATAAGAGATTTCAGCGCTTCAACAAGCGTATCCAGTCCAATAGTTTCAGCGACTTTGCCAGGAGTATGCAAATCTGTAGCATTAACAGAGGCTGCTACGGGTATGATTTGTGCATCTGGAAATGACGTTGTTAATAATGTCTTTTTGATTCTTGTTGTCATCTAGAGCAAAAAAAAACGATCCCAGTAAATTCTGGTTGATGTGATGATTTAGACCACTGTCTATCATACTTTGAGTATCCTTGAATCTCGTTCTTCAGGAGGAAACAAGTCAATCTTGTTCAATGCCACTACCATCTTTTGAGTGGTGATTTCTCCAATAACCAGACACTATGAAAATGAAAAGATTGTATGTGTTCAGCGAATAAAAATATGACGTCCCATCACGTATGCCGCCACCTCGGCAGTTTGCGTCTGGAATCCTCTAACAGCATCCACCACCAGTATCATATAGTCAATGATTTGAGCACCTAATGTTGTATCAACACCTTTGTCAAACTCGATCACAGTTCTTTTCAGCGATGGTCCGTGAACTTACCACCAATAACGGTTCGTACTAGCGATGCATGGCCCGGACAGTCGACTAGCGTGACTTGTATGATATCATATGGTAATCCTATCGTGTTGTTGGAACTTTCAACCAAACAGCTTCGTATCGACTCAATCGAGTGTTCGTTGTTTTACCCTTCCAAGTACCGGGCGGCTGCAATGAAAATGTTGAAAATCCCAAATCGAGCGTGATTCCTCGTTGTTTTGATTGTGGATGTTTACTACAAACACCAGATGTTACCTTCAAATTAATGTCGTGAATTGTCACAAACAATAAGTACTGAAACTTTACTCGAAAGCGGCAGTGGAAGCTTGTGAGCTTAGAGCTTTAGCTAGGCTCGTCTTGCCTGAATCAACATGTCCCAAAATTCCAACATTGACGTTAAACACTCGCAGTTTCTTAGTTTCTGAAGCTGTAGTAGCCGGTCGAGAGCTTAGATCCTTGTTCGATGCATTTAAGTCCGAAATAGATGATGAAGCTGCCTCTTCTGCTATGTCATTTGCCATGAAAAGTGTTGCCGAATGGCGAATTGAGCAATTTCCCAAACGCAGGCGAACGTATACTAGTAAACCCTTGATGCGCACTAATTCGCATCGATTTTTCTGATATATCCCTACGTGTTTTAGTATAAGACGCACTGTTTCAGAAGTTACCTTTGATCGAAAGGGACGAGCAAAAGCAAAGTAGTTGAATTGACAGACGATAAAGGTGGGACATTTGGCATGTATTGGAGCAAGAGCACGTCCTTTTTGCATTCGTTTTGGTGCCTAGACGGAAAACCGGAAGCACTTTGTGCGTGGGCGTTGTGCACGCTGAATCACTTGCTCCAACTCAACACACTAAAGTTCCTCCAAAAGCTCCACCCACAACAGGAAGAACCATACAACGCTAATTCAATCTATCCAATTCCTCAGCAGCACGCCATGTCCACTACCTCCTCTTCTGACCACAACGGCCTTCTCTCAATGTCACCTGAACCAAACGTTTTGACGCAGAGCATGCAACAACGAGCTTCACCGGCCTTTTCGCTAGATTCATCATCAAACCCGTTATTAATAAACGTAAATTATCAGCCACTACCATTAGTTACCATCCACAAAAGCTGGGTGCCATCGATTCAAGGATCATTGATTCCTCTAATGTTCCAATACGATCACGACCACCAACATATACTGGCTGAAGCTGATGGCCAGATTAAGAAACTGTCGACGTCGGCTCAGCCTGATGAAGTGAATGTATATCTGGTCGCTGCGAGGGATGTTTTGACTAAGGTGTGGTATGTTAGTCACGCAACTGCAGTGGCATCAGATTTTGACCTGTTTCATTTGCCATTTAGCAAATCGAGTACTATGAGAGGGCCCTGAATGTATTGGCTCCCACGTCTTCCGGAGCTTCTCGTCAACCTGTCGGTCAGACTCAACAACAGGAATACGACGATGAGGACGAAGAGGAAGACAAGGAAGCTATACATGTTATAAAACAACGTGGTCCAGCTCCAAAGAAAGCTAAAGCTCTGCAACAAAACACTGGTCGTGGTGTCTCGCGTACTCCTCGTCCTCGTCCTCATAACAGGTAGGAACTTTAAAACCAAGGTTTGCCTAATCACCAGCTGGGAACTGACTTCTGTCTCCATTTTCTAGTACTCGTCATAATTCTGATCAAGTACAAATCCTGCTTGATTCATACAATCGCAAAGAGTACTTGACTCCAACTGGTCAGTCTCGTCCTCAACTGTGTCTTTTGGTATAAACCCAACATTGACAACCAGAATACTCACAATCCATTCTTGGTCATAGAACGTGTTCGTCTTGCGAACGAAACTGGCTTGACTCAAAAGCAAGTCGTTGCTTGGTTCACCAACAAACGTTCTCGAGACCCTCAGAGGCAACAAGGAAAAACAGTGCAAGATCGATACTCTTCTGCTTTGCCCTCTTCCAAACGTACGAAACGTAGTTCTCGTCGTAAATCACTTGAAGAAGAAGAAGGGTTGTCTGAGGATGAGTACTTGGGTAATGAATAAGATAGAAACTAGTTGCTGGGACATTAGTAAGACGTCATGGTAGAGAGTGCTTCTTTGATTATATCGTAGTTTGCTGGGAGCATGGTGCATGGCTTGAATTTTATATACTTGGTTGGTCTTGTGATGCTTCTTCTTGTACATGAATATATATAAGCCATCATTCAAGTTAACACTGGTTCCCTCTTCTTGCATGCTTGGATGTCACTTTCTCGGCCTTGATTGTCATGAGCAGCTTGAATGAAACATCTGTATAACCCATCCGTCGAAGTTGTGTTGTTACATATCAAAGTTCCGTTTATATTTTGTAGTTGAGAGAGAGATAGATTACACACATTAATATCCATATTGAGTTTAAATTCAGCAACACGTGGCCCGGAAGGCTACAGTTTGGCCTTTACGTCCTCACCATCAGACGAATTGATCTCTGAAGATCCAGACATCATATTCACTTGTTCGTTGTCACTACTCTTGTTAGAAGCTTGTTGACTCTGTCCATGTGACTCTTGACTGGTCGATTCTTGAGTTGCGGACTGTCGTTGCTCTATAGTTGCATCATCATCTTCAACAGGAGAGTCCGATGCCTTGAGTGTGGACGGGGCTACGCCGAAATCTTCGGGAACATCACATCCATATTCAACACATATAGCTCTGATGAGTGCTGCATGATGGATTGCGTGGTGTTGAACCTAAGGGGCCAAGATAACGGTTGGTTTTCGAGGACTGCATCAAACCTCTACGGCGTGGTACTTACAAACCATAGCTCTCTGGCGTACGTCGAGGTCATTGGCACATCGTCACGACTAGGATCCACAGTACACATCAGAGATACGGGCTTGTCCGGATTAGTTATGCTTCGAGATGCAACGTCAATAATACGAAGCAGGTTGGTTATTGCGATGCATGCTACAGCACGATCACTCTCAATCGGGACCTAAACCAGGTAATCAAGATTAACCGAACGTGGAGGACTTGCAGATGAAATCCAAAACCTTACATTTCGTTCGCGAATGTCATAGTTAACGACTCTCGCATCCGTATCGTCAGAATCGGTATCCCTATGGATCAGTGCAAGTCCCTCAAATAGGATACGAATATGATCGAGTGCATGTCTGACGTGCTTTCCAATCTAACGGTTAACAGTGTGGTGTGGGTTTGATGAAACTGACACTGAGGCGAAACATGACGGGCAAGATGCTTACGGTAGATCCGGGCACGACTTTACTTTCCCTTCTAATGATGGGAGAGATGAGGATCAGCAGGTTTCCAGGGCATTCAGATGTGGTTTGTCCGGAATCTTACGTGAAAGTAGCATCAGACGGCAATGACTCGATGAGGCCAAGAAACTGGTGCAAAATACCACGAGCGGCGGCATGGAGAATCGTCATTTGGATTGCTCGATCCATTTTTAATGATAATGAAACTAAGGGTGTGAGTGATTTGAGTTGGCTTTTCATTGGCAAAAAACAAGTCGATCATGATATGGAAGAGTCAAAGAATTGGAAGTGAATGTATACTTGCCTGTCCGTAAGATGCGATATGCGAGTTTTCGTTTCCTCCGCTGCACTCTTCGCTTCGACTGTTCCCAACTCGTGATTTTGTATGAAAAGATCAATTCTGCTTGCATTGGGAGCCCGGACACTCCAACGTAGTGTAGCAACAGCATTCATTTCATTTTATACATGATTAAACTTATTAAACATCTAAATTCACTAACGAAACACGTCGCAAACCTTCACAATTGACGCACTCAAATCCACAATCAGTTTATTAGCAGCGCCACTAGAACCTCGTGTCAAAGAGGTGGTTACATACAATACTCTGGCATTCTAATTCTTGGAACACGTTCGATTGTCTTTATCCGGTCGGTGCAAGTCTATCTTCTTGATTTCCTGATTTGAAACTCAAAACGCTGAATTTTGGACTAGGGAAGAAACCATGGCCGGCCTTGTATTCGTATCCACCGCCAACAGCGTGATGTGTACTGTCATATCATTCTTTGGAATCTTCTTTTTGGTACGTTATCGACACCACTATCGACTAGGGATTTGGTATTGTTGCAATGTGAACCGTTCAGGTTGAGAACAACCATTCAGGAGGAGAGAAAGCACAATAATATGAAATTTGCGCTTTATTATGCGGAAATTATCCAGTCATCGCGTCCAACTATCGCTGGTTGTTTGCTGCAAACATCAAATTCAAAACATCACAACTGATTCACGTTTTATTGCATCTCTTAGCTTGTACTTGGAACTCTCTTCTCCAATAGTGACCCAATACTGACTGGTGGTCATGGAGCTCCAAAAGATCCTCAAGCATTGGGCGGCGCGTGTTTTGGAGCTGCTGGCATTTTCGCTGTTCTTTTTCTGTTTTGCTATTGTCAAGTAAACCCTCGACCTGCATCAATTTGCGCATATTTCTTCTTCATTAATACTTTCCTTCATTCTTAAACTCATTTAGGCATACCTGGCTCAACGGCAGGAAAGAGCTGAACGCGCTTATGGTGCGCTATAATCTAGATTACTGGTCTCACAACTATCAAAACAGCATCACCTGCCCCGAAAGTCTGTCTTGATTTGCATCTTGTATATAGTTTGGATAGTCTCAACAAACGATTGGAGGGTTAGAATTATTTTACATCAAGAAACCTTTTGAACTGAATTGCATGCGAATGTTGTTTTTGCAGAGTGTATTAAGATGGAGCTCACTACAGCTTGCTGCATTGGAGAACATGAATCTTGTGGACTGGGAAGGTATCAATTGCAAACGAAAATCGGTATGAATTGTCGATGAACAGTGGAGTTCACCTTAGTGAAAGGAACAACGTGGCCCAGCCGTTTCAAATTTGGATTGATCGTCTTGCACCACTGCAAGTAAAATCGTTTCAAAACACTTGTATTCGTTATCTCAAGCTCGTCTGTAGGAGTTGGCACTGGTACTTGGGTACGGGCTCGCTTGAGTCTCGTTCGTTCTGCTATTGGAGCTGGTACATCCTCATCATCGGGTTCTTCCACCTGAGCCTTGTTCCTTTTCATCTTCGTCATATTTAAGCAAAGTGAGAGTGAAGAAAACACCCAAGGAGATAAAATAGAGAGACTGTCGATTTCAGCTTACATATCAAAACTGCATATTAATTTCCCAATATCGAAAGCAAAGCACGTCCAGGTCTAACACCTCTCCTCTTCCTCTCTGCCGACTAACGGTAGAACAAGGTCATTGTCAACACACAACCATCCCATGAATTTCAACGTCCAAACTACTCTTCCTCTCATCCAAGTCCAATACCGAATTCACCGACACAGCAGCTTCACAATTCCAATCTAAAATCACGTACAGGTGTGTTTTGCCATCATGAAAGCGTGGAATTGAAACAAATCCACATTGATCTACAAGATCTGATGTGTCATTTACTATCAAACAGGTATGGCGACAATGCCAAAGTCATTTCTACGAGTTTTATTCAGATCTAGATAAAGATCTAGACTTGTAGAATAGTGAAATGTCAGCGACCGTCAATGTTCAAAGTTACAAGAATTTTGAAGCTCGGTCTTAAAAGACAACAGGAGCAGCACCTACCAAGAAGGTAGCTTAAACGGAACCATATCTGCATTATTTAGCGCAAGTTGAAGTCGCTATGCAGCTATTCTCTCTGTGTGTCAGGCCTCTAGTCGTCTTCGCGAACTGACAAAAGGACATACTCAAAGCACTACATGTATAATAACCCTCCCGAAAAGTAACGCAACAACCTTGGACAAAGACGGCAGAAAAAGTCATATGTGGTGCGTATGGCCTGTGATTATTATATTCTTCAACCAAGTTAAAGGGCGGCAACAATGCATCGGCCTGATCCAAATCCTACTTGGCAAGATTCAACGACGACGTGCTCACAGTCGCCCCCAAGTCCTTCTTGACCATCTTGCTCATCCATGTGATGCGTTGACAGATCTCGTCTAAAAAAAGTTTGGGTTGGCAAAAATAGAACACTAGACCCTTTGCGCAATTCGTTCCGCCGATAAAGTAAACAACTTCCTTCTCGGCACTTACAAGCTTCATTGGCACTCAAAGCTTCCAAATCATATGACTTGTAATCTCGATCCACTCGCTGCACTAATAGCTTGAAGTTGGCTGAATTCGATTTGCTCTTGCATGACACCACAGTAGATATATGATGAGAATTCTAGAAAGGCGGAAGAGATGAGTATACGAATAGACTTTGAGTGGCAGATGAGGATTTTATCACAAGGAAGGCTTACCGTTTTGGCAGATTCGAACAAGGTTCTATTCTCGGGAGCCAACACGTGAATGTATTCTCCATCTATGGTTAAGGTTCGTTCCTGCCGTCCCATGAAATGCTTGTGCATGACCGTGTATTGCTAGAGCGAAGAAGGGGGTTAGTCAAACCCATTAGGACGTCTGCAAAAGCTTGGAGCATACCTTATACATGGACGTGTACTCGTCCGATATCATGAATTGAGGTTGATTGTCTCCCGTATTGACTTCATCAGGAGGTCTTAAAAAGATATCACCAGCTAAAGGACAGCGACAATAAAAGATCAGTAAATCACGGCAGTACGACTGCAACTCACAACAGGAAAACATATCTCTTCGTGTGCTTACCTCCACCGCGATCCCTCTTCAATATACAAAATTCGGTCGTTTTCAAATCTGTCAAAGTCTTGTCTAATGGGACATCCGTCTTGGTATCCACCATCTTCAGCACATAGTCCTTGGGTTCATATTTCCTCTTTTTACACACTTGCTCAAAGACTTCCGACAAGACTGTTGTACCAGGTAACTGCAGTGTGGTTGTTTGCTTGACTTCGATAGTCGAATACAGATGCACTCGGATATACAGGATTTGAGATGCTGATGAAGCCGATGTTGCAGACGTCGGTGTTGATTGTGCAGTACTACTTATGGAAGCTGATTTGATGGCAGCTACTCGACGTGTCCTTTCAGCAGCCACTACTCGACGTTTGGCAAATGCGTGAGATCGTTGATTTAAGCACACAAAACCACAAGGAGCGCAACCATGATAACAGCTTACCTTGTTCGGCTGATGCTTCACACAAGGCGAACTGATCAAATGCAAACTTGTGTATCTTCCTCGACCTTTCCAGTGCTACAGAGAAACAGACGGGTTAGAGGATCTTGACTGCAATATCTGTCCACAGTATCCTGTGATTACCTGGAAAGTCGTCATCAATACTGCCATCATCTTCCACAATCCTCAAACACCACATTATAACATCACACCCCTTTTCGGGTAGCGGAGGTGTTATGCTCTGATTGATGTACTCGTAGAGGATGTATCCAATAACGTCTTCTACCGTAGCATCTCTTTTCACTTTAATCATGAGTGGACGAGGATGATGTTCTCGAAAGGGTATGTAAATCTTGATTCTCACTGAATCCGGATCAGCTTTTCCAGACTATCATTCAAGGAAGAAGAAAAGAGTGAGCTTGCTTTCCGAAAAAGCAAAAGAAAATGTGTATCGCTTTTCGATCGAATATTCAAAACGGCTGTCAAATGTCCACAGGATACTCACAAAGCAAGAGTACTCATCAGCAAACGGATTATTGGTATTCGCCCTTTCATTAATCAGAGCAGTTAATGCTGATACTGGTCGTGTACCCAAATGCCTCAACGAGTCTAGTAACTGTGAAGCAGATCCTCGCATACTCGTAACAATACTGGCAGGTTTGCCAGACTCTGACCTTGGAAGGGTAGGATGACTACTAGTAGTTGCAGCAGTATTTTCAGCTGCCAATCGAGACTCCGATCTCGTCAATAGTTCTCGTTTAGCAAACAAGTTGGTTTGGAATAATTTAGATGCTGAAGAATACTGCGATGACGATTTGGAAGGATGACGTGAGACGGTCGGACTAGGGTGCTGTTGTGATGATCTAGATACATTTGATGCTCGGGCTGCATCTGCCTGCTGTTGTTGTAGCGGTTGCTGTGACGGTCGTCGTGATTGCTGTTGTTGTATTACTGGCGCTGTGGGGACTACTGTATTCAGAGCTTGGGCAACAGACTGTGTAGTCAGAGTGTCTGTCGATTCAGTGACTCCTCCTGTATCAGGCACCGGTGTTGATTCTATAGAGTCACCTTCTACTTTTATGACAGATTCCGGTTCAGGAAGACCACTACTGGTCTCATTGCCTCCTAAATCTCTCATACTCAAATTCAATACTTCAGGAGCTACATCATCATGATCATTCAAGTATTCATCAGATACGTCCGAGTCTTTACTTATTGAATATGCCATTTCACGTGGTCCACTAGCAGCTATACTCTGTCGAGCAGAAGCACCAGTAGCCGATATTGTGGGCTGTTGAGAATCACTAGGTTTATCATCTTCTACATCTGCTGAATGGTCTGATTTATCATCTATAGCATCAGCAGGTGGTTTCAAGAAGACTTCGTTGTCGTCATCGTCGTCGTCCTCGACTTCCTCCACTACTAACGGTGGCTCTCCATTTTCTCCAGGTTGTCGTTCTTGTATACTGGTTTGTTGTGCTATACTACTAGACTCTGATTCTCGTCGTCGTCTCTCGTCGACTGTTACAAGCGGTATGGTATTCTCCTTTGTTTCTGTTTCGGGTGCCACTTCTGGAGCAGCAGCAGCAATCTCCATAGTGAGTGCTTCTACTTTACATTCTTCGGCAGCCAACTGTTCCTTCAATGCTTGTAGTTGGACTTGTCTTCGAATTTCAGCTTGTGCTAGAGCAGCTTCTACATTTCTAGGGCCAGGATCAGCCGAGTTTCCTACAGCAGATTCAGGTCTATTTGTATCTGGAGTCTTTGCAGACTCTGGTGACTTTATTCCTTTGGCCGATTGTGGAGACATGATTCCTCTAGTGGTAATATTCGATGCACGTTTTGCAGCTATTGTGTCGGTGGTGCTCATGACACTCTTTCTAGCGTCGTTGGTAGACTCTTTGATATTTAGACCCGACTGGCGTAGTCCTCGTGGTGAGTTTGACTTTCTTGTTATGCCGGTACGAACCCGTATCCTTCCCGGGCCAGCAGCAGCATTAATAGTAGCGGGTTGTTGGAGTAGATTTTCTTCGATGAATTTACTCCTGTATTCCATGTTGTTGTTTGGTTGTTCAGCTAGAATGTAATCATTATCAGATTCAGTGGGCAGTGTAATGACTCGTTCTGTGAGTGGGTCTGGCACGGAGAGGAGCGTGGTTCGCATCCGATATATCAAATACTCGGCATCGGTAATAAGTGACATTGTTTGTTGGTTGTGGTTGTTTGGCCTTGGAAATGAGGTTCCTAGATTGCAAAAGTAACTGGTCAGTTAATAACCAGTTCGCACATGGCTCGATGAAGGCACTCGTACTTGTGTTATATAGATTTAATCCCGACGCTGATCAACCCAAACTTGTTCCTTCAATGAGTGTCTCACCAGAGACAAACTGTCTGGAAGTTGGGAATGCTTTGAGAAATAAAGTCAAACCATCGCCGAGAAGCGAAGGAGTTACAAGTCGAATATTGTTTCAAGTACTTAGGTCACGTAATTTGATCTCCTTTCCTACACGTGTCACGATTCTTTCCTCTAACTGTCGGCAGCAGGTTTCGTTCATTGAAAAGTACGAGATCTAGGCGGTGCCAGTCAACGTGAAAACCCATTTACGCGTTCCAGAAGCTATAAAAATCATTTTGTCGATTTCTTTTCATAGTACCGTCATGTCTCATCATCATGTCAACTCACAATTCCACAGAAAGACGTGGAGAATGGCGTCTTTTGAGGCAGAGTTCGAAATTGGCCTTCGAACGCTGAGAGATGCGTATCAGAAACATGTAAGAAGTTATATTTCAGCAATTTTCTAGACATGCAGCAACTACTATCCTACTGAAAAACACTTTCATACTAGTTTGCCACAAAGGAAACAGAGATTTCACAGCTCCGTGCGGAGACCACAAGAAAGGACAATGATCTAAAAGGTAGAAGAAAATACAACTGATCCGACCGGAGATCTACGTGTTCCTTTGCGAGATCAAACTGCTCCTCACAACATTCAACATTAAAATCAACATGCTTCGTCATATCTAGATCTGCATTTGAGAGTCTCTCAGCTGGAAGCACAACTTGCCAGAAGTGACAAACGTATAGCTGAAATGTCACGGGCAGTAACAAAGCTCGCAAACTTCAAACAGAGTGTTTTGGAATCCATTGCTGATGAGGACTTTGATGTACGTACTGGGTCATATCTGTAAATCGTAAACATCTCTGAGACTGTCTCGCAAAATAGGAGGTCCGAGCAAAGTCTCGAACGAATGGATTTGACATGGACTCGCTACACGGTTCTCCTATTACAACACATAGTATGCTCTCTCCTCAATTGTAACAGCATCACCGCATGAACTCACACGCCTGATTCTCCAGTGCAACCTCCATCTCTCCCACCATCACGCTTGTCTCTTGGAGTACAACAACAACCACAGCAGAAACCAGGGATTTTGTCTCCCGAACCACACACGTTCTCAAACAATAATAGCAGTATCGGTGGCCCAACAACAAACACATCTTCAGCACTACCACCAAGATCTATGGCTAATGGCTTGTCACCGAAAGCTTCTTCTCGAGTATCTATGGGTCTTGATGCTACAGAAACATCTGCTACTGCTGTAACTACCTCTGCTAACGGTGCTGGTGCTGTGGACGGAAGAGAGTTCTTTAAGAAGGCGAGGGGTATTCTATCATATGATGAGGTGAGCTCATGATAAGTGTTGTGATGAACCTGTCGTGAGTGAGTTAACCAAACCCCTTTCTTCCCATAGTTCACGTCACTTCTATGGAATGTTCGTCAATACAATAATCGAGAGCAGTCGAGACATCGCACATTGGAGAATCTAAATGAGCTGTTAGGAGGTGATGTGGGCGAAAAAGGTCATGACCGTCAACAATTATATGAGCAGTTTGAAAAGCTTCTCAGCCATTGATCATTGAGGCGTGGAGTATATATAGAATGTTTGTAGGCCTGAGCTGTGTTGGAAGTTGTAAATAACAAATCAAGTTTTGGGTTTGACAACAAGTAATCCGATGAGGAAACGCGTAGATATTTGAGTTATGTGAGTTTACTGGGTCCTCTGAGTTATGTGAGTTTACTGGGTCCTCTGAGTGCTGCGGTGTGATTCTTTGTTGGTTCACATCATCATCCGCAACTTGCACAATTAGTTTCAACAAGCATCTCAGAAGATGAGGCCAGATGCACATCAGCAACAAGCGTCTAGACGCTGGAACAAGGCGCATCCTGAAGGGAGAGGCGGGTCAACTACCGGACGCGGTGGAAGAGGGAGAGGAGCTCCAAAATCAAGAGCTTCTTCATCAAATGTTGCGCCCAACACTACAAACTCAGAAGAGATTGACCATCAAGAAGATGGCGATGATGTAGATCTTGATAATGAAGAAGGCCTTGGTATGTTATCCTCGTTTCCTGATTACATTGTTGGTGTTTTGGAGCGACATGAAAACCTCAAACTTTTTACACTACCGCTTTCGCTAACCTCTTGTATCAGGCCAAAAATCATTCTCGAGGAGGAAGATTGAAAGCAACGAGTATCGTTTTGTGGAGGTTGTTGAAGTTGATAGTGAGTTTGCTGACTGGAATGCACCAATTTCATGACATTACCACATTAACTTACAATCCTTTTTCGCTCTAGTTGATGGTCGCCCAGTTCCAGTAGAGCCGGATCTAGAGGAAGAGGCTTCCAAAAAGGTGATGGCTGAAGTCCGAGAATCGCTAAAGACAAAGGATAATTTTCAAGAATTGAAGTTGAACGAGGATGTTGATATAGGGAAGCTGGCAAATAGTTTAAAGCAGGCAGCTCCCGTTAAGAAGAAGCTGGACCTGTCGAAATTCGCAAAGGCACCTGCTTCATGAATGCGTGCAACACGAAGGAACAGCATCTCACTTGTAAACTCTATTATTTTATGTTGAGTATAAATTATGTTTGGTCTCTATATATAAACATGTTAACACATGCAAGGAAAAATACTAGTAGATACAATCACTTGTCGTCATGTTGTCTCGAATTCCTCCGTGCGATTTCTTTCAGCACATAGTAACCCTCCACTTCATCCTCCACCTCAATCTCGTCCGCGTCTTCTTCATCATCCTGCACACGTTTGTAAAAGTCCTGCTCTTCATCACCATTCCTGCTTGTACTAGTAGCAGCTGATATCCGTAAGACATTATATCCCAAGATTCCAACAAGACTAATAACCAGCCCGACAACATTCATTGGAGTGAAGGTATCTCCAAACACGGCAGTTGATATGGATATCGTGATGATTTCTTTGACGATACCAGCTACTGAGAATGTCAGGACTGATGTGGTTGTGATGAGCAGGTATTCTACCATTGTCAGTGCAAATGCTATGAACCCTCCGCCTGTTATTATCCCAAGAGTCGTTAAGGCTGATGAAGCAGTGCTAAAGAATGGAGAGGCGAAGACAACTCCAAATCCTTCGATTATTGCACAGGCTGTAAGGAGACTAAGAGCCATGACTGGCGCTAATATGACTGTAGTTGCCAAAGGGTTATTCCTATTTTCAAAATGGTCAGCTTTTAATCCTGCAGTAGCTAATGTTGAATGATAGTCATGGCGTTTATTACATTCCCATATCTACTCTAGACAAGAGTATTTGAGTCAATGCCCATCTGAATCCAGATGCGATAGTAGCTGATTGAACTTCAGCAAATCCAATCCAATTGAATGATGTTGTTCCTGAACCATCAGAAACCATTAACGCTACTCCAATTACAATGACCAGCACAGACAAGATCAGATTCGTGGATGGTCGCTCAAGACCAAAGAGGATGGCAAACATCAATACAAACACTGGCGCAGATGATTTCACCATGGTGTAGAAAGAAACACTTATTTGCTAAAGCGCAAGAGAAAACCCGTTTCAGGGAGGCTCTACGATACACAACATTGTTGTGTTTGTTTCCAAAACGAGACACACACCGTAAGGCTTGTAGCAGATAATCCGATATCGATACCAGTAGCCATGCCACATGGAATCACACGAGTAAAGAACAACCATATTGAAGGTGCATGCTTTGGTCGGTAGTTTGACAAACAGCACCCTAACACAAGCCAACTCAGCACAGTTTGTACAATCATGTGCCATCCAGTCTAGACAGAGACATGATCAGATCAACGTGATTTTGGTCGAGAGCGTTAGCGAAGCGTTCACCACGAATAGAGGGTACCCAAATCCGTGGTACTAACGGTCGAAGAAAAGACATTCATCAGTATCAATATCGCACTTAATTACAAAACAATGGTCTTACATTAGGAGACAGCAACCACTTATTATACATGGACAGAAAGATTGATGTCGTGTACCAGCCGCAGATACTACCAATGTAAGGGCGTAAAGCTAAGGCTTCAGCTCATCATACTAACAGAAAGCTCAAGCTTACTAGAGAGTGACGAGAATGGCCTTCCTCTCCCAACCATCCTCCCATTTCGTTGGTAAATTGTAAGTTTTGTTTTTCACGTTATAATCAGATTCTTCTTCGTCTGGCTCGTTGACCATGGTCGACGATAAGGTTGAGATATAGTTTACTAGCTTGCTGTGGGCATCTTGGTTGGCTTTCCCTGTGGGAATGATGTTTGAAACTTTGCAAAATGTAAGTATGGAGAGCGAGAAGGGGTTCCCGAACTATAGACGTGCAATATATATATATATATTACGGGGCTAATCACGTCCATTTCTGGATTAGAAGCTCCTGAATGCAAATGCTTCTCATCAAAGGAGTGTCATTGTTGTCGCAACCTCCAAATCGACGAAGATGACTTATTATCGGATGCACCAGCCCAAGTAATTCATTCTAGAGCTGATGAAATGACGGATCGGATCTTTCCTCATAGAGACATTCCCCACAGGGCCAGTAATAGCTAATCGCGTCAACAAACACTTCACAAAGAAGAATTGGTGCTCAACAAGATGGATATTTAAACGGAGCAATCATTTTTATTTGTGTCATTCAGAAACATAGCTTTTTTAGTACCATACGTAAAGACTTTGAATAAGATTCATTAAGACATCGAGGCCCAAACCCACAGAAGTCACCACATATTAATGGCTTATCGTTTTCTGTAGCCACGTGAGAACCAGAGACCACAATACTAGATGATGGGCAACAGTGTCAGGAGCCAGGAATCAATTGTGTGTGAAGTCAAGTTGGCGGCTTACCGTGAAGACGACAAAGAAGACCAAGAGGGCAACGTTAACGGCGTATGATACATTACCGCAGGCGATACAGCCTGGCTCTATACTGTTGAAAGCAGCCAAGAAAGTTTGAGGATCTACAAATGATGAAGTTCATGAAGTTGTTAGTCTCTGCATCATAAAAGTCAACAAAGTCATCCTAAAGCCACGTACTGTAAACACAGATTTCTTCGACAGGTGGGAACAACGCCTTGGTGGAGTTGTCAGAGGCAGCAGTCACGACTGCATGGGTAGCAGAATCTAGTGTATTTAACATTGTTAGCAAACTAACTCAACATGTGCAAGTAAAAAGGTCACATACAGAGAGAGTTGTAGAGTGTGAGACCACCCATGAGGGTAGCATTGGTAAGGATTGCGGCACCACCTTTAGCAGTTGTTGATAGTTGGGTCTGTATAGCGGTGATTGCACCGTTCAATTCGGTAGCAACACCAGCTGGAGGGTTGGTAGCCAACACTGCGTTGAGGGCGGAGATTCCGCTGAGATATCCGCTGACTGTGCTGACTGCGACGGTGTCGGAGGCGTTAGACACGAGGCTACCAGCAAAAGCACCCTGGTAAATTCCGGCATATATAGGGATGATGGAAGCGAATGGGAAAGCTTGGTCACATTTGACTGGCAAGTCAGACTAGAGAGGGAATTAAAATCAGAGGATGCAAAGTGGTCGCAACCGAGATACCAAGTAAATTACCGTAATGGTGTAGAGCACATATTGGTAGGTCCATCTCCAGTAGTTGACATCAGTGAGCCACAATAATCCTTGACTGAAAGATCCGAAGGGAGCAACAGCACCAGAAAAGGCAAAGAAGACTAGACCAGCAGCCCATAAGACAGTATAGGCTTGAATCAAGGTCTTGCACCAAGCTAGTAGAAGAACCGGTCAATCAGTCCACTTTGGAATAGCAACAATTTTGACAAGCTTACCAGACCATCCTTGAGCGACGGCGGTTGAGACCCACATTCCGACAAACATCATAGCATATGTAAGACCGAACTTGTTGACAGGCATTCCTTGCATAAAGTAGACGATGACGAGCAAAATGGTGGTAATTATGGTGGTAAATAGACCCTCAACAACGAAATAACTGAATTTGAAGGCTTCAAGTCAGTACTGAATGGAAAAAGAAGCGAAGTCCAACCTCCACTTACGTTGCGTAGTATGGAAGTAAAGTGTAGAAGGCAGCGCTGAATTCTTGAATATACAATTCACGATCCTCCATAAACTGGGGTACGGAAGCAATGGCAACGAAGTTAGACAAGAAACCGAAGGTACCGACACCGTGATTGATGGTGGAGAGGTAAGTCGAAGTGTGAGGGATTTGGTAGAAGATACCACCGAAGAAGAGGGCAAAGCACAAGAAGAGACCGAACTAGGTTACGAAAATCAAGTTAATAACGAGAAAATAGGGAGACGACGAAAAACGATTACAAGGAGCACTCACTCGACCCCATGAAGTGGATGGATTTCTTTGGTATCTCAGCAATACACGTGTAGCTAATAGTCTGAATTGGTCGAATGAAGTACGTTCCACGATGTGACTAGAGTGAGATACAGGGCTGTAATGAGCTTGAGCTAATCGTCGTTCCTCGGCATCATTGGCAGCAAACAGAGCTGATTTTTCATAGTATTCAGAAGCACCAACGGTATCGGCGGAGATGACATCGACGTAGTGTTCAATTGGGTTCATTAGAGGAGGGCATGGGAAACCGAATTCAGTGAAGTATTGCTCGCACTGGCTGGTTGCACCGAAGTAACAGATTCTACCACCACCACCAATTAGGATGACATTGTCGAAGAGTTTGAAGACAGCGTCAGCAGGTTGGTGAATGACTACTGCGACGGAGACGTTCTCAGACTTTACGTAACCTAGCACAAGTTCCATAGTGAAACGAGCACCAAAGTCTATGAGCGATGACATGTTAACAACAAGCTTCTTCAGTGCTCAAGAACAGCCAGATTCTTTACCGTCAAGACCAGATGTTGGCTCATCGAAGAAGAGAACTTTTGGTCGGGCAACCATTTCAATACCGACTTCAGTACGCTATCAGATACGTCGAAATTGTTAGCCCATTAGCGACTACACACAAACTATCAAGCGTCAAGAATTACCTTCTTTTCACCGGAAGATACACCACGAATCAGTTCATCACCGACTGGAGTATGTTGGGCTTCGGTCATTCTTAGAGATTCCAAGACTTCGTCGACACGAGCAACGATGGCAGCATGAGAAGTGCCGCGAGGCATTCGACATTCAGCAGCAAAGGTGATTGTTTCTCTGACAGTCATGGTGGGAATGTGGGCCCTAGCAGCAACGTCGGGTTAAGCGAATGGCTTTGACAAGCAACAATTCTTCCCTTTCTTACATGTTTACGAAAATGTAACCAGCACGCTTCTTGAAGAAGGCATCTGGTGGTGCTCCGTTTACTAGAAGTTCACCAGAAATCCGACCCAAAGTTTTTTGACTGGCAAGAATATCCATCAACGTGGTCTTTCCGGCACCAGATGCTATGGGATCGTCGAGTTATGAGCAAAGCAGTACAAATAGAACTTCACCAGCAGACACTTACGTCCAATGACGGCCAAAGACTCTCCTGGCTTCATGTAACCAGTTGAACCCTTGAGTGTTCTGATGGTTCGCTTTTGAGAGAACATGCTTCCAATATCGATGTCCAAGGCGATGTTTCGCCATGTAATGGTGTATCTGTATTAAATAATGGTTCTCATTTAGTTACGATTCATTTTTGATGAAACCTTACACCAGGCCAGGTGAAGCTTCAAGATTCACGAGACCAAAACCAAACTGAAGGACTCACCCGGCATGTTCGGCTGCTGCTCCGAGCTTTGCACTCGCGTGGTGTACTGCCAAGTCACCTTGAGATGCCATGGTTTGATTATACTATATATGTAAAACTGTTGCAGCAAAATTGAGGAGGTGGGGAACTAGCTTGAGGCAGAACAGAAAAAGTTTAATGATGGGGAGTGTTGGGGAAAGAGATTCTGAGGTAGCAATTTTGTGGTGGCTCAACTCACGTGGTGAAATTTAGGACGGAGTGGATTGGTTTAGACCTGTCACAAGGGTTTGGCCTACACCTAAAGTGGGAAAGAAAAATGGAAAAAGGTTGGGTGGTGTGACCAAAAGCCTGAAATTTTCAATCATGTTCACACATGTGACTTTCCTTCTTTCCCCAAATTAAGAAAGTAAACTTTTTTTTGCCTTGTGGCCTGCTCAAAACGCAAAAACTCATAGTGAAGGGTGGATCATCTACAAACTCAAAAAAAGTAAATTCTTGAAGTAAACCAAGACATTTACCAAGGAGTATCAACATGTCGACGGAAAAGAAATCTGTCGTAAACAGCTCATCGTGGGGTAAGCTTAGGCCAAATTGGTTTTTTGGTTGACGGCAAATCTGATGGCAACATTGAGGCCAAGTCGTCGAGTCCAGTGAACCTTGAATTCTAAAGTTGCTCTTGATTTTAATCTCACTTGTCTCTTCTCCTATAGCCGTCACTGACGACAGTCAAGTGCGCCCTGCCTTTTTCTCATTCAAGGATATTGATTGCAGATTGAAAGTCCGAGGTGAATGGAAGCAATTGTTACATAGTGTCAATGGATATGTCAAGGTGGGTGCCTATCCAAGTTTCAGTCTCAGTCTTCTACAATGCCGCCGTTTTTCTAAACGGATTGCTTCAAATAGCCTGGTGAATCTTTGGCCATTATGGGTCCATCTGGTGCTGGTAAAAGTACCTTGTTGGATGTCATTTCTTTCAGGAAAACCACCGGAGAATGGACTCACGATGTCCGTCTGAAGTATGTATTTAAGCCTGGCGCAACTGCTCACTACTCCAGCTATTAACCTCGTCTGTTTACAGCGGTGCACCATTGACTCGTCGTGAATTCATCCAAAACAACGGTTACGTTACATCCGATGACTTGTTGCCACCAGAATTGACCACTCGTGAAGCTTTGGAGTTCTGTGCTGCTCTTCGTTTACCTGAGAACTGGACCGCAGAAGAAAGAAAAGCACGAGTACGTGTTTTTTCGAATTGAGCCTTCTTGTATTGGATCTCTCTGTGACATACTGATTCCTGACGGGTTTCTTTCAATTTAGGTTGACGATGTCTTGACATTAATGCAGCTCACCTATGTCGAACACAACAAGATCGGATCTGCTTTGGTCCGTGGTTTGTCAACTGGTGAACGAAAGCGTGTCAACGTCGCCGTCGAAATGTTGCCAGTAGCATCAGTATTGTTCTTGGACGAACCCACTACTGGTTTGGACAGTGCAACCGGTCGGGCTATCATTGAAAACGTCAACGAAGTCGTCCGTCTCCGTAAATTAGCTTGCAGTAAGTACTTTTGCTAGTCGTTGTATTACTAGCGCCATTACTGATTTCCTGGTTTCTTTCGCAGTTGCCACAATTCACCAGCCCTCCTACACCATTTTGTCTCAATTCGACAACCTTTTACTCCTCTGTCCCGGTGGAAAGACCTGTTACTTTGGTAAAACCGCTGATGCCATCTCCTACTTCGAAAGGTTGGGAATTCCAATTGTCGGCAACCCAGGTAAGAAGCTGTGACTCTCTTCCGTTTGTGACAGTTCCATCTAACATCCTTCTCCATTTGCAGCTGAAATCTACGCAAACGAACAAGCTGCTCAAGCCGATTTCCTCATTTCCTCATGGAATGCATCCACCGAATGTGCTGCTCTTGCCAAGAGAGTGAACGACATTCACTCCGGTCAAGGCTCAATCAACAACTATGAAGCCTTCCACTTGAAAAAAGCTACATTCTGGGAATCAATGGGTTTCTATCAACTCGCTTCTAGTCGTATCCAATTCTACCATTTGATGTTGCGTCAATTGAGAATCTACTGGAGAAACCCTCTTATGTCTACAGTAAGTTCTTTTCGCCTTGCTCTCTTCAACCTGTATCTTCAACGCTTGTTGGATTAGACTCGATTCATCTCCGCTCTCGTCGTCGGTCTATTCTGTGGTGGCGCTTTCTATGGCCAAGATGCAGGTTTCTACGGTCACGTCGGAAAGGATGCTCTTGGTTTCACTATAACACTGATGGTTCCTGGATTCGGTTCTGCTGCTATTGCATACTGTACGTCAACTTTTTTCTTATGAAATCCTGCCCTACAAGCATCCAACACATCAGTTTTTAGGGCTTGAACGTCGTAAATCATACTACCACGAGGAGGCCGCAGGTTACTACAACAAGCTCTGGTACTTGCTTTCACAATATGTCGTCGAAGTCATGTTCGCTGGAACCATGTGCGCTTGCGTCGCATTCATCGCTCTCCCCATGGCTGGATTTGACAACAAGAACTTGGCTGAATCTGGATTTACCCTCTACCTTGAAGTAAGGAGCATTTGAAATCAGTTCCAGTGTGGTCTATTACTCACGTGTCTTTCTTTCGCATTAGGCTATTTGTGTTTCATCCCTCAACATGATCTGTGCTTACATTGCTGGATCCATTCCATACGCCAACGCTGCCTTCACCATTCACTACTTCTTCTTCCTCTTCTGGACCAGTACATATTGTCCCGACAACTTCATCTTACCCAGATCGTCACCCGTCAAATACTTCTTCGCTTGGTTGTCGTACGTAGCTCGTTGCTCCAATTTATGAAGTGAGAATTCATACTCACATGGCTGCCTCTTCAATACAGATACGACCGTCTGTGGTTCTACCCTCTCATGAGAAACGAATATCTCGGCCACCCAGTCACCTGTGCCAAAGATGAATTGGTGCCTCTTGATGTCAACACTGCCTTATACCAAGGATTGGGTGATACCGCAATGGCCATGGCCGTGAAAGCTGCTCCCGCTTTGAACTCCACCATCACCCCTCTTGAACACATAGTCTTCGCTACAGCTGCTCAAAACGCCTCTTTGACTCAGTTGTTTACACTCGCTGGAAGTGTTGCCAACTTTGGCGGCGCCCTGGCCGTCCCTGGCTTATCTGCTACTACCCAGGCTTACATCACTGGCCAATACACTGCTGCAGCTGCCGCTTACGGCAAGTATGCTGGTATTGATGCAACCAACGCTGCAACTCTCTCTTCCTCTGTTACCCTCGCTTTGGAGGTATGAAACTTGCCTTGGATATAACGTTTAATGCCTCATTGCTGCAAGTACTCAAATCATGTTTCCAATTTAGGCTCAAAGTAGTTTGGCTTTATCAGGCATCCTCATCTCTGCTCCAGTCCCAACAATCGACTCATGTCTAATTACCGATGGAGAGTCTGGTTTAGCAGCCATCGTTGGAATGACCTTATACACCACATATGCCAACGGCTCGGTCTCTGGTAAAGATGTCGACCACTGGGATGTAACACCTAATGGATTATTGTATGGTCTCCAAGTCGTCTATGGTGCTTTCTACTTCGTATTAGCATGGGCTGCTCTCCGGTCTTGCAACTTTGTGAGTCTCTAGTTGAAATGTTTGGATTCTGCCAACATTTATCTAACATACTTTTCCGTTTACAGAGACAAAAGTAGTTTCGCTCGTTGATAATCAGGCTTGAACTCATTGCTACACCAATATTGATGGATTTAAAATTGTAGTTTGGTATGATGATAATGCGCAAAAAAAATAAAATGGATTTTTAGTAAGACGTCAAATTCTTTGGTGTTGTCTCCTTCTTCAGACGATGCTGTCGTAACGCGGATCCATGCTTTGTTCCTCGTATCGTCTTTTGTGCTCAAATGAGTGTTGCTCAAAATGTGTGTTGGGTTTGATCCCAATTACAAACAACTTGACTGTTGCAACCATCCACGAATTTCAACAGAAAAAGCAGCACCGTTCTAACGAGCAACCTCTAATTATACAATGCGAAAGGTGAAATCTCAGCTTTGAACGCAAAAATCATTTTAGCCTATGTTGCAAACTTGGTTCACCTATGCTCTCGCTATCAGTATCCACTAGTATATGGATTCATCAGATTGTGGCGCATAACACGGTCGAAGTGCATCAACTAAACCACTATGCAAACTTGATGTTCGACACGAGGACAGATTTCAGATATCCTACCTGTTCCATACCCAGGAATATAACTGAGGAGTAGAAAGTCTCAAGCCACTACAGAATCTCTGATGATAAGTTCACCCTTGGATTTGATGGCCAAATCTTGTTTGAATTGTGCTCTCTCGTTCACAAAAGGTGAACCCCCAAAACCAACCCACTGAGTGACATCGAGACTGAGAGGGCTAGTATCGTCTTCAAAGCACTCATCTTTCTTGACTGATGTTTGCACTCCACCATTCCACCTATTGTGGAGTGGTGGGAGGCTTGGTGGCTCGGGTTTGGCTTCAAACTGGCTTCGACCACAGAACACAGGCTTGTTTGGTGGACTGCATTATGGCTTATATAGAGTTTATTGATAGTGGATTGTAGAAATGGACAGGAGAAACGTTGCTAGGACCATTCTACAAAAAAGTTTCAACACTTGGTGATCAGTTACGGTTTTCCACTACTTCGATTTCTTCTACTATTGTCGGACACGTACTCGACCTGTCGTTAATCAACATCATGAGCTACCTTTACATGATGAGCTCTCGTTCACAGCGAAGCAAGTGACACCCTATGACAAATTCAACGATTTCAACGAATACATAAATTCATAGGCAAATGGAGCATAGTAGTTTTATTTTTTTCATTCAGAAACATATCTTTTTAAGTACCATACGTAAACACTTTGAATAAGATTCATTAAGACGTCATGTCAACCCACTGAAGTCGTCAACCTCTATCAATGGCTTATCGTTGTCTGTAACCGCGAGAGTACCAGAGACCACAGTACTAGAAAGAATTTAATGGTGTTACAGGCCAGAAGCAAACGGCATTGAAATCGAATAATTATTTAAAGCTTACAGTGAATATAACGAAGAAGACCAAGAGAGCGACGTTAACGGCATATGCGACGTTACCACAGGCGATACAGCCTTGTTCTATACTGTTGAAAGCAGCGAGATACGTTTGTGGATCTATCATTAAGAGAGATTGTCAGCCTTTGCATCATCGTTTGCGAAGAATATGAGTTCAAGCACATACTGTAGATACAGATTTCTTCGACAGGTGGGAAGAGTGCCTTGGTGGAATTAGCAGCGGCAGCAACCACAACGGCAGTGGTAGCAGAATCTGGTTTACGTGATGTCAGTAAACAAGCTTTGAGGATAATTCAAGTGAAAAGTTCACATACAGAGAGAGTTGTAGAGTGAGAGACCGCCCATGAGGGTAGCATTGGTAAGGATGGCGGCACCACCTTTAGCAGTTGTTGATAGTTGAGTCTGTATGGTTGCAATAGCAGCATTCAATTCGGTAGCAACATCAGCTGGGGGGTTTGAAGCTAAGATGGTGTTGATAGCAGCAATTTCGCTGAGGTAGCCGCTGACTGCGGTAACTGCGACGGTGTCGGAGGCGTTAGAGACGAGGGAACCAGCAAAAGCACCCTGGTAAATTCCGGCATATATAGGTATGATGGAAGCGAATGGGAATGCTTGGTCACATGTAACTGGCAAGTCGTTCTAGAAAGGGAATTGAAATCAGAGGATGCCAAGTGATCGCGAGCCAGTTCCAAGTGAATTACCGTTATGGTGTAGAGCACATATTGGTACGTCCATCTCCAGTAGTTGACATCTGTAAGCCACAAAAGACCAGCACTGAAAGATCCGAAGGGAGCGACGGCACCAGAGAAGGCGAAGAAGACTAGACCGGCAGCCCATAAGACAGTGTAGGCTTGGATCAAGGTCTTGCACCATGCTAAAGGGCGAACGATTCAGCAACTTCAGTCGGGCTTGCAATAACAAGATATTTGACAAGCTTACCAGACCATCCTTGAGCAACGGCGGTCGAGACCCACATTCCAACGAACATCATAGCGAAAGTAAGACCAAACTTGTTGGCAGGCATTCCTTGCATGAAGTAGACGATAAGTAGCAAGATGGTACTAATGACGGTAGTGAATACACCCTCCACAACGAAGTATCTGAGGTCCAAAGGAGTAAACATTTAGTACATTGACCAACACAGCTGGTCCAACAAATGCCACTTACGTTGCGTAGTATGGAGCTAGAGTATAGAAAGCGGCACTGAATTCTTGAATGTATAATTCACGATCCTCCATAAATTGGGGTACAGAAGCGATGGCGACGTAGTTAGACAAGAAACCGAAGGTACCCACACCGTGATTGATGGTGGAGAGATAAGTCGAAGTGTGAGGGATTTGGAAGAAGATACCACCAAAGAAGAGGGCAAAGCACAAGAAGAGACCGAACTAAGATGAAAATTTGAATTCAATAACAGGCGCAGAAACGGAACTGAAGTATGTGAGAACAACACTACTTACTCGACCCCATGACGTGGATGGATTTCTTTGGTATCTCAATAACACACGGGTTGCCAATAGTTTGAATTGGTCCCATGAAGTACGTTCCACGATGTGAGTAGAGTGAGATACAGGGCTGTAATGGGCTTGAGCTAATCGTCGTTCCTCGGCATCATTGGCAGCAAAGAGAGCTGATTTTTCGTAGTATTCAGAAGCACCAACAGTATCAGCAGAGATGACATCGACGTAGTGTTCAATTGGGTTCATTAGAGGAGGGCATGGGAAGCCGTATTCAGTGAAGTATTGCTCGCACTGGCTGGTTGGACCGAAGTAACAGATTCGACCTCCTCCACCAACAAGGATGACATTATCGAAGAGCTTGAAGACAGCGTCAGCAGGTTGGTGAATGACTACTGCAACGGAGACGTTCTCCTTCTTGACGTAACTCAGCACAAGTTCCATAGTGAAACGTGCACCAAAGTCTGCAAGTTTCAGTCACAATATGTCAGAAAAATTCTTGAGAGCTAATGCAAAGAGAATACAGAATTACGTACCATCAAGACCAGATGTTGGCTCATCGAAGAACAGAACTTTTGGTCGAGCAACCATTTCAATACCGACTTCGGTACGCTATCAGATTCGTTCAAATTGTTAGCAGTTTTAGCGACAAAAGATTTTCCTCTGCTCAAAAATACCTTCTTTTCACCGGAAGAAACTCCACGAATCAATTCATCACCGACTGGAGTATGTTGTGCTTCGGTCATTCGTAGAGATTCCAAGACTTCGTCAACACGGGCAGAGATTTCGGCATGAGTGGAGCCACGAGGCATACGACATTCAGCAGCAAACATGATTGTTTCTCTGACAGTCATAGTGGGAATATGTGCCCTAGGAGTAGCTTGATTTTTAGTGTTTTGACCTTGGAAACGGAAGATTGATAGGAAACTTACATGTTTACGAAAATGTAGCCAGCACGTTTCTTAAAGAAGATATCTGGTGGCGATCCGTTGACTAGGAGTTCACCAGAAATGCGACCCAATGTCTTTTGACTGGCAAGAATATCCATCAAGGTGGTCTTTCCGGCACCAGATGCTATACAATCGTCGGAACATGAGCATGACATCTAAACCTGAGACGCCAAAGCTGAACAGCGAAGACACTTACGTCCAATGACAGCCAAGGACTCTCCAGGCTTCATGAAACCTGTTGATCCTTTGAGTGTTCTTATGGTTCTTTTTTGAGAGAACATGCCTCCAATATCGATGTCCAAGGCAATGTTTCGCCATGTAATGGTGTATCTGCGTTAAGCGGCCATGACAGAGTTAGTCAAGACCCATTTTCAGAACAAGCCGTCAAAAAGTGTTTCTGAAGACCAAACCCAACCAAAATCACCAAAGACTCACCCCGCGTGTTCGCTACTCTGTTGGAGCTTCTCAGAAGCATGGTGTAAAGCAAGGTCACCTTCAGTTGCCATTTTGATTGTACTATACTAGTTAAAATTTGTAAACTGGTGAAGTGATGAGTAAACCTAAACTGGAGCAGCTAAAATGGTTTGGTTGTGTGGAGTGCTGGGAGAACCAAAATTTCAGGCAAATCTTCAGCCTTTGCTCTTTTCCCTGTCAAGGGTGTAGTGGAAAAAGAAAAGATTTGGCCAGATTGGCAAGAGGGGTGTTGGGAAGGGCGAAAAGGAAAGCAATTTGAATTAGAAAAGGCACTGCTGTGTCACATAGTGGTCGCTGAGCATTTAGGAATTTGCTCACATGACCAGCAAGGAAGGGAGGCCTTTTCGTCTTTTCGTGGGGTGTAGTTTAGCAAAAACCATACAGCACCAAGCTTGCTTCCACACTACTCGACAAAGTAAATTTCTTGTAATAGACAAGGCATTTATCAAGTATCAAAAAGATGGCCTCAGAAAAGAAGTCTGCCATAAACAGCTCGTCGTGGGGTAAGCAACAGATCGACTTGGTTTCTTGGTCAAGACGGCATGACATACAAATTGGATCCTCCCAGTTGATGTCTTGGAGTCAATCGTCAGTTTTAAACTTGTTCAATATGTTTTAAATCTGGTCCTTTCTTGACTTGTAGCCGTCACTGATGACAGTCAAGTGCGCCCTGCCTTTTTCTCATTTAAGGATATTGATTGCAGACTGAAGGTCCGAGGTGAATGGAAGCAATTGTTGCACAGTGTTAACGGATATGTCAAGGTAAGCACCTATCCAAGTTTCAGATCACTCTGTTATTTTCAAGATCGATCGCCGCAGTTTAGCTAAACCTGATGTTTCAATTAGCCTGGTGAATCCTTAGCCATCATGGGTCCATCTGGTGCTGGTAAAAGTACCTTGTTGGATGTCATTTCTTTCAGGAAAACCACCGGAGAATGGACTCACGATGTCCGTCTGAAGTATGTATTTAAGCCTGGCGCAACTGCTCACTACTCCAGCTATTAACCTCGTCTGTTTACAGCGGTGCACCATTGACTCGTCGTGAATTCATCCAAAACAACGGTTACGTTACATCCGACGACTTGTTGCCACCAGAATTGACCACTCGTGAAGCTTTGGAATTCTGTGCTGCTCTTCGTTTACCTGAGAACTGGACCGCTGAAGAAAGAAAAGCACGAGTGAGTTGGAGATCTGAGCATTGTCATTTATACCGTCTTTGGTCGTTCTACCATACTGATTCCTGACGTGCTTCTTTCTACTCAGGTCGACGATGTCTTGACTTTAATGCAGCTCAACTATGTCGAACACAACAAGATCGGATCTGCCCTGGTCCGTGGTTTGTCAACTGGAGAACGAAAGCGTGTCAACGTTGCCGTCGAGATGTTGCCAGTAGCATCAGTGCTGTTCTTGGATGAACCCACCACTGGTTTGGACAGTGCAACCGGTCGAGCTATCATTGAAAACGTCAATGAAGTCGTCCGTCTCCGTAAATTAGCTTGCAGTAAGTAATTGGTGAAGTCGGAATTTCGCTCAAGCTTCCTTACTGATTGTGCGTTCTTTCATAGTTGCCACCATTCACCAGCCCTCATACACCATTTTGTCTCAATTCGATAACCTTTTGCTCCTCTGTCCCGGTGGAAAGACCTGTTACTTTGGTAAAACTGCTGATGCCATCTCCTACTTCGAAAGGTTGGGAATTCCAATTGTCGGCAACCCAGGTAAGAAACTGCGAATCGTTTTAGTTAATGACAATTCCATCTCACACCATCCCTCCTCACTTTTAGCTGAAACCTACGCCAACGAACAAGCTGCTCAAGCCGACTTCCTCATTTCCTCATGGAATGCATCCACTGAATGTGCTGCTCTTGCCAAGAGAGTCAGCGACATTCACTCCGGTCAAGGCTCAATCAACAACTATGAAGCCTTCCACTTGAAAAATCCCACAATCTGGGAATCCATGGGTTTCTTCCAACTTGCCTCCAGTCGTCTGCAATTCTACCATCTATTCTTGCGTCAAATGAGAATTTATTGGAGAAACCCCCTCATGTCTACAGTACGTTGTTGTTGAGTCATCTACAGTCAAGGACCATCATTAACACTATTGCCTTCCCTTCAGACTCGATTCATATCCGCTATCGTCGTCGGGCTGTTCTGTGGTGGTGCCTTCTATGGTCAAAATGCTGGTTTCTACGGTCACGTCGGAAAGGATGCCCTTGGTTTCACAATAACGCTCATGGTTCCTGGATTCGGTTCTGCTGCTATCGCATACTGTAAGTCTACATAATTCACGAAATCTTGCTCCTGGTTCAAAATCCAACATATCCCTTTTCTCCAGGGCTCGAACGTAGAAAGTCATACTACCACGAAGAATCGGCCGGTTACTACAACAAGCTCTGGTACTTGCTATCTCAATACATCGTCGAAGTCATGTTCTCGGGAACCATGTGCGCTTGCGTCGCCTTCATTGCTCTCCCCATGGCTGGATTTGATAACAAGAACTTGGCCGAATCTGGATTCACCCTCTACCTTGAAGTACGAAGATTCTTATCGCTGTGCCGATCTGGTTTTCAATATTGACGTTCTCTTCACTTTGCAATTAGGCCATTTGCGTTACATCGTTGAACATGATCTGTGCTTACATTGCTGGATCCATTCCATACGCCAACGCTGCCTTCACCATCCACTACTTCTTCTTCCTCTTCTGGACCAGTACCTACTGTCCCGACAGCTTCATCTTACCCAGATCATCGCCCGTCAAATACTTCTTCGCTTGGTTATCGTACGTACTGCTTTCTATCGCAAGTCCATAAGGAAAGCGAGAATACTGATTTCCTCTCGTTCTCTATAATCACAGATACGACCGTCTCTGGTTCTACCCTCTCATGAGAAACGAATATCTCGGCCACCCAGTCGAATGTGCTAAGAACGAAATGGTCCCTCTAGATGTCAACACTGCCCTATACCAAGGATTGGGAGACACCGCATTGGCCATGAGTGTTAGAGCCGCTCCAGCCTTGAACGCTAGCATCTCCCCTCTGAAGCACATTGTGTTCGCCACAACAGCCCAAAACGACTCTCTGACTCAATTGTTTACATTGGCCGGCAAGGTCAACAGTGCTGCAACCGCAGCCGCCGTACCTGGGTTATCTGCCACAACATTAGCTTATGTCTCCACTCAATTAACTGCTGCAGCCGTCGCTTACGGCACGTATGCTGGTATCGATGCAAGCAACGCTGCCGTTCTTGGTCAATCTGTCGGTCTTGCTCTGGAGGTAAGAACTGGTCGGTTATCGCTTGTGCTTGCATAATGTTCTAAACCGTGGTCTCGTTTCACTTCATCTAGGCTCAAAGCAGCTTGGCATTATCAAGCATCCTCATTTCTGCTCCAGTCCCAACAATCGACTCATGTCTAATTACCGATGGAGAGTCTGGTTTATCAGCCATCGTTGGAATGACCTTATACACCACATATGCCAACGGCTCGATCTCTGGTAAAGATGTCGACCACTGGGATGTAACACCTAATGGATTATTATATGGTCTCCAAGTCGTCTATGGTGCTGTCTACTTTGTATTGGCATGGGCTGCTCTCCGGTCTTGCAACTTTGTGAGTCTTTGATTGAAATGTCTTGAGTCTGCCAACCATTATCTAACATATTGTTCCGTTTACAGAGACAAAAGTAGTTTATTTCCTTGATAATCAGGCTTCGAACTCATTGCTACACCAATATTGATGGTTTTAAACATAGTTTGGTATGATTGATAATGCGCAAAAAAAATAAAATGGATTTTTAGTAAGACTCTCAAATCTTGACTCGTTTACCTAATTGATGCGATGCTCTTGTAATGCGAATGAACCTCTCTCGCTCGGTGCACCCCATCTTCGTCATATGTTGTCTGCTCCTAAAATTTGGCTCAAAGCGTCAGCCCGATGGGTTGGAAATGAAGAACAAAACTCGCACTTGCCTCGCCAGAGACAAGTCAATAAGAGGAGCCAGTAGACAGATTACAAAAGCACCAGAATTTTCAATGAGCAATGCCAGCGGGAAATGATCACCAACTCTGATTTGGGTTGGAATCGGCCGTGAAGCGTCAAGTTTGGACGCAAACGTCATTTTGTACTTTCCCAGCGATGGTACGTGGATATTACAAGCTTTCAAAGTCATAATACAAATTGATGAGGGGCTAGATCCCCGTTCGCGTCTCAATGAAGGAAATAAATCACCAGTAAGCTCCATTTTATGGCGGTTTTATGAAAATTATAAGACACACAATCCAAAATGCGGGCGACCAGTTTTATCGTTATTCTGTTCGACCCCTCAGATTTATCGCGTATCTGGACTCTGCCGGACGGGCAAATCCTTGTCACCTTGCCTGTGGGTAAGCAACTTGATTGATTTTTTTTTAAAGTTCGCATCTCAATGGTCAATGTACACGGTCACGACATGCAAAACGCCATATTTGATTAATTACACCTGGGAGAACCATCCAAAGCGGTCAGAACGTAGACTACTGAATGTATTCATCACAAGCAGTCAGCGTTTATTCACCCTTCCATAACCAAGTTCAACCTGCGATTGCAAGTGAAATAAACTAGTCGTTCCTTTTGGTAGGGGGATTATAAAATGTCAAGAAGGGCTTCTTGACTCCGTATGCTGTTCTGAAGGCAAAGTAAGCTCCCAAACCCGTTGGGCCTGCGAGCAGAGTCAAAAGTAAGAAGGGGAAGGTCATGACCCTTGGAATTCCAGCCTGTTGGGTTAGAATGAAGTTTAATTTATCAATCGTGCCGGTTGTCAGCAAAAGTAAAGAAAGCATATATTAGGTTTGAGGTTTGTTGGAAGTGAAATCTGTTGATGTGACTTCTGATCTTCAAAGACATACCTCAGCTGCGTCACAGGCAATGTAGTTGCCACAAACCAAATCGAAGGCTAGGTAGTGAATCCAGGCAGCCGTCAATCCTATGTTTGAAAAGTGTGTTGAAATCAGGATGAATATCACGCAAGCAACTTGAAAATCAAGTTGACCATGACGTATGTACGTTCAAATCGACATGAGGATGTCAGCAGTTGATACTGATAACATGGTTTGCGTCAAGCCCTCACCACTTTCATTGCCAGTTCGAAACAAGGTAAGAACGCCCTTCAGAGTTCCCATATCCCCGAACGGGATTACGAATTCATTGATGGTTCCAGGCTTATGCAATTGCAGCGTAAGCTTTCGAGAAGGCTCTTCAAACACGTCGCGAAAGCCAGTGCAATAACAACTTGAACCAAATTTCGTTACCTTGATGAAGAGTCCTGGAAGAAGCAGAACGTAACTGAGTGCATTGACGAGTACACTACTCTTGACAATGATTTGGGTGATGGGTTGTGTCGGGAAAAGGGCCAATAGTGCCCAAGCTGGGAGCACTGTGAATGCTCAAAGAGTTAGTTTTGTCACGAAGCAAGAAAGATGGTATGTAGAACAGAACCATACCAACTTGATTTCCTATTTTGAATAAGAATGAATTAAGCCCAGGGGTGAGCCAGTTGGTGACGGCATCAGGCAGTTTGGACATGGTTGCAGACAGTTTTGGCGACTATGGACGGTGCGATGACACGACTTGTTTGCGAGCAGACAGACCTCATGCATCTAGATCTGACAATTTTGAGCAACTTTCGGATAGATCATCAGCGTGAACATATTCAATATGCTTTAAAATCTACGAGCAGAATAGCACGAAACGTGAATAACAACAAAAGTGTACACTTCTGAGTCAGACGGGCATCCGGACGTGATTTGACGCGGTGGCTGTACTAGAACTGATGCGTCAAGTAGTTTCCGCTTGCTTTGTGGCGAGGAACAGTCCTCCTATGCACAGACCAGCTAGTGATCTATTTGTCAAAGCTCGAAAACTCAAAACCACATAATCAACCAAGCAGGCCAGTAAAGAAAATGCTTAATCAGGTGCTCAACTGGACGCAGCGAGTCACTCAGCAACAGCAACAGCCTTCTCCTCCGGCCTCTGTACAGTCACCACAATCCCCAGGCTCGGAAAATGCAAGTCCTGGTCCTGCTGGAAGACCTCCAGGTGCCGCCGCTGGAATGAATCTAGCCTTAATACACGCCGACTACACCGTTGGATTGCCCCCACTTCCTGATGATGGTACCGTCAATGAATTGCTTGATCTGTATTTTGACAAAATGCCATCGTCGCTATCCATCATCCACAAGCAAACATTCATCAAAAAGATGATTACTGCTCCCGATACCGTTCCTTTATCATTGCTATTCGCAATGCTCGCTTGCTCGGCCAGGTATACCAAACCTTGCTTTTGGTTGTATTTTACCGACTGTGACTCAGAGACAGAAACTCACCTGTTTCACATCGTAGGTTCCATCCATTATATGCTGGAAACCAGGAATTGATCAAGAATACATTCTATGAACGCACTCGTCGTATCATACTCTCCTCCTTGGACCGACCTACTTTGGATGTCGTCAAGGTGAGATCTTGTTGGTAGCAAAACTCCCAACAATCTGTTGCTATTTACCCGCAACAAACTAAAGCTCACCATTTTCTCCTCCTTCATGTTCAGACATTGATCCATATTACATTTTATTGTGTCACGGAATCATTCTGGATTCAATCCTACACTTACTTGGCAATGGCATTGTCTATTGCTCGTCTTCTCGGTCTGTATAATGAAGCGGATGAAACTACGTGCTCAATCTGGTACGAGTATTCGCGTAGTTTGAATAACTAAATAGCCGAACTAAGAATTGAATTTTAGGGACAATCCTGTTTGGACACCTGCTCCAATGGTTGTATGTCCTACTGACGAATATGGAAATTGGTCGAGTAAATGGGTTGAGCAAGAAGAGAAACGAAGATGTTGGTGGTATTTGAGAAATCATGATGCGTAAGTGTTTGATTGTAGAGTATTGATTTTTTTTTGCAACGCCATTTCGAACGACGATTCTCACTCCAAAGTTGGTTGTCTACATTAGTTCTGGAGCTGCCGCCTCAAAGAGACCAAATACGATTAATGATTGTGAATATGAGAGTACTTTATTACTACCCGTCCCAGATGCCATATTCTATAGTGAACGCCCTCCCGCAACCATACTCTCCACTCCAACATTCGAACAATTCTTGTTTACTCATACCGATTCGCGTCTCATACAAGCATCGTTGGGAGCGAACGGAATCCGAGCAGCATTGATGGCTATCTTTGGTCGTGTCATCCAGTTTAGGTGGATTTTCATACAACGAGGCGCATACACCTTCGCTCCTCGTAAACCAGAAGAAGTTGGTTACGCAGCTGCTGAGATGGGTAGATTGACTCATGAAATGAAGGTTGCGTGGAGACATTTCCCAGATTGGGTCAAAAACTTGGAAGACAATGGTGCTCGTCATGGTCAATGGACTGACGACATGTTTGATTGGGCGGAGAACGTTGTTATCTTCCACTCTACGTACGTCATTGTGTCTGAGTCTGTTGTTATGGTTACTCACTCTTTTGTCTTTCCAACATATAGAATGATTACTCTTCACGGACCAGAGGCCAATATGATGACAATGGGTCAACAAATGGCAACAAAACCGACTGACCCCTTTGTAGCAGCTCGTGGACATGTTCCCAACTCACAAAGAGCGCCACCAGGCTATGCTCATAAAATCAACAATGCCAAGGAATTAGACGCATTGTTGAATCTCTGGACTTCATCTGACTCGTTTACGAAAGCCTTGGAACATGCAGGTCCTGCTACAGCCATCTTGCAAATGATTGGTCAAAAGAGTATTGTACCTGCTCAGCAACGACGTGATACTCCATTCTTTGCCTTTTGTGTTTGTCAAGTGGTAAGTTGGATCTCGGCACTAGAAGAGGATGTGTGAACTGTGATGAACTGTAACAATATGCGACGAATCCATTGTTTCATTCTTCGTTATCGATGTACACGATTTACCAACCACCACTTTGTGTGTAGGGTTTGATCAGTTTGATTGCTGCTCGTCAGCTGGCGCTAGCAAATCAAATGGGATATTCTCACTCATTAAGGGAGCGAGCTACTCTGACAATGGATATATTGGAGTCTCATGCTCGTGTATTTACAGCCAATGAAATCGGAAGAAGACTTCTTCAGCGTTTCTTGCTCGAGATTCAAAGTGGTGAATACACTATCGGAATGCTTGCAGGTACGAACACAAACAATATATCCAGGCACCGTGAGGGAAATCAAGGATTTGTTATAGTGACTCACGTGTGGTGTCTTTTTTTAGGCTTTGAGCAAAAGGGAACGTTGGGAGTGAATCCAGGTCTAGCAGGTGTTGGTGGATCAGAAACCATGAACACTCTAGTCCGTGGATCTATGGCTCAAACAGCTGGAGCAATTATCGACGAACCAGGCCTCTGTGCTGGAGAAATGATTATGAGTGATGCTCGAAAGACTATATCACATCAAGGAAAGGAAGGATTGCCCGTCTCTGATAGTATTGCTACGCTCATCACAGGTCAGAACAATCAGATGCCCGTCACTAAGGTTGTAATGGCTCCCAATGTTGACTCTGCAATTGATATGGATGCGACTGATGATAATAATCAAAAAGTCCAACAAGACCCTCTTGTATCCGGTCCGTCGTTTAGTGATTTGGAGCTTGATGATCTTATGCTCGGTGGCACTGATTGAGGTGCTGAATCATGATGTCGTCTGTCTTCATTTGGGGGGTTTTGATTAGGTATAGAAGGAAGCATGCATGAGAAACCACATTGTAGATAGGAATAGGGATGTGTTGTTACAGGCAAACATAGTATATAGTATTGAAAGAGTTTTTTTACAGCTAGAATAATTTGTACAGATTTATCAAGAGAGTTTTTTGCAGTAAGTCTGAAAAGGAAAAGATCAAAAGTAGCAGTCTGAGCAAGTTTTACCACGACTGACTCTGTTCTGCCAGTTCTTCCTTTTCAATCTTCTTTATATGACCTGTTACTTGGCGTTTGGAACTCTCTTGCATCTCGCCATCTACAATGTGTGTGTATTCGAGTTGGTTGAACTCTCAAGTTGTAACATATTTGATCTGCCATACCAATCAAGAGCTCATCCAGTATCATGTACGCGTTCTCATAACCAAATATGAGATCTAATTCACACACATTCCCAAAATAATCGTCCAGCACCTGTACAAACCGATGAATGACTTCCAGCACTACCAGCTCATTGTCATCAAAGTCCACACAACAGCAGAAATATAATGATGCGTATCGTCGGTAGATCAATCTAACATCAAGTTGCAAATGGTCAACATTGTGATTTGTGATTGTGATGTTATGATGATCAAGACAAGAGTTACTTTTGTTCTCGTAGTTCGAGGACATTGCACATTCCAGGTTTGCGTGCTAGTATCATTGTAATTGCCTCATTTATTGTTCGTTGCTTTTCTTGGAATGAGACAGTCTTGAACCTGAACGAGAAGAATGGATTTTTTCAAAACTGATTTAGATCTACAGGCAGAAGGAGTAGTTCTGAATATACCATTTCTTTAGTCTTAGTTTGCCGTGACGGCTGAAGGCTATGAGCCAGTGGATCATGATGTTCCTGGTCAAGAAATGCACTGTGCAGAAATCGCGAGGTTTGGACCGAAGAGAAAGCGTGAGGACAATAAGATATTCAATTATCTACGTGCTCTGACGCGTAAATATAGTATAGAATCAATATACATTGGTATTTTGACTGTGGTGGCCTCGTTGACTCAATCTCAAATCTCAACACTTTGAAGTCTTTTGCCTTGATGAAGAATGGCAGAGGGAGGTGAAACCAAGGCCTCTCATTCTCGTAACGCAGCATGCATATAAGGAGCTACTCAAACGACAAGATCAAATTTCGAACTTCTTTGCGAGGTACAATTCAAAAACAACAAGAAAACGCAATGCAAGTCTTTCCCACCCATTTATACTGACACTGTTGATCATAGGCAAAAGAATGGACAGAACAACAATCATGTTCATCATGGCCTTTCTCGCCATCGTATTCATCCTGATGCAGTACTGGCCTTCACCTTCATCAAATCAGGATTTTATGGGCTTGGACGACTTGGCAACAACACCACCACTATACGAACAACTGGATGATAAGAGTCTTGATGCAGAACTGCTGTCGCTGAAGGGAATCTCGAATCCAGCGGCTGGTGGAAGCGGAAAGACGTATAATGGTGCAGTGTCAACTAAAAAGAGGCGATATGCTGTGATTATAGATGCGGGTAGCTCTGGATCTCGAGTGCTAGTTTATTCGTGGAAGGCGGGGGCCGGTGGTTCTGGAGTGCTGGAAACGGGGTTGAGTGAGATCGAGCCGGGAGCTGTAGATGGTCATGAGTGGTTTTTAAAGGAGGAGCCTGGCGAGTTTTTTGGTTGTTTTTCGCGATTATTCCGACACAGACGCAGGAAGGCTGATTTTCTGCTTTCTCAGGCTTATCATCGCTCGCCAGCCATGCGTCGGGTGCAAGCACACATCTACGCCCACTACTAGACTTTGCTTCGAAACTCGTGCCCCAAGACCAGCAATCGGAGACACCTATATATCTGTTTGCAACAGCGGGCATGAGACTGGTAGCCCCGGAAAAGCAAACCGCCATCCTAGACGCCGCATGCACATTCATCAAAGCCGAGTACACATTCTCAGTCGCTGGAGGATGTAACCGTCACGTACGAGTCATATCTGGTGAATTGGAAGGCATCCTCGGCTGGATTGCTGTGAATAGACTATTAGGTGGATTTGATGCCAAACATGATGCCACTCTTAAAAAGAATCATCCAACTACATTTGGATTCTTGGATATGGGAGGTGCAAGTGCTCAAATAGCGTTTGAACCTACTGTAGCTATGGCCGATCGTCACTCTGATGATTTGACGGATGTCAAGCTACGGTTACAGGATGGGAGTGAGCGTCTTCATAGAGTTTCTGTTACGACGTTTCTAGGATTTGGAGTGAATGAAGCTAGAAGGCGGTTTGTTGATCATTTGATACAGACGACAAGCCCGCGTAGATTTATTGCAAGGTCTGAATATGAGTTAGGTGATGCTGTCAGTGTTGAGACGGAAGGTGCTGATAATGATAATGAGGATACTGTCGTCGTTAATAGAAGGAGACCAACGCCCACATCTCCTGACTTGTCTCCGAGTAATACCACCAGTGACGATGGTGAAGAAATAGCGGAACTGCCTGTAACATCCCCGTCAACAACCACTTCCATACTAAAAGACCACACCACAGATGTCTTGAAACTCAACCCAGATTCTAAAAACTCTCCATCTACTATGATATCGCCCTCGGCCTCATCAAGTATTGCTAAATCAACACCAACAATTCCATCCACAACTGAACTGACACATATCAAAGATCCCTGTCTGCCACCTGGTTACAATATACCTATATCCGATACTCTTATAGTAGGAAGCGGTAATCTGGACGAATGTATGGCTATGCAGAAGGTATTGTTAAATAAAACTGCTCCGTGTATTGAGGATCCTTGTCTGTTTAACGGAGCTCATGCCCCGTTGTCGCCATTCGAGCATGGGAAGGAGTGGGAGCATCGGTTTCTGGGGGTTGCAGAGTATTGGTATACTGGTTCTGAGGTAAGCGTTTGCTCTTTTCTGTCTTTGGAAGTCTGATATCTTGGCCTCGTCGAACGCTCGAGTGTTGTTAGAGTTCGTTACTTATATTTTTTTGTTGGCCATGTAGATGGTGCCAGACATGGCAGAATACAGTCACCGAGACTTCTATACAGCAGCTGAAACAGCATGCTCAACCCCTATCACGAACACTACAGCACAAAGACGAGCATTACAATGCTTTAGATCAGCATGGGTCTTGTCTGTCTTGCACGATGGCTTTGGAGTCCCGCCCTCACACATACAACAGAATGCGGATAAAGCCAACGCATTCAAACCCATAAACGAAGTTGGTCGATTCCAAGCTAGCTGGACACTTGGAGTTGCAGTGTTGATTGCTAGTGCTGGTATTCCCGCACGCACTAGTACAGGCAGGTCGGCCGTGTGGGTGTCGTCTAGTTTAGTGATGTTGGTGGGACTTGCAGGTGTTGGTGGCATTGTGTACTATGTCGTTGTTAGAAGGTATCGTGGCTCGATACTCAAGCGGCCGTTGATGAAGGAACGCGATTCCTTTTCGGGAGAAATAAACGTATAATCATTAGTAGAGACGTATTTTGTATATACTTATAGACATTGCAATACCTCAGATTTGTACCGCTGATATATCTGCTACGTACACGAGCTTGAGCGATACACGCAAGTTGAAAAGTCTGTCGTTAAGACTTCCAGCACTGGAGATATTGATCACGTAGCTGAGAATCGTGATGCTCTAGATCCAATCCGGGTATGACGCACGTCTCTTGATTTTCTAAAATCAGCTTATCCTGGAATGCTCTCAACATTCGCAAGCTGATGAGTGCTCAACAGCCTCGTGTTTAGTGAGTTCTCGGTTATTCTGCCATGTTGCCAATCCAAAGCGTATGGACTGCTGCAACATGGTGTTATTGGCGCGATGTGATCTCATCTAAAACTGCAGTATTTGTATTTCCAAAATAGTTATAACACATGCCCCTTTGATCAATGCAAGGCTTGTTCATTACCAACTCTCGCTTCTAATACAAACATTCCAAAAACCATGTCATAAATCATCCCTCCGTTTCCACTTGTCTCGCTCACGACAGAATAACTCTCTTCTCTCTATCTATGCTTCGAATCCTTGTCCTTCCAATTTGATCTTTTGGTTGACATAAGCCTTCAATCGAATACTTTGGATTTTGATAAATCCAGTAGAATCTGAAGGGTTAAAACCACCAGCAACATCCATGGATGATATCTTGTCATCATATAGAGAGTTGGGTGATGTTCGGCCTTCAATGATAACGTTTCCCTTGTATAGTTTGACTATGATGTGAATGAAAGGTTGTCAGCTTCGAGCAATTTTGAAGATTGCGAAATTTGTTTCGGTCGGCATAAATTGCACTTCTTGTCTCGTTTGGAGCGAAAAAAAAACCGTTCTTAAGGCAAATTTGGATAACTCACGGTGAACAACTCCATTAACAGCCTTTTGAGATTGTTCGACACTAGACATGATAAATTCACGTTCAGGAGAGTACCAGAAACCATTGTAAATGATTTCAGCCAATCGCTGAGAGTATTGGTCTCGAAGACGACGGACTTCACGATCCATAGTCAAGCCTTCCAAATCACGATGGGCAGCAAGGAGGATGGTGCCTCCTGGAGTCTCGTAACATCTACGAGTAGTGATGCTGATGGTCAGTGTTTGTTTCCAAGGGAGGCAAACAAGGGAATGCCAGCTTATGTAGCGAGCAACACACTGACCCTCGAGATTTGATACCGATGAAACGGTTTTCTACAATGTCGATACGTCCAATACCGTTCTTACGCCCAAGAGTGTTTAAGTACAGGAAGAGTTCAAGGGAATCCTTGATGACTATGAGAAAGTTTGTAACGTCAACACGAGCATTTTTGTTCCGACGCCTTCAGTTGTCTCCGAGCGGAAAGACGCCTCCTAGTACATACCAGTCTTCTTGTCTGTAAGGTTCTTGACTTCAACTGGTTTACCATCCTGGAACGTAATAGCCTAGTTTGGTATCGATGAGTTAGAATCGAGAGTCAACAAAACAATGAAATTTCTGGTGGTCATTTGTTCTCCTACAATTCGTTCAGGAGTATCTGGAGCATCTTCAGGATCTGTGATGAGCTTCCACATGTCCTTAGGTGGAGTATGGCTAGGGTCCTCAAGAATACCAGCTTCATATGAGATATGGTACAAGTTTTCGTCGGTAGACCAAGGTTTCGCAGCAGTTTGAAATACTGGGATTCCCTTTTCGGCAGCATAGGCCAGTAAATCTGAGCGACCTTGGAACTTTTCGTAGAATTCTAAATGGCGATGGTATACAGTGTAAGATTTGGAACGATTTTCGAGCTGGCGAAAAAAAAAACAGATTAAGTCTGTTGTATCCACAGACGTTTCTCTTGTACCTGGGACACGCCATGGAGTGATGACTTTGATGGCAGGATGTAGAGCATAGTAACCCAATTCGAAACGAACTTGGTCGTTTCCTTTACCAGTGCAACCATGCGATACGTACTCGCATCCTTCACGTTTTGCGATTTCGATTTGCTTTTTACAAATGACGGGACGAGCTAATGAAGTTCCCAACAGGTATACGTTCTAAGTAATGAGAAATAATGTTGGTCAGGACAAGATTTTGGAGTCAAGCTTTCTTTACGACATATTGTGCATGAGACGTATTCTGATAAGACTTTACCTCGTACAAGGCATTAGCTTGAACAGATGAAAATACTACTCCTTCCACAAACTCTTTACGAACATCCTGCATTGAGTAAAAGTACAAGTGAGTCAAACGAAATTTAAGCTCATTGACGCGATAGCCAAAGACACACCTCGATAAACACTTTGGTAGCACCAACTTTCAATGCTTTCTTCTTTGCAGTTTCAAAATCTTCTTCTTGGCCTATATCGGCCATGAATGCCATAACTTCATATCCCTAAAAATCAAAAATTTCGCACAAAAAATGTCAGTCGAAAAAAAGCTGATAGCCTGTGTATGTAACAATGGAAACAGCTAGTAGTGCATCCAATGCCCCGATAACACGTAATATAACAATATCCTGCTCTCCAATACAACTCAGCTAGTCAAATCAACGACAATTTCTATACCTCATCGATGAGCCAGGCCAAGATACAGCTAGTGTCAAGACCACCAGAGTAAGCTAAGAGGACTTTGCCCTTGGTTGATGCCTTGCTCTTCTTGGCAGTTGATGCACTTCCGTTTGATGTTCGTTTCGTCATCTTTGGTATACGTTTGCTTGCGTATTATTGACTTGTTCGGTCTTTGAATTTGTAGAAACGAGCATCACGACTGAAAGTTATAAGAGCGAAGTCCACCGTCACATTCACTGATCGAATCGACGTGTCTGGACGTGTTTCTATTGATAGAAACACCACTAAGAGGTGAGCTTGATCAAACAATTTCGTGGTGTTTGTGTAGTGCAAGACAATCGCCTGAACGTTCTTACAATGACACTGTTTTATACCTGAAACCTATCTTATACTAACTCTCTAATCTATTTTCTAGATGGCACGCGTTAAGAAACCAAGCTTTTTGGTCATCGTTGCTGATGATCTGGGATTTTCTGATCTTGGTTGTTTTGGAGGTTAGCTTCTGACGAGCTCTTGACTTTTTTTGGGTCGTCTCAGACGTACAAGCTTTTAGGAGAGATATGCACTCCCAACCTGGACAAGCTGGCGGAAACTGGCATCAGAATGACAGGATATCACACTGCCTCTGCGTGTTCACCTACTCGAAGGTACACGCCTCGAACTCAAAAAGTTTTGAACCTGTTCTAAGAAGCTTTATTAGTATGCTATTTAGTGGCACAGACTCTCATTTGGCTGGTCTCGGTGCGTTTATGACTCAATATGCTTCAACTTACTGAATTCTTACTTTGAACCTGACAAAATTAGGTCAAATGGAAGAGTTCATGATGACAAATTCTAGCTTCCGTGGTGTGAGTTCGTGTATCTGTTCGACTGAGGACCTATCGAAATTGTCTTGATAAACGTGTTTTTAGAAACCGGGATACGAAGGCTACCTCAACTTCAAAGGTGAGGCAGTAATTCTGTATGGACAACGATATTATGTTCCACCAAATACTATTGCATACCAAATGCTATTACACTTTAGTCGCTGCCCTATCAGAAATCCTCTCTGATAATGGATACCTGACAATGATGTCTGGAAAATGGCATCTTGGCTTAACAATCGACACGTCTCCGTGGGCTCGTGGATTTGAAAAGTATGTTATAACTTGTTTACACATGCCTTCACCTCCGTTTCTTACGCACCAGTACTAGATCCTTCTCGCTCTTGCCCGGCAATGGCAACCACTTTGGATTCGAGCCGCAATTGGGACATGAACGTCCGGAGGGTGCCATCCCAACTCCCTTCTACACACAAGACAATCAGTTTGTCGGTTTGGACGATCTACCACGCCCATTCTACTCGACGAAGACATTCACAGACAAGCTACTGGGTTTCTTCAAAGACCGAAATCCAAACGAGGAACGTCCATTCTTTGCGTATCTGCCATTCACAGCTCCACATTGGCCTCTACAAGCTCCAGAGGACATTATCGCAAAGTATCGTGGTCGGTATGATAATGGTCCTGATGCACTACGAGCTGAACGGTTAGAGAAACTGAAAAAGTTGGGACTTATTCCGCAAGATGTGGTGCCACATCCGATTCTCAATGTATTGAATTCGAAAAGTTGGGAAAACATGAGCCATGAAGAGCAGCTTGTCAGTGCGAGAGCGATGGAGATATACGCTTCTATGGTGGTAGGCTTACTTGCTGAAGAGATGCAATGAATCCATGTATAAATGTGGTTTTTTTTGCTCTTTGGAACCGTAGGACATGATTGATCAAAATGTTGGACGAGTTCTGGATTATCTGAGACATACTGGTGAACTGGATAATACTTTTATTCTCTTCATGTCGGACAATGGGTAAGCTCGTAGACGTCGAACAAAAAATGCCATGAAAATCCAGACGAATCGCTCTCACACAATATCTATCAACAGTGCTGAAGGTCAAATCATGGAAGCCTTCCCAACAATGGTAACTCTTGGTCATTTATGAAATCTTCTATATCTCTGAGCACTTCCCTACGGTAGGGTATCGATGTCATGGCCGTCATCAGAAAATACTACAACCAGACATACGAGAACATGGGCCGTAAAGACTCTTTTGTGACTTATGGACCTCGTTGGGCACAGTGTGCAACAGCCCCAAGTCGAATGTACAAGACTTGGACCACTGAAGGTGGAATCCGAGTGCCGTGCATTATCAATTATGCAAAGTTCAAGCAACCGGCTTTGCATGTTACTGAAGAGTTTTCCACTTGCATGTAAGATACTGCTGGTACAGTTGCATTGGTACAATCGATTTAAAGGTCCGCGACATTATAGGGATGTTTTGCCTTCAATTCTTGAGCTCGCAGGTATTCAACATCCAGCACCCGTATTCAGAGGTCGTGACGTCTATGCTCCACGCGGTCGTAGCATGATACCTCATTTAAGTGGATTGGCGCCTAAAATCCATGATGAGGAAGCCGTTCATGGCTGGGAGTTGTTTGGATTAAGTATGAGAGTGATATAACTCTTTTCTAGTTTCTTGAAGTTTTTTTTGTTCTGACATCTGAACTTCTGAATTAATGATTATAGGAGCTATAAGACGAGGCGACTGGAAGGCCGTTTGGATTCCGAGACGTAACGCACAATGGGAGCTCTATAATTTGAAAACCGATCCGGCAGAGATAGTCAATTTGGCTTCGAAAGAGAAGGACATCCTTAATACGATGATTGACCATTGGACGAGATACTCGGAAGAGACGGGAGCCATTACATTTGAGAGGGTTACGAATCCCAAAGTTAAAATTTGAAATGTAGTGTGTTTTGTTTGAAAGCATAGTATACTGAAACTTTCCTGAATTACATCTTATAATCGGATTTGAAACAGTACCTTACCATGAGAGTGTCCTGACAAAGTATCGATGAGAGCGATTCTATGTTACAGATTGCGAGGACGCTTTACACTACTTCTACTACATGACTACTGCTATACCTTTACACGTTTTTGAGCCTCATCCTGACCATTCTCTTGCGCATCCTGCGGATGAGACTCAACTGCCTCCACCGCACCATTCAACAACAAGTCATCCTTAGGTGGCGACCTCTCACCATCCATCCACAACTTCTCCATCACAAACGATATCCTTTCAACCTCACTCCAATCCGCCCAATTAAAGCTCCCCCTCCTCAACCGATGCCTCATAACCCCTTCCAACAACTGACCCGTCTTGGGATGTACAGCCCCAACCAACTCATAAACCTCCTTCTTAATCCACACACCATACAAGTACCGCTTCTCAACCTTTTCAAACACATCATACTGTTTGAGATTCCAACACATGTCAATCTGCGCCACGATACTCTTATTCTGTAGCTCCTTGTGATGGAAGAGCGATTGGCCTATCGCGTGTACCGCATTTCGAAGTCCATCAAAGTTGGACCTCCAGAATATACATTCCATCGCGTCTTTGGGCGATGTGCATGGGATTACACGGGCGTCAAAGTATGCGGTTCCTGAATGGAGACGTTCGGATACTTGGGGAGCTAGATCGGTATATGTGTGGGATGCTAGATGGTGGTTGAATCTTGCGGCTGCGTATGAGGCTGTTACGGACGCTAGTTTCTGTATACGGCCTGAATATGCGTGGGTTGGTGCTTGGCGTTGGCGTTTTCTTTTCTTGTCCTTTTTGGTGTTGCTATTGTTTGTTGCTGTTGCTGATTCTGTGCCATTATTTACTGTAGTAGCTCCTGTTTTAGCATCATCAGCTTGATTCATGATCGTATCTTCTCCTTCTACACTGACCACATCATCAACATTCGGAAACACGAGACTGATTTCATCACTTTGAGTATACGCCGTAGTAGCACTAAATCGTTGCATCAAATCCATGGTAGTTTGAACCATGGATTCACCAATCCGAGTATCGAATGGTTTGTTGACACCTTTGAGTAAAGTGTGGAAGGCTACTCCATCCAAACGGATTACATATGTTTGAGTAGCTTGAACAACAGGGTTTACTGCGTTTTCAAGTACTTTGAGCCTAAATATAAGAGAGTTTGTAAGTCTACTAGGTTCATAGTTCTTGTGCAGAAAAAAGTGATCGGATTGATGTCGGTGATTTGGGCCTGACAGTTACAACAACTGACAGGAAACAGCAACGAAAACCAACTATTTTACTAGCTTACCGTTGGCCAATCTCTGTGGCATACATGGATTGCAGAGCTTCATGAGCACTTTTTGGCATTCTTGGTTTTGTCGATGCCATCTTTGACTTTGCTGGAATATGAAGCCTACTACTCGAGCTATACAAGGTACTATATAAACAGGATACTAGAGCAGTACGTGAGCTATTCGCTGCAGCAGTCCACTTATTAATGGCCTTCAGAATCATCCACTTCGATTTAAGCATGGATTGACGCGACTGAACAATAGGACGCAAGCAAGACGCGATCCGCAAGTGAATCCACTTCAATCATTTCAAATGCTGGTATTCAATTCGATGCTTACATTCTCTACAGGTTTGTGCATACATTTTGTGTGTTTGACTTAAGATGAGATCGCGTCCACCAGTCAGGTTTCCAGTACGTCCCTTGCAGTCTCATTGATCCTCACCATCGCTGATAAATACAGATTCTTCGTCCATAAGTGACTCGACTTCCCATGCGAGCTGTGCCTCCGGATCGTGCTCAAGATCATCAGTCAAATAGTTGGCACGCAAGTCTTCTTCATCACTTTCTTCCTCGTCGTCGTCATCCTCATCACCATCAGCCTCGCCATTAGCTACTACAATATTGCCTTCTACGACCATGGCTTGGTCATGCTCATCTGCTTCCAAGTCCAGGTCGAAGACCTCATATACAGTTGCAGCCTGCATTTCAGTCACTTCCACAGCATCATCACTGCCGTTGGGTTCTGTTGTGTTGTTGTCAGTTATGGCATCGAGCTGACTAACCTGATCCTGAGAATTTATGTTGCTACTGTTACTGCCACCTTCCTGGTAGTCGTATATTTTGTAATTGTCCTGCTGTAATTGCTCGTCTTCATCCAATTCTTCATCAGAATCTAGGATGGTGTCAAGCCTATCGTCCATCACTGGCTCACTAGTACCTTCTATTCCAGTAGTACTATTTACCATACCTATATCGGTCAGATCTATTCCGTTTACCATAGTTTGTCGTCTTAAAGACACCTTTCGTGCGACTGTCTTTGGAGTGGCAAACATCATTCGATTTCTAAAAGCTCGTTGCTGTTGTGATCCACCCGAAGCAGGTTTCGTCCACAATAGCACAAGATCTTCATCGATCTCGTCAGATTCACCATCTTCAATAGCTATAGGCTTGGCATCGGTCTTTACAACCCAAGGTGTAAACCCATGCATGGCCGAGCTATAGTCAGATTGTCCACTACTTGATGCTTTATCCTTTCCCTTGATTGAATTCTGTCGGGAGAACGCCTTGGTTACTGGTGTATCTATATTGGGGGCATCATCGTCTTCAATAAGTACTGGGATGATGCTTCGTCTCACCGGCCGATGTGGTGTTTCCCATTCAGCCAAGGTCTTGTGAGTTATAAGTTCAACTCGTGCCTTGGCCTTTACCAGAAACGGCTTGGCTGCATTATCGAGGAAGACGGTTCCGAGATCAACTATCTCACATACTGTATCATAATAATTCCAGACGTGATCTCGTTGGGCAGCCAAGTTATTGTCTGCGCTATCATGCGATATAGCATTTCGAGTCTGTCTTGCTCCGTGTAGTAAACGACGCAAGTGCTCCACATATGTTACAGGATCTACCTTAATATTCAGTTTTCGTCTCATAAGCTCAAGCGATGTTGGCCGGATGAGAAACGAAAGAAGGGCCAGAACGTCCAGGCGTTCGAGCATTGGGTCGTCTGTAAGGGACCATCTATTTCCGCGGCCGGACAGACAAACCCTGAGAGCATCTTCAACTGACTTACTATACTTTAATGCCAGCTTTCCGTTCGACGTAAGAGTATAGGGGTACAAGGCGAAGACGAGAAACGGCAAGAAATTACGTAGGAGTGCCTTTTGTCTACAGAAACCGTAAAAAGACGTTTGTTAGCGAAATGACCTCGTTGAATAGGGCCAAAGCAAATATCCAGGAAGTGTGAAAGACGTTTGTTAGCGAAATGGCCTCGTTGAATAGGGCAAAAGCAAATACCCGCATCTCTAGGTAGAACTCTGACACTTACATATATTGTACGGCTTCGACGAGTCGATTGACCTTGTCTGCACTATCATCCATCAGCCAATCAAACTTTTCTCCAAAATTGCGCTCTATGACTACTTTACTCTTCTTTGACCGGGTCAGGTTCTCTTCCTCGTCGTCTATTACAGTGAATGCAGTATCACGAAATGGCTGATATACAGTATTAAGTCCTCGGCCCTTGCGTGTCTTTGATGACCTGGCATCTTGATTTGCCTGCACTGCCGGTGGGTTGATGTTGGCTTGATTTTGGTTTCCTGCGTTGATGTTGTTTGCAATGAGGGGCATCGGAGGGTCTGTGAGGTCTATAACAACTTGGACTGGAGCCGTTAGACCTAGAAAGAGAAGTGGATGTTAGTATCTTCCTTCTAGTCGCAAATCGTCAAACCCAGAGGTAGCGAAACTTACCAGTTTTTGTGAGGAGTTTCATCTCTTTCCAGCGCTTTAGCTTCTCGTTGATAGACTCCAGGCGAGGGTCTTCTCTGTTACGAAGCGGGATTTCGGGCCCGTGGCGTATCTTCTTGCTCTTGCCCATAAGTCCTATGGGTTGATCGGTTTGAAAATGCTGTGCTGTCAGAGAGGACGACCAGACCGAGAAAACACGATTCCATTGCAGCCAGCACACGCGTCACGCAAAGCAGTAAGTTGAAAGTCGCGTAAGCCGCAAACGGCAAATCAAAAAATGTAATATTCAACAGCCACACAGTCCTTGGGTTCCAGCCGAAGATTATATTATTATATTAGCACATACTCTGTGAAATACCCAATTAGCGATGATTTACTCTAATTATTGTTGCCAGAAAGACTTGGGACTAGAAAGACGAGTGCGAGGATCCAGATTACGGTCGAGGTTCTCGTGTGGTGGTTGCAGGCTTCTCATCGAAGCTGTGGTATTCCACCCATTCATTCCCGAATGTAAAGCCCCATTCCGGATTCCTTCGACATACGTGGGGCTGGAAGCCTCGTATTTGTACTCGTCCCATTGTGAGCTAGATAGAAAAGTTCAGCAGGAAGACAACGCGTAAAAGTTGACAGGAAGGCAACGTCGTGTATAAAAGATTAAGAGACACGCACCGTATAGCTTCTCCTCATGGGGAACGGATGTACAGGGTCGATTCCAGACCGTATGCCATCCTACGTGGTTTGTACTTGTTACGCTTCCGTTCCAAAAGGGCAATCCAAACCCAGAACCTTTCCAAACTCACTCTGTAAAAGATAACACGCGTTGGTTCCACACCGTCATCCCAATTGTCATGATAATTCCAACCTAGACTCAATAGTTCGTACAGGGTGATTCTAAAAATCCGATATAGATTTTTAGCAAAAAAGACAAAGACAACAAGGACAATCATACCTGGTACGTTTCCTGTCCTTCTCAGCACAATAATATGCAGTTTTCCATTTGGAATCCAATAGAGCTTTAGGGTCAATTGTATATTGTGGTGTGGATTCTGCCACCATTCCCTGCAAAATCGTTAAACTTTCCGTCCCTTCCAGAACGTCTTCATGACCGCGACGTATGAGGACGTCAATGCACTCCTCTTCAGTAAAGTACTGGGCCACTTCACTGTAATTGGCGTGCGTAGGGAGCCGTAGCTTCATATGCAGTTTTGAGCTCCAGCGGATTTGGCTATCAACAAGAAGAGGATGAGTCCCGGACATGACGTATACAAGACAAGGCACAATCTAACACGGGCTTGTCCGTGAAAACTGACAGTATTCTTCTCTTTGCACGTACCAGAGGTTCTTCCACAACAGGTCGTCTGATCCAAGTCCACGAAAGAGCCTGCACGAACTCGAGATGCGGTTCAAATCCTTTGATTTCAAATAACTTAGTATACGTAGAGTCAATTCATGAGCTATGACAAAGGTGTGCGAAAAATGTTGGGACATTCAATAAGCAAAACTGATGTGACATGAAAAGGAAAGAATCTCACGTATGTTTGATATCAAATCGGGTCCGTCCGTGTATTCCTGATCCATGTCCATACTGGATATCGACATCTTTGACGATGAAGCCAAAAACCAATGGGCAGCTTTGATGACAGGCAAGGTTACGATTTTGACTAGATAGGCAAGAAGCTTCAAGGACTGTATGAAGAGCGACCTATACTCTCTGCGCCTGTTTACGTGCCAGTAGTTGTGTTCTTCCTCACTATCACTCATTAGGCCATCAGCTAAACCCAACACGTTATTTGTGAGCGTTTTGGTGATGCTCAAGAAAAACTCGCAGAGGGCCGGTTTAATTTAGCAGATCAGCCGCTTTATATCCATAAAAATACATTAAAGTCGTAACTTTGGAACTACACCGGTTTGTTTCTTCAAAACGACCGTGGGAGTCCGTGGGAGACATGTAGACACGACTTACATAAAACCCTCAAAATTACGAAGAACGCGTTGTCAACAACGCGTCGTGAACAATAGAATATCGTCGTGCGCTGGACATCCGCCATAATGCGCTTCTACGTGAAACAGTACGGCTACGTGCTGGTTGTCAGTTCGGACCAACCCACGAACCTGATTGCAAAACCCTGTACTGCATTGTACATTCCTCACAGCGATAGCACCAGGAAGTGCATCATATCACAGCATATTAGCTATGCCTAAGCACGTCTGTTTCAGTGTCACCATTGTGAGGCAGTAAGTAATGTCATCCATGTCCTTACAATTTAATCACGCCATCCAACATTCCTCCTTAATCCAGTGCCGAAACAGACCAAAATGCTGCTCATCCGCGTATCTTACAAGGACATTCAAGTACGAGTACTGCTTGGGATGCACATGACTAGGCACATACACGTCAACCAACGCACATTTCATCGTTTTCACAGATCCCGGCATAAATTCGGATGGTATTAAACAATCACATGTAGTGGCCCACAGACTGAAAAATCAACTATTTACTCATATCTATACGAGTGATTTGCTAAGAAGTAAACAGGTAACCGGATGGCTGTAGTCTCCTACTTGTTGCACGTGCTTGTGCATTGAAAAACTAGGAATTCACTTCTCTTATTCACTGTTAGACTGCCGAAATCATTCAGAAACATCATCCACATGCCAAACTGACGGTCGACTCTCGGCTTCGAGAGCAAGATATGGGTGATTTGACCGGCATGCCTTGGAGAGACGCAAAAGCTGTCTTAAAGTCAGAGGACAGGTCATTCGAAGAGCATCTATCTCAAAATGGAGAATCTGTGGAAGATTTCACTGACAGAGTCGTCGATTTCTACTCGGATGTAGTCGAAAAGCACTTGTTGATCCCTCATCACGAATTATTGGAAAGTCTCGGGTTGAATTCACCACTATCTGCAATTGAAGGATATGATGCTGCAGCTGATCCAGCAGCATCGCTACCAAGTCCTCCATCATCAACAGACTCACCGACTTCAGCAACATCAGCAAAGACCCGTAAATTTCGTGCCGCCTCCATAGTTGCTGGTCCAGCCATCAATGCAGCCAAAGCTGCTGCCCAAAAAGCTGCCGTAGCTGTAGGTTTAATGACATCGCCTACTAGAACCGAAGCCAACGGTAAAGCATCAAACCCAAGTTCCCCAACAAACTCGAACGCATCACCGACTTCTGCCACACCATCGTCATACTCAACAGCACCATCTTCAGCATCTATCAAATCACCCATTAATAACCTAAAGCAGAATCAAAAGTTTGGGTCAACGCCATTTTTATCTCAACAACAGTCACAACAGCAATCACAAACACCACCAGAACTAGGCAGCATCCAAAACATGTCCCTCACACAACAACCAGGCTTCTCAGCATCAACATCCGCACTAAACACATCCAGAAAACCGCGCCATCCACGAATCCAACCAACTCATATCTTGATTGTAACCCACGGAGGCTGGATTAACAGAATCATGGACCACATCCTCGACGAACTGAAATTCAACTTGACGACCGACTACTCGAACGGCTTCCCCAAAAACACTGGACTATACAGATTCGTCATTTCACAAGTATTCAGACCTGATGGCGGCGACTATGAATGGGAGGGTACTGTCACGCTCATGAACGATGTCAGTCATTACGCTCATCTGAGTAATAAGGTTAGTATGGGCAGTATGGGATTCCTGGGTCTGGACGAGAAAACTCAGATACAGGCTGACTGGACTGCACCAAAGACTGACCCGGGTAGGAACTCGCCTACTGTGAATAGAAAGAAGGCGATGGCTGCTGCGCCATCCAAAAACAGATCATTTGGCTGGTAAAGCTTACGTAGGAGTTAGCCAGCCGATGCACATTACATACCATACTTACAATCCGTACAATAGTAGTATAAAGGATCATACAAATGTACCTCAATAGAATAAAAAACACATTTCCGTCACTTTGATTTTTGTTTTGCATGGTGTAACTACAGATGTATTTTGAAATGGGTTTGGGGCTTTCGTAGTAGCAACAGATATAGGACATGAAAACGGAACAGCATTCAGCAGTCATCAACAGAATCGACATCTAACTAACCCCTCTACCCCTTTTCAGCATTTTTCGATTTCGTTGGCTGCTGCTACTCTTCGTCTCCTTTGCTATTAGATGGTTTCGTTTTTTGACTTCAGGAATTGGATTCAAAGTTCGATGGTGTGTTTTTGATGTTTTGAAGGGTTGGGAGCGTGGAGAGTGACTGACGGTTGAGAAAGCATGGGGCTTGTAAGAGGAGAAGTTACTAATCATGTCATAAATTCACGTGAAGGGGTAATTAATCCTTAGATCATGGGGTTTCCAACGCGAAATTGACGTTTTACGTGAACTGTCAACGTCGTGATGCATGGATTCCAGCCAAATGACTTATGAGGTTATACTCGAATGAGCTTACGCAAATGTAAAAAATCATATTTCGTCAAATGCATACGTGCCCTACGCTTACAGAGGTCCGGTTTGTATTATTGCTGCTCTGGAAGGAGGACGCAAACGGGTTGCACCGTCTAGACCAGAGGCAAGTGGAAGGCATAAACATCGCATATAATTCATCGGCTACTCAAGTATTCGTCAGTCATGAACAGATCGTAAGTTCAACCAACTCCAGAACACTGCACGCATTCTTTTGATACTGAAAGACAAGCTACTTATATTTGAGAAGCTACTACTTAATATGTTTACTAAATTTAAAACTAGATTTCACTTTGATTACAGTCCTGAAGTACACATCACGTTTGTTCAGTGTCCAATATACATAATGTTGGACCAGCATTCTTCCTACTTGTCTGCACCAGCGACAGCAGCCACCTCAGAAGCAACAGACTCGGCAGCGACGGTAGCGTCTATCTCATCCTTTACGGTAATGTTAGTGGCCACAACCACTAGTACAGGACTAGCACCATCGACTTTGGAATCATCTGAGAAGGCCTTTGAATCATCAACCATTTCAGCAGTTGACTTGATCTGCGGAGCAGCTTTAGGGCTCCTTCCCTTAGTCTTCCATCCGGCGGGTGTGATCCCTAATGCCCTCATCTCCAATTGGATTGCCAGGTCGGTGACTTCGTATGGAAGGAGCTCCGATCCACGGACTAAATTGAATATTTCATGAGCATGCGACTTCAAAGAACCAAAAAATCAACATACGATAACAGCATACCAATAAATTGAACAATAGGACCAGCAACCAAGTATCGGTTCCGAGGACTTGCTGTCTTGATCGCCCTAAACATGGCATGCACCACTTTAATGGGCTGCTGGGTTATTGGACGTTTCATGGTTACGTCCAAGTAGGTCTTGAGATTCTCCATACACTCTTCACCGTATGCGGCTTGAGTTTCTGGAGTCAGATTGGCCCATCGTCGTTCTACGCCTTTGGCGTAGCCACCTTCGGCATGGTTTCCGAGTTGAGTTCGTGCCCAGTATGCTGTGATTGTATATGTGAAAAGTCAGAATGAGCATATTAACGAATAAATCGTGGTTTGTTTGCCAAACTTACGCTCAATTAGAACGCAGTGGATGCCGAATGGTTTGAATTCTTGTCGGATTAGGTGTGTCAAGGAGGTCTAAAGAGAGACGAAAGGGGATGTTGGTTAGTTGTGAGATTCATACAGCACAAAAAAACGATCGGATCGACAGAGTGAATGCTCGACACTTACAATAGCTTGCTTGCTGATACTGTAAACTCCCAGAGGCATGGTAGCTACTCGACCAGCCACAGATCCAATATTGACGCTAAGCAAAACAACACACAAAGACACATTAAACGACCAAACACCCTGTTTCGCAACCACAATACATACATTCTGGGATGGATCCTTGGATGTGCAGCACGGAAGCGACGTAAAGCAGGAATGAGAGCCTGCATGATCATAATGGGTCCAAAGTAGTTGATCTCCATTACACGGCGGTATTCAGACATTGGTGACCATTCAAAGAAACTGCCTTCCGCAATGCCTGCGTTGTTGACGATACAGCTAGAGATAAAACAGTTAGAATCGACTCTAATTTATCATCACCAGTAGCCTTAGATACAAAAAAATGTACTTTGACGACAAGGCAGCATCAACTTTTAAAGAAAGCCAGACGAACACACTTACTAGATCCCCTCAGGACACTCGGCATCAATCATAACCTTGCAAGCATTCACATCATCTTGAGACGTCACATTGATTTTGAATGGACGCATGGTCGCCAGGTTTCTGTCTTGGTGAGCTTTGATTCCGGCATCAGTCAGGCAGCCCGCGTAGACAGTCCATCCTTGGCTCGCAAGCTCACTTGATACTCGCTCTCCAAAACCCGAGTCGCAGCCCTATGTGACGAGAAATGTCAATACGGGTATGGTGTGTAATCCACCAAAAATATGTGACGTTCGGAGCGATGGGTTTCGGATTATCGTTGCAGTTAAAGTGATCAAAGATGAGTTCTTACAGTGATGAGGACTGGACCGACTGGCTTCTTGGTGGAAAACAGGTTGAGCATCTTTAGATGGAGATATATCTAAAAAAATCCAGTTTGGTCAGAACACATTCTGTGCTAGCTGATTTATAAGCGATCATCAACGCAGAGGCAGCAAATACATTCATATCACACATACCAAGAGATTACTAGCTTGAAATTCCTTGGAACGATTTTGGTTGGCTGTCTGCGACGTTTGTTAGATGTTGGGAATGGAAGGACGCAGTTTACCAAACCTCCCCGAGAAAGATATTCGTTGTTATTTTTTCTTTTTCAGATCTTACGTTCTTTGCACCGATATGGCACTGTCTTGCTCTCCTCTTGAAAGGAGCTTGAAAGGGGTTATCTTTCGTTCTTGCGCTTTTCGTTCGACTTTTTTTCAAACCTGACAACTGACCCTCGGGATGCAGCATTGCCTATTCATTACCACCCGAGAATTTGGTATTTTCCTCTCTTGTACCTGTTGATCTCCGAGACGTGAGATTTTTTCGTGAAATGTGTTCAGCAAAAACTACTACTCTAGTGGTCCAGAACGAATAACAACAAGCGACTGCCTCCAAAACAAAAAGGATGGTACAGGATTCACGAATATATATATTTTAAGGTTTGGAGTGAGAAATGCTACACAAAATTCTAAAACTTGAACTCCTTCTCCTTGCCCTTCTTTGATCCACCAGTATCTGTCTTGCGTTTCTTGCTCTGTTTTTGAGCATGTTCAGCTACAAGATCTGAGAAGTCTTCTTTTGGATTGGCTGCAGCTCGTTCTTCTAGTGTTTCTTCATATCGCTTCTTGAGTAGCTCAGAGTCCAAAACACCATTTTCAGTCATCATGTCTTCTGGATTGAGTGCTACTTCAACACCAGATGGAGTAGACGAGAATCCTTTGCGCTTTCTGGGAAGTTGGTCTGGCATGGACGTTGAAGCTACAGCAGCAGCTTGTGCCTGTGCAGCTGATATATCATATACACGCTCTGAGCCCATAAATCCAGATATGTTGGTTGCTCGTTCCGGAATGACGGTATATAGAGACTTTGGTTGTTCATCCATCGTCCTAATACCAGATTAATGTCAGTGTTTGATCACACAAACTCGGACCTCTAGCTTTTATGAGAAAAACCCCCATTTGGATCAAAACGCTCCATAAATGCTCTGGTCATACCTTCTGTCTTTACGTAGCTCAATAAATTCAGGAGTTTCCAAACCACTAGGTACAGACGATGCAAGACCACTGGGAGTAACAAGACCTGCTTCAATGACAGGAGTAGCCAATCCTTCTTCCTTGACACCCTCTTCTTCCTCCTCTTCCTCTTCATCAGCAGCCACTTCCTCTTCCTCTTCATACTCTTCTTCTTCCATTTCACCCCATAGTGCTCGTTCGATGGGTGCTACATGTTCATGAGCGACTGGAACCTGAGTCACTCCAAAGACATCACCATATAACGGTCGATTGTATTCGTCTACTGGTGGTTTTCCCCATCCTCCTGGATGGTAACCCCATTGAGCACCTGCGGGTATAGGTGCATTCAACCCGGATATCTTTAGACTGGGATATGACGGTGGTGGCCCGTATCGTTGCATATTTATAAGCCATGGAGGTGGTGCTAACGGTGGTATACCAAGAGCCTGTTTTAAGTCTTCAGACAAGACCCCTGGCTTTGTCAGTTTCGGTTTTGTTTCAAACTCTTTGCCTTCATAATACCTGATAGTGAACAATAATGAAGTTTCGTGAGTTTTTCGTGCGTGTGGAGAAGGAAGCAAACAAAGGAGTGATAATCATAAAGAATGCTTTCATTCTTGGCAATCCAAACACAAGGTACTCACAGATCACCATGAATGGTAAACCTGGGTTTGGTTTGCAGTCGGAAGAAGGCATCGTGAAGTTTCTGGTAGTCTATGCTGAGCTTGCCCATCTTTGGAGCATGCCTTTCTCGAGTTTTACTTTTAAGTTTGGTAGCATCTTCCTTGTCCTTGACTGCTGATCTCATCTCCATAATGCCCGTAGCTTTGATAAAGTCTAGGAATACAAGTGTGATATTATGAGCAAAAAAAGGGAATCTCTGCCTGGGACTACTGCACTAATTACCTGGCAATTCAAATGGTGGTTTCTCAATACCACGCTTTCCTTGTAGATATTTACGTTTCTGCTGCCAGTGAATAGGAACTGGCACTGTATTCCGATATGATTTGAGGTGGACGAGGGTGATTGGATCTGTTGCTGTGATGTCCACCCACTATTGGAAAAAATGCAAATAAACAACACAACATACAGATAGCCAAGGCAGATTGTAAATAAACGTACCTCAACGACTTCAGGCTTCTTGACGACCTGTTTCAATTCAGCAACCGACATTCTATTTGCCTTCTTGGCTCTCTTTTCTTCATCCGCCTCATCATCGTCTGACTTGTCCTCATCATCATTATCTTCTAACAATTTACGTGCAATAGCTTCTTCAGCAGCCTTCTTTTCAGCTTCTTCGGGTGTGTCTTCTGGCTTCTCTTCAATATCATCGCCTCTTGTAAGTCTGGCAGCAAATCGTTCGAGTATGCCAGCGAGTTCACCAGTAGAATCTTCAGCAACTCCTAATGGAGCTTCAGTTACATATTCAATCTCGACCTCACTTGCCTAAAAGATTTGAGGAAAATGTTTGGAAAATGAATAGACAAACAAATCAATTAGAGGCAAGCGTACATCAGCGTCGTCGTTATCAGTATCAGTAGCATCTCCATTGAAACCACTGCTATGCGATATGACACTTCCTTCTCTGCCCGACACAACGCTTCCTTCTCGTTTTTGCTGCTTCTTGGCCTGCTTTCGTGTCTTTTTCTTGGCTGCCTTCTTCTCGGCAAGCTTGGCCTTGACTTTATTATTGATCTCGTCCCCATTGACGGCTGGCATTGGGGCTAGAGCTGCGGGCATCCTTGCTGTCGGTTTGTTGAAAACAATGAAATATGGATTGTTGGGAAGCTCATTCGCAGCAAAGAGACCACCGAACAGGGTATATACGATAGTTTTCAATACATTTACGCGATTTGGCGAGTCGTAATTCCAGGCTGAAGTTGATACATTTACAAATACGAAAAAACAGCAACAGTTGCAATTTACGTTTAAAAGCCTTCCACGCTTTTATAATAGGATTTCCCGTTGGTTTAAAACATTTGTACAAATTTGATTCACAGCGTATTCACTTCAATCCTCGTCGAACTTTGATCCATACCTAAACGTAGCTGTTTACAGTGTTCTCCCGTTCTATTTCCCTATAATTATTGCTGCGAAGGAGCCGACGACGAAGATCCTGCGGCCTGAGATGTAGCTTCAGTCGGCCGTGCTCCTGTTTGAGTGTTTCTCACTACTCTTGGTTGTTCTGAATCACCGGGAGCCAAAGCTGAAGCAATGGGTCGAGGGATTTGTCCCATATTGACTGGGTGTGGTTGCACAGGAATCGATCCTGTTCAAAATATCACATATTCAGTATTTGGTTGCAGCTGTTATTGATCACGACGTATATACGAGGAAATGCTTACCTTCGACAGTGGTCTCGCAACGTTCACAGCGATAGTGTTTGATCTGATAAATGGACCGGTGATCACTTCGAGGACGACAACGGTCGTGAACGAAGCCATCGCAACCTGCGCAATAAATCCAATCTTGGACTGCTTGCTCCTCTGAAAAATGACAAAGTACAATAGTGAGATACCGACCAACTTGTACAATAGGAGGAGGAGACGACTCTGGATGCAATTTTACCTGCACGAACTGCACATATACCGCAAACAGTACTGCGAAGGAAGATGACATTGCCCGCGGTGGTGTTGGTGGTGGTTGGAATGATGTTGTTGATGCTATTGTTCGAGTTGGAATGTACTACTGGTGCGGTTGGTGTGTCGTTTGGTTTGAGCGATGGTTTATGGGTGGGTTTGGTCCTCTTTCTAGGAGGAGATATCGGCATCGATGGCGATGATGAGCCTTCGGACAGTCCATGAAGACAACGACGTTTCCTTGCACGACAATCATCGCAGGCAGCACCGCTTCTAACGTATTGGATTGTCAACACAAAGGCAAAGTCAAATCACAGTCTCTACGCACCGTCGTTTGATAGGCTGATATTGAGAAGGCATATCAGGCTTTTCGTCACTCGATGTCGGAATAGCAGCGGCAGCACCAATATGAGTGCATCGTGTCTTTTTCTTGCGACAATCCTCACAAGCAGAGCCCCTCTCAGCTCTGTTCCGGCAAAGTAAACACGTTAAACACCTGAACTTCAATGCAGTCATGAATGCTAAACGGTCAAATCACCACGAAAACAAAGCATTCATGAATTCGGAGTTCCGGCAATGCTTACTTCTTGGCTTTTGCTTCAACGTCAACAATAAGTGGACTTCCGACGATGATCTCGTCTATGGGGGCCGATTCCAATTCCGAGAGGATAGCAACCTCCCCGTTTTTAGCATGATCATCCTTATCTAGCTCAGGCGATTCGGCATACTCTCGTGGGCCATCCACTGCGCCTGTGTCTGGTTGAAGATTTAAGTAAACAGTAACAAGGCTAAATCGAAACTCAAGTATGGAAGCTATGTACCTGTGTCCATTTATACCACTTCGACGCCGAATTAAGCAGTAACCTCAAGCAGAACTCGTTGGATGTTGGTTTTTCTTGTTGGTGGTTTCTACCTTTGACTTGAAAGGAAAGCTTTCGGTAGACTACACAACATCTGACAAGAAGCAATTTAACCTCAAGAGTCTATACTGACATGAATGGCAATGTAATCGTAAACCGTGATTATCGCGTATGGGTCGGAACGACGTGATTATCAGCTTCGGGGTGTCAAATCGATCGTGACCATACGCCAGCTCACTTTCAAGAGGCATTTACAATAGTTGGTGTGGTTTTATTTATGTTCTATGTTCTAAAGGAGGTTTTTGTTGTTTCAAAAAAGATATAGAGAGCCCATACAAGTGTTTTACAGCTGATGCTTTTCTACTTGTTCACCAAAATAATGAGATTATAATGCTCTTCCCGTAGATTCCACCGTTTGAAAGTCCCCTGAGAGTCATTGTTGCGAAGAATGTAAGCAAAATGTTCATGAAAGAAGCCATTTAGATCTCTGTTATTGACCTTGGTGGGCTTCTTAAGTGACTTTTGCGTGTTCTTAACATTTTGGATTTTTGTATATTACGACTAAACACCAGAGCAAAGAAATCCGTTCACTTGCGAACTGCATGCTTCTAGCGTAGTATTCGTGTTTCGTAGCGTAGTATTTTGTGTTCAAGTCGTGCAACAATTCTTCCACCTCTTGTCATAACATTCGTCAAAGGCAGCTGCTTGTTTTTCGCGTCAACAATCAGATTTTCAGCCAACTTATATATATTTGTTGTATGTTTACAAAATTCTTATTCCAATTCCTTTTGAGATCACTTTGCGGTAGCTGCAGCAACTAGTTACGATAAAATAATGTCAGAAACTTAATGAAAAGCGATCAACACAAAGAAGGAAGCTTACCAGCATAGTTGCCGCTATGAGAGATGGTCACCTTCACTTCCTTGACACCAACACGCTGCACTGCTGCCAGTGGCGCTCCATAGAATGTCACAACAGGGGCCTTGTCAGCTTCACGAGTGATTTCAATATCAATCAACGGAGCTCCAGATCCTTGGTTCCAGACAATTGTATTGCCGCCTGCTGCTGATGAGACTGCCTTTATAACTGCTTCCTTTGCCGCCCATCGACCAGCATAGCTGGCTTGAGGGTTGGGCTGTGCATCACAGTATCGACGTTCTCGAGTAGTGAAGTTGCGGGCCAGGAAGGTTTCATTGGCATCATTGATTTCAGAGATCAGTTGTACATCAATACCAACTCCTTTATCGGCACTAGTAGAGCCAAATACAGAGCTGGATTCAGTCATGAGTTTGACGACTTCGAGATCGACAGATGGTGTATCAACAGATCCTGCTGTAAAGTTCCATGACTTGGAGTGCTTATCGAAGCCTGCACGAGCCAGAGGGTTGAGGTATACACTAGAAGCCTGCTCATCTGTATATGGTGCTGCAGCTTTGACTCTTACAAATGGTGCGGCTCCAGTCAACATTTCGTGGAAGTATTGGTATGATGCGGTCTCACGACGAGATCGACGTTCTGCATACATTTGGTATTCCTTCTCTTCTAATGCTGCAAAGAGATAATCGGGATGGATGACCATGACTTCACCACCAGCTTGGCCGAAACCAAAAGACTTCAACAAACCAGCTTTAATACCGTCTGTTTTGATGGATTGTGATGGGTAGAATACGTTTTCGAATTTGCGTAAGGCCTTATCTATATTATCGGCGTTACGGTTTCCTGGTATAATACCGGTTTCCAAGATTTGCAGTACACCATTGAGCATCCAGGCTGCAGCAGCACCCTTTGGATGTCCAGTGAGGTATTTTTGGAAGACACCAGGACAAGCATTTCCAGCAGTACGGCCGAGATGAGCTAATTGTTGATTGAGTACTGAAGATTCATTGTAGTCGTTGGCCTTGGTACCAGTTCCGTGGAAGGATGCAACTCCTGGAGAGATGATGGAGGAATAATTTGCCTCGTCAGTAATTGTGCCATTCGAGCAGGACAGAATAAACACAATAAAAACAAGAGTTCATACCAAGATCATCAATAGTGAGGCCATAAGTCGCAAGAGCACCTCGAATTGGAGCAATGCTTGGATCATTCTTCCACCAGTCGTGACTCCAAGTTTGTAAAGCAATCTTTTCCTATAGGATGCGAAAAGAGGCATTTAGATTTAATACCCAAAAACAGCATTGAGCCAAAACACAAGGCTACTTACTCTACGATTGCCTTCTCGATCAATGAATTGAGCACGGTCCTTCATAAAGGTCTCGTCGATAGGCTCATGAGCAGCCTTCATAGCTTCAACTTCATCAGTTAAAGCCTCATACTCTTTGGTAACCCATGAACGAATATGTTCTCGTTCACGACGAAGTTGCTTTTGACGATATCCAAAGTTGAGCATAGGAGTCGAATTCTTAAGCTTCAATTCCTTGGCTGTAGTCAAGATACCTTGTCCTGGAGCTGGGATAGATCGACCATTCTTATCGGTAGCTGTATTGGTCAAGGCGATTATACCACGGATGGGTACTCCCATCTTAATGGCCAAGTCAGCAGCCATCAAAACATGGATACCAGCACCTTGAGACTCCATAAAGCCACCACGAGTATCAGTGGCTGGTCGACACATATCCTTGGGTTCACGACCATGTGCATATTCTTCTACAGCACTAGACGTAGCCTTCATATTGGCGAATTCATATGATCCTTCTTCCTGGAAGTCATCATAACCACCACATAACACGATCTTGGCTCTACCAGCTACAATAGTTTCTACTCCTATTTCTACAGATTCGGCAGCAGTGGCACAAGCACCGACAGGTGTCTTGATTGGGCCAGATGAAGACAAGAGCAACATGTTGATCCAAGCTGGCATAGTGTTGATAAAGGTCTCTTGTAAAATGTCGTTCTGTACAGGCTTCTCCATAAACCTGTCCTTGAACATGAGTCGAAGAGCTCTTACACCACCCATACCACCACCAGCAGTGTTACCGACTTCAGAGACGTGTACATATTGGTAGAATTCGTATGGATCGGTTACTCCAGACGTGACGAGAGCTTCGACGGTAGATACCAATACATATAAGGTGATGGGGTCAACCTGTCTTACAATATCAGGTGGAACACCATATCGAGCGGCATTCCAGCCAGTAGGGACTTGACCAGCGACCAGACGGTCGAACTGAAGAGCCTTTGGTACGTATAGAGTAGCACCTTTCTTAATTCGAATAAAGTATTGATCACCTTGTTGTTCAACAACACAGTTGTCACCGTGTTGATGCTTGAAGGCTTCGGCTTCTTCTTTACTACATTCGACTGGAGCCATGTCAGCTGTGACGGCAACCTCTTGCAGGAACATCTTCTTCTGAGGATCGTAACCATCAAACAAGGAAGGTTCTACAATAGAGTTGGTAGCAATAAAACGAAGAAAGTCAGTATTTTCCTCAGAAACCAAACAAAAAAAGTACACAACAGAGAAATATCTTACCAATAAGACGGATACCAGTGTGATCCAAGATGTCCTTTTCAAACTTGCTCTTCACTTCATGGTCTTTGAGTGGCTCTTCCGTCTTGAGATCAATCCAACCTGTATACCATGGGTTCTTCTTCAATGGACCATCGTGGAATTTAATGTATCCCATCAGCCATGCCATTTCGACACAACCTTCAAGAGAGAATTCACCCATAGCTTCCATTTCCCAACGAGTACGAGAACCACCAAGTGGACCTACTTCACCAAAGCCAGTTACAACTACTACCTTTTCCAAGTCTAGCATTCCCCGGAGATGGGTAAGCGTTTGAGCTTTAGGCATCTCTGGGAATCGGAAGGTAAAGTTGGCTTTAGGAGTGACGACTACAGTTTCTTGCTTCTTTGGTCCATGAATGACTCGTTCATCAAGTTGCTTTTCGTGGGCTATGGCTCGACGAGTTTCAGCAGTTTCGGTAAGTTCGTTACGGAGACCAGATGAGATGGTGTTCAAGTCAGCAACAAAGTGCAAACCACCGTTGAGATCGGCCCATACAGGCTCGGTCTCGGCGAGTTTGACAATGCTGGGATGGAGTAGACCAGCCAGGTTGAAGGCCATTTCGTGTTGAGAGAAGGTACGAGCACCAAGTGATTCAATGCCTTCAGCTACAATATTGTTACCAGCCATGAGACCAGTACCACGAGTCCATCTATATAATGGATTAATATCTACAATCGGACGTAAACAAAAAAATGAAATTCGTCACGGTGCATGTGCTTACCCAATGACAGCACCAATAATGGTCAAGTACGAGTTCCAGTGTTCAGCGTGGAATCGGTTTAGTAGAGTTTCAAGAGCAATCTTGGCTTCGCCATATAGACCATCTATAAGGATACGAATAATGAGACAAGGAACCGCAAAAAGGGATGAGCCACAGGCAAGATATCTTTTCACGAACTTACCAGCACCAAAAGTACCATGGTTTGGCGACAATGGCAACATGACAGCAGCTGGACGGGTATCATAGCCCAAGGCCTGCTTCTTATTTTTGATTTCACCCATCAACCGCAACAAGTTGTTTAACATGATACGATGGGCTAATTCAGATCGTGAATCGATATTGTCGATTTCACGTCCAACAACTGGAATAGCAGCGAATGGAATGACAAAGTCCAAATCCCAGCCTAGACCATGCTTGTCGTCATATATATATTCTATCAAGGCCTTGACATCAGAGACTGAGCCACCATTGAATGGCACTACAATCAATCGAGAGCCTTTGGATCCGTGACGTTCATAGATGGACCTGTAGTATTCTGTGACGGATTTCGAGAAGCGAGACGTTGTTACGATTACTCGAGCACCACCAGACAATAATGCCTTTAAGACCTCGACACCGATAGAGTCTTTACCACAACCAGTCATCAAAGCTTCTTTGCCCTTGAATGTAATACCATCAGCAGCCATTTGAGTCAACGCATCTAGATACAATTGCGTCAACTTAGCACTAGGTTCCCATGCTGATGGATCTTCCTTGGTTCGTTCCTTTAAGAAGATGAATGGAAGAGTATCGGTAGTAGCGGCAAATCCGTTTGGCAAGTTTGCCTTAATATCAGCAAACAAGCCATCAAGACGAGCCTTGCTTTGAGCATTGTAATCACGAGTAGAGGTAATAATGGATTGGAGTTCCTCGAATTTACGGATTACAGTTTGGTTGGGTGGGAGACGAGTCAACGCACTACCAGTTCTCATATCCTTGACATAGTCCTTCATGTTACTGGCGGTACGACGTTCTTCCTTGTAGACAAGTTTGCCGTCTTCAGTAGCATAAGTACGAGGACGAGTAGGTCGGTAGGCGACTAATAAAAGGGGGATTCAGAACAGATTCAGGATGCACCAACATTGCTACACAACGATGGCAATCACGTAAACAACTCACCATTCTTGTAGACTGGATCGGCATTCAAAGCAGCACGACAGTTGTCGAGCACTATCTGTCCATACTCCTTGACACCTTTATATCCTTCACCCATAGACGGATCTACCTTCTTGACTAAGAATTCCATGAAGGCTATCAAGCCTTGATCTTCAGTACGGTTCATAAGATGAATGACTTGGTTCATCAAGTCACGGTCTACAGCAGTAATACGTCCAAAGATCATATCATAGTAGAGACGGAGAGCATCTTGACGAGCCCAATTCCATGACGAGTCAAAGGATCGTGCCTTCAACTTAGAGAAGACTGGTCGAATACCTTCAGCATATTCATCACCATGTTCAGCAATCCACATGTCCAAGTCTGCTTGGAGACCAGCTTTACTATCCCGTTCAGCGGCAGCCAAACCAGCTCCTTCCAGCAAGTCCATTTGCAGATACTTAGCAAATTGTTCGAGTTGTTGTCGAACCAAGGCTTCAGTCTTGGCTTTGAGCAACTCAAAGTCTTCACTATTTACTACTGGACCACCGGCAGCACCTCCTGCAGCTGCAGAGACGGCGGCACCTCCAAGTGTAATACCAACTTTGGCAGCATATGAAGTAGATTGAGCATCCAACCAAGCCTTTGCTTCACCTTCCGTTCCAAGACGAGTAGGAGGCTCAGAGGCCAAACCATGTAGCAATACACCTTCAATACGTTTGGGTCCAAGACCATGGGTAGCTGATAGATGAGCCTTCACGTTACCCATACCAAACCCACCAGGCATCTTGCCGGAAATGAGCTTGTTGATCAAAGTAGTAGATGTTTTGCCTAGATTGCCGGAGTGTTGCATTTGTACTAGAGAAGCAACTTCACCAAGTGGTACTTCTTCAGCCTTGTCAGCGAGGACAGGACCGAATTCAGCACCCAAGTCACCCAAGATTTCGTTTTGCAGAGTAGACTTGCCACCAACCAAATCTTTAATCGCCTTGGTCATTGGGATTTCAGCCAACGACTTTTTGAGCTTCTGAGCAACCAACACATGGATGATTTCTGATACTGTTACATTGGCATCACTAATATAAAAAAGGATTATAGGATGTGTCAGCCAAAAAACTAATTCAAGATTATTCTGCAGGATAGTGCACGCCACTCGGGACTTACGTTACATTTCCTGCAGCTCGAGGAGCAGATGGTGCAGCTGGAGCAGAAGTAGCAGCGGCGGCTGGAGCAGCAGAGGCAGAAGCAGCTGGGGCCGAGCCAGAGGCGTCAGCTGGGGCACCTTCAGGAGCAGCTTCAGGTTCATCTTCGAAGTCATAGTAGATGTCCTTGGCATCCTTGCTGGTACATAAAGTAACACGTCGTCTAAAAATTGCAACGATGGTCAGCAATGAACACCTTCATCAGCATGAGAAAAAAACCGGAGAAAACCTCTAACACTCACCGAGTCACAGCATCATCATAAGCCTCGTACTTAGACTTGAGGGTACGTTGAGCCATACCACACAAGACTGGACCAGGACCGACTTCAATCAGACGTTCAACTTCGTATTCCTTGAAGAGACGGTCTTGTGTCTGAATCCAAAGCACAGGACTAGCAAATTGATGAGCCAATAATTCAATCAAGAGCAAGTATCCCAATCGTTGCTTTTCAGCAGGATTGACGAGTTGAGAATCCTTCCAGTTCTCCAAGACATTCTTAAGCAATACAGAGTGTGTTTGGTCGTATACTTCCTGGAAGTAGGATTTAGATAGCTCGAATGGTCGTGCAGTCAAGTTGGGTATGTATTTATGGATTAACAGGGATACGTTGATGAATCGAGGTTCGAGCTTCTTACGGAGGATTTCACGGAAGGGAGATACACCGTTCAATAAGAAGGACGAGTGGAAGGGCACATCGATACCAGCCAAGGGAATGGTAGCAATACCTCGTTCCTGAGTGATTGTTCCACCACTTGCAGCAGCTCGTTTACGAGATTCGGCAAGACATCCATCTACTATATCATTCAATAACTGCTCAATCTCTTTGACTGATCGAGTCTTGGTCAATTCGATGAAGTTCAAGTTCATTGTCTTTATCTTGTTCAAGACCAAGCGAAGCACATCTAGACAAGTGACTTCACCAGCAACGACATATTGGAAGTTTTCAACGTTGAAGTTGACGATTTCCAATAATGCATTTGAGCGACGACCAACAGCAGAGATTACAAACTTGAGAGCTTGTTCACCCATTGTTGGACCAACTCGAAGAGGGTTGACGGCAACCATACCGTAGTCAGATCGACCATCAGGATGACGAGGTACAGCGACTTGCATGGTCATACCACGGTAAAATACTACATCTACTAATGATTCTACCGTCAAGACTTCACCGACAGAGCATAGAGCAGCGTATTCACCCAAACTAGAAGAGCAGTGGAGACGTTGTGAGGACAAACAATCTTTTCGTTTCATTCTTATATTTTTTTGTTTACCTATGACCTGCGAATGGACAGTCTTCTTGTACGAGACCGCTATGCTTCATATCCTGAAAACTAGCAATTTCCATCAATACAAGAGCTGGCTGAGTGAATTGAGTAGCAGACAAGAGACCAGCTGGATGGTTGAATGTAAAGCTGCTCGATGATGGTATAATATCAGGGAAGAGTGGCCGAGACAGCGTCTTCCCGTCAGCACCAACGACATCATACATCATACCCATATATTGGTCACGGATACGGCTACCTTTTGGACCACCAAAGTGTACAGTCTTGGATTTCGGATTGTTCTTAACTATATCCAAGATAGAGACACCGTATGTATTGATCATGTGGCTGTCTGCTCGGTCCCAGATATCCTTGGCGATAGGTGATGAAGCGTATAGTTCCATACCCATAGATGGCTCTTGAGATCCTTGGCCAGTAAAGACATATGAAGTCGTTGGTTGGTCGACTTCAGCCGTACCTTCCAAGACTTTGACACCAGATTCAAGCTTCAATGTCTCAATCTTGATCAACTTACGACCGTTAATCATACCAACATGGTACAACTTAGTTTCCAATTGATCACCAGGCAATACCATATCTACAAATGTTACTTGGTATTCCTTTACACGGTCTGGGTGGTTGTTTGCCGCAAAGATTTCGACAAACTTTCGAGTAGATGCTGAAGTCCACATTCCATGCGTGATGGTACCAGGCAAGCTGGCAAGATCAGCAAAGTAGGGGTTGACGTGAATTGGGTTCAAATCACCTGAAGCTCGTGCATATGTAACATTATTTGGGGGTACGGTGACGACTGCTGGGAAGACTTTACGGTCTGGCAGAATCGAGTATCCACCAGTAGAGAAGTATACGGCTTGTTCGATTGGAGTACCGTTACGGTTGAGATATTCCAATACGACGTTACCGACGCAATCACTTTCTTCGTGGTTTACGGTACCAATTTCGACGGTTTCACGTGTAGTTTTCAGGAATACTGAGCCAATAGTAGACACCTTTTGATAAACACATGACGTTCAGTAAATGTAAGTAATGAAGTAAAAAAAGCCGTCAGTAGGACAAGTGCATCCAAGTACAAACCTTGGCAAACAATTTGTCATTCTTGAACTTCGTCAAAGTATTCAATCTGAAAATCAAAGTAGATCCAGTACTCAATTCAGCAGATGGATTGGTCCATTTAACCCATTTCTTATCCATCAAGACAGCAACATCTTTCTTTGTCTTGAGATCCACTTGCATGGGCTTCTCAACAGTACGACGGAAGGTGTTGTCATAGTCTGAGAACTTGCCACGATACAAGAATCGAGACAAGATTTCCAACAAGGCACGACCTTGTTTGAAGAGAGTAGCCTTTACTTCTACAGTCTTGCCTGCATCAGAGATGATGACTGCATTGATGACAGCTTCAGCTGAAATGTCATCGCCAGCTTCAATCATTCCAGATTGATCGAGCATACGGAACTACCAAGTCAAGAAAAGGATGACGAATATTAAAGAATGCGCAAAAAAAACTATCGATAAAGAAAACGACATACCTCATTGGAAAGATGCACCAATCTCAACAAGTCACCATCAATTTCCTTTGGCAAGATGGCAGTAACCAATGCTTGCCAACCAGCAACAATGGCAAAGTCCATGGGAGCTTTAGCGTTACCATTGGATACATACATTTCAGCAGTATTGCCAACAATAGTGGTAAAGTCCGAGATACGTTGTCGATCAACACGGAATTGAGCCTTGAATGTCTCTTGAGTAGACATGTTGAAGGCCTTGGAATCAACATACCATAATTGACCATAGAACGATTTGATGCGTTGGTTACGACCCTATAAAAATATAGAATCGTCAGGATCGGAGGGCCAACAAAAAAAAATTCGCCGCAAGAAAGTTTATAACCCAAATAAAGGTAACATACCTCCATAACTTCATGAATAGGGTACAAACCAGGTCTGTACTGGAACATGAATTGAAGAGGCACGTAATCATTATCACGCTTCTCATACAATGTCAATGTAATATTATCTCCTTCATGAGATATAACAAGAGCTGGATGACGGCTTGGGATACCAGTTTGTCCTTCATCATATACAGTAACCAACTGTGGAGCCTTGGTCTTATCTAACTGTACAAAGACCGTTTGACGAGGTCGAGGACGTAATATACGTTGTACTGGGTTTGGTACTAGTAAATGGCCTCGGACTATAGATGGTGATGTGATGAAGGCTCGCAACCATGTGTTGTCTGGTTGAGCAAGTACGTCCAAGTAGTCGGCATCGGCTGGCAAGTCCGATGATGTACGAGTGATTTCGTACATAATTGATGACTCTTCTCCTGGCAATTCAGAGACACTGACACCAGCTAGTTTATGAGCAGATCCACCACGAGCTCCCAAGTATTCGACAACTGGGATGTTCTCATTCTTGCCACTATAGTACATATCCTTGATAGACTGGATATGAGAGCTATATATGTTACCCAAGATGTCTGCTACGGGTTCATCGACAATCTTTGAGTATTTGACAGCAACAGGCCCTTGCAAGATAGGCACACGTTGAGCATCTCTCCCAACAACTGCATCCAAATCTTCAGACTGCCATAATGAGTCCTTCTTGAACCAAAATTCAAGATTACCATCTACTACTGGGACAAACGGTACTGGTTTCTGCCATACTCGTTTACCACAGATGGCCAAAAAGTGGAGGACATCTTCGTTGGTGAGAGTTTGCTCGGCAGCTGGAGGGAAGGCTTCAAAGAAGCCTGCCAAGAAGGTATCGGGTTCGTTCAATTCGTTGTTGGTTTGGATCATGGACGGAGCTTCGTTGAGAGAGAATCGTTCTTCGATTCTCCTCAAGAAATCACCAGTGAGATTGCGGAGAGAGACATCCAACCAACGCTTCTGGTGACGGATGTACATGAGCTCTACCATACGGTCAGCAACTTCCTTGTAAGTCATCTAAGGACATCGGAATGATGAAGGTTAGCCAAATGAGTTTGAGGTGACGAACAATTCGAGTTTCTGGTTTGCTGCCCGAGCTGATGCGTCATCATGCAAAAGAAGAACCAAAGCGACAATGATAGTAATACGCTACCTCGTGAAGATCAGCAACATGGCCATCCGTCTTCTTTCCAAAGAATGGCTTTTGGTAGTCAGCATTGAGCTTTTGAATGATCCAATCTTTACGTTTGGCTACAGCAATAGCTCGTTTCTCTCCACGAGGTTGAGAGAAGATGTGTTCATCCAATTCCTTCCAGAATATGATACCACGATTGGCAATCTTGTGAATGGGTTCACCAAGTTCAGATTGAACTGTGATGACACCACCGACAGCTCCACGGTAGGTCTTTTCCCAATCACCTTCACTCTCGACACCTATACCAAAGCATTGAGTAAGAACGGATTGGCAAAAAATGAAAACCTTGGTATTGGTATAATATGTTGGAACATACCAGTAGCTTGTACAATCAATTCCTTGACTGCACGATTAGCATTTCCTTCCTTGGCAACCATGACACGAGATCCAAACAAGACACCGTCGAATGGCATGGGTGGGAAGTCAAACTTCTCAGACCAAGAACCAGTCAAGTATGGGAGAGTATCATCAGCACCACCAAATCCAGAACCAGCAATCAAGATGATGTTTGGTTGACGACGGATGGATCCTGAAACAGTGCGAAACAGTGAGTTCGTCACTTGATATTGATTCTTTTTTTGGCAACCAGTGTCTCCGCTTTAAAAACGAAAAATAGGTCAAATCTACCCATACCATAGTTTTCAAGCATGGGTTGATGGAAGTCTTCAAAAGAATGATGACCACCAGCACGTCCACCAGTCCATTGCAAACAGATAGGGAAGTCTGGATTACTCTTTGCAATCTGAATAACACGTCGAATCATTTCACCACTTCCTGGTTTGAAACCACAGTGTCGTACACCAGCAGCTCGGAAGTTGGCAATAAACTCGTTAGCTACATCCAAACTGGGTACACCTGCTCCAATAGTGACGGAATCTAGAGGAATACCAGCTTGTCTCATGGATATAACTGTTGGGTACTGGAAGCCCCATTGATACGAGTTCAAGAAGAGCATGTTGAGACCAATGCCTTCACCGGGTTTAATCATATTCATGATTTGCTCTGTACGCAATCGTAAAATATATTCGTTATATTGTCCTCCACCAGCCCATTCGACGTGATATCCTGCATTAGTGACTGCAGCACAGAATTCAGGTGATACAGTAGCGGGAGTCATACCAGCGACCATCAAGTGAGGTTTACCAATTAAACGAGAGAAGGGAGTATCAACGTGGATGTCACCAGTTCGTTTGATACGTAAGAGACGAGGACGATATAATTCGGCCCAGTTGGGAGCATACTTGACTGTAGCTGGGTCAAAGTCAAAGATGGCAGACTTTTCTAGTAATTCTTCCTTTTGAGCATCCAAGGTACCAGCCAAGATGACTTGTACACCTGTTCCTTCCTTATTTTTATGTGTAAGACCTCCAATACCAGATGCTCCACCAGGACCAAAGTCAATCAAGTGAGTGACTTTGTCGAGTCGAGTAGCTAGTTCCCATTTGACCGGTAGAGTACAAATCATATCGCATAGGTCTCGAGTCAATGTCCTTGAGCCTCGTAAGTCTTCACCTACACAACAGAAATATATATTGTGAGGATTTGCAATCAAAACGATGCAGGTAGTATAATCAAAGCGTGAAAAAAAGTCACCAAGCAATGAAAAATTTGATCGATCGAGCCAAACCATCTCTCTTCTACCCTCCGAATCCAGATTCAACAACCACAAGAAACGCGACTTACCAGTATTGGTGTTGAATACAGGCACAGCAAGCTTGCAAGCATCAAACGACAATCCACGAGCCTTGACATCCTCATCCAACAAGTTTGCGACACCAGCCAAACTGGGCGAGTGGAAGGGTACCATGACAGGCAAGAATCGAGAAGAGAATCGAATCTTTCGCTGAGAGTGTGGTACTCGAGTTTGGTCTACTCCTGGATCTGCTTTAAGTTTACGGAGAGCGACGTTGAGACCATACAAGGATTGAGCAGCACCAGTACATATGATGGCACGAGGACCATTGATTAGTGACAAGGCGATCTGCTTTTCAGTTGGAAGATGGACGTTTGTTGCATCTACTTGTTTTTGGACTTCTGCGACTCGAAGACCTAAATTTTGGGGATGGGGGAGATAGGTCAGTCAAAGGATTCCGTGGCGATAATTATAATGAATGTGACCATATCGATTTGGCATTCTGCCTTTGTTTGCAATGTTTTTTTGACTGAAAAGTCAAGCTCGAGAACTTGAAAATTTTCACTTCCAACCCAAACTATAGATCCCGATAAGCAAAACGTACCAACGATGCTCAACATGGGAGTAGGTACTCCTTCTCCGTTTTCAAGAGAGTCTTCCAAAATATTTGGGTTGACTGTAGTAGTTGGGCAAGCAGCCTGACAGCGAGCACCAATCCAAAACAGTAGACCAAGAGCTTTCTGAGTGTTGTCCACGAATTCTTTATCGGTTTCTGAAGCCGAGATGACTGCTGCAGAAATGATTCCTTGACTATGTCCAGTAGCTCCTAAACATATTTGACAGTGACTTGTCAGCAGATGACGTGTAAACGAAATCATGGCAATTTTGTCAAGTTTAGAACGACGTAATGCTATCGATTATGATGCTTACCTTGGAAGTATCGACGGAAATCAGCAGGAGTCTTGTCGAGGACCTTCATGGTAACCCAATAGTTCAAGAGTTGGACCAAACCAATGACAGGTAGAGATACACTAGCAGCTAGTAGCGCATCTGTAGAAGGACGAGTATCTGGCTTTTCTAGCCAAGCGACTACATCAATCTGAGGAGTATGGAGTCTCTGGGCTTCAGCAGAAGCCGAGTGTTGCGCCAGTGTCAATGCCGACTGGATCAAGAATGGTTTGATCAAGGCTTCGTATGATGCGTTGATGGATACGAGTTCATCAAAGTATTCTTCAATATTTCCTTGGCCACCAAATACAGCGAATAGACGAGCTTTACCCGAGTCAGCAGCCGACATTAGGGCTGATGGTGATGGCAAGAATTCTTCACGCGAGATGAGGCCCTGTTTACGTAGCGCGACGAGAGCAGCATAGTATGTCTTCAATATAGTAGATTGAGTTTCGGAAGGCATGTCTCTAACTACGGTATGGATGTTGTGATGGCGAAGGAATTGATGTTGGAAGTGGGAGAAGACAGTAGCGACGAAAGGTAGTCTTTCGAAAGCATTGTCAGCGGTGACCTTGGATAGAGAGAAGCCTAGAACCTGAGTAACTAGATCTATTTCAGTATATTCATTGTCGTCGCCGTCAGCAGAGACCGTCGGCTTCGAGTCTGGCAGAGTATCACGAATGGACTCTGCCAGAGGCCAGAGTAAGATAGGGATTGCCATTGCAGTTTCGACCCCATGGCGTTTGATGACAAGTGGACGCTGCAGGGTGGTGGATAGGTCCTTTGTCCGAGGATCAACATCGACGCTCGTATGAGGAGGCATGTCGAGTCAAACGTATATGGTTTTGTGCCCTACTAGAGACGATATTATGTAGGAGACAGTCAGTAAATGTATAGCAACTGTTATCTAATTTTCTATAAGATTCACTTGCTTGACTTGTCAAGAATGTTTGATGGAAAATGTGAGTAAAGCAGAATTTGCAACTAGTAAGGCTTGTGCGACGGCAACGCGCTCAACTTTGGATGAATACCTGTCAAAACAGAGCAACTTTATCGTCAAATATCAATGCTTTATTACGTGTACAATACAGCAATTCGAATCATAACCACCCCTGCTGACTTGATCGAACAAAAGACCGTTTGTCGTAGGGTCGGAAATTTCAGATCAAAAATGTTACGACCCTTCAATCTCCAACATAAAACTCAACGTTAATGCGACAAATTCATATTCATTCTTCTCATTAGCACGTTCCCAAATCTACTATATACTCGTAACACGACCACCATGGGAAACTGTGTATCATCTGGCAACGAAAACAGAAAGGTGTCGCCGGCTCCTCCACAACCAATCGTCAAAAAGGACACCGTGCAAGCTCCTCAAGTTCCTGCTCGTATATCTACCACTATTCCTGTTCAAAAGGTCCCTGCTCAAAACCCTCCAAGGTAGGTCATCTATTCATCAAAATACTTGCGTTCCTGTTTAGCAGCTCTCCAAAGAGATCTAACTGACGCGACTTTTTCACGATCATAATAGCCCAGCTAAAGTAGCATCTCAAGCCATCATCTCTGCTTCAACCAAGAATGTGTTCGGAGGCATAGACACACTACCCGGACAAGTCCACGATTCAACACCATCCAAATCAAAGAATGCTTCCAAGTCAAACCTGGCCAACAACGCATCAAAGGCTAAACTCGCATCATCAAAATCTAATTTGAAAGCTACCGGATCTACTGACTCCCTGTCAAGGTCGAAATCAAATTCTGCGGCCAAATCAGCATCAACAAACAAGATGGCTTCAAAAACTGATTTGAACGAAGAAAAGTCACCCATAAAAGAAGCACCTTTATCTCCATACAGAGCTGAATTGAAGGCTTCTTCTCAATCGCATCTATCTACGTCAAAGACTCAATTGGCTAGAAGCGAATCTACTAAAGCTGGCTCAAAATCAAACCTGTCTACTTCCAAGAACGAGCACAAAGGATCTAAAGCCAACCTCGCATCTTCAAAGACGGACTTGAAGCATTCCAAGTCTAACGATGAAATGAAGAAATCAGTCAACGAACTAGCTGCCGCCGCCGTACAAGAACAACAAGTAGAAGCTGAAGCAGTTATTGCCGCTGAAGAAACAGTTGCTGATGCCGCCGCCGAAGAAGTAGCTACAGTTACTGAAGCCGCCGCCGAAGAAGTAGCTAAAGTAGAAGCTGCAGCCGAAGAGATCGCCGAAGTCAAGAAATCCATTTTGGGAATGTTTTCGTCAAAGGCCAAGATGAATTCTTCAACCACCAGTATCAAGAGCACAGTCAAATCATCCAAGAATGATATGCGTGCTTCTCAAGACGCACTTCTACACCACAACAAGGCAGACGGTGAAGTTGCTGCACCTACTACTGAACATCACAACCACAATCATCACGAACACCACGAACACCTTGCTGCTGAACCTTCAGCGGCTGGAATGAGCGATGAAGTAACATCTGCTTCACCTGTAGACCAACACCATGAAACTGAAAAGGCTGCTTCGAAAGCTGATCTCAAAGCTTCCAAGGCTGACCTAAAAGGTTCCAAGGCTGACCTAAAGGCCTCCAAGGCTGATCTCAAGGCTTCCAAGGCCGAACTCAAGGGTTCCAACGCAAAATTGGCCGCTTCAAAGACCGACTTGAAGCATTCCAAGTCCAATGATGAAATGAAGAAATCCAAGTCAACTGATGAAATGAAGAAATCAATCAACAAAGTTTCTGCTGCCGTCGTAGAACAACAAGAGGCAGCAGTTGAGGCCGTAATGGCTGCGGAAGAGACAGTTGCTGAAACCGCAGCCGAAGACGTAGCTCAAGTAGTATCAGTAGCTGACGAAGTCGTTGAAGTCAAGAAATCCATTTTGGCAATATTTTCTTCAAAGAGCAAGTTGAGCGCTTCAACATCAAGTCTCAAGAACAATGCCAAGTCATCCAAGAATGATTTACACCACGACAAGGAGGAAGTCGCATCTCCAACAGCCAACGAACACGCTGCACCAGCAGACTCAGTGATGGGAACCGAAACACTTGTACCCGAAGCCGAACCACTATCTCCCGGAACCGCCGTCGAAGAAGGTCTCCTAACGGCAGCTGACTTTATCGCCGAATCAGTAGTGCGAGACGTCGCACGTTCACTCTCATCAAACAAGCTAAACAAGGGATCTAAAGATGAATTACGGTCGGCTTCCAAACACGAATTGGCCAAATCAACCAAGTCGCTCAATGCCAAGAAATCGCACGGTGATCTGGCGTCTTCCAAGGCTGAATTAGCTGCTTCCAAGCATTCAATGCAGGCTGTGGCTGATAAAGCTCCAAGTTTGGCTGCTTCCAAGCATGAATTGAATTCTGTTTCTAAACATTCGATTGCTGCTGTCGCTGCTGATGAGACGACACCTGTGAATGGTTAGTCTTGCGTTTGTGTTGTGTTATTTAGTGTCGAGATCTAATTGATTTCTTTAATTTAGATGAAGATCTAGCTCCAACACTGTGCCAGTCCTCTCCCATTGACTGCTAGAGAGCAATACTACACACTGTAATATAATTCAGCCAAACATACTCATGAACCTCAAGTAGCAAACCAAAGTCGTGCCATGACGCGTGTTATGCCAATGCGAACTGCGTAGATCTATGTATGTGTGTTGCGTTTGTGATGTCAGCCAATGTAGTGTGTGTTACCAAATTCAAGCTCCTGCTTTGTCCGATTCCCTATTCTTCTCGTTCCGTTGTTGGCCGACTAGCTTATATTTCTTGCTCGTTTTAAGACTCAAAATTGCCTGGATTTGACTGCGTTAGCCGTCTCTCGTGATCTCTTTCTGTATCAATTGCGTCAAACAAAACAGCTTGAAAGACAACATGACTCCCAAACGACCAGTTATTATTGCCAACTGCTCTGGAATGTACGTCAACCATGTTCATTTATGCTTAATAAATGAGTATATATCTCACAATTCTATCTAGGACAGGTCAGTCTCTCGTAATTTGAGACATCAACCCAGATGCTGAAATCCTTGAATTTCATTGTAGGAGACAGAATGGTTGCGATGAAGGAGCAAGCTCTCCACTCGCCTGATGTTATAACTGGCGATTATCTTGCTGAGGTACATATCCATTGTGTTTTTGTGGTGAAGTCAAGTTTTTGTGGCCACCAGATTGACCATACCTCCAACAGTTCAACCTGGCATTCATGGCATCATCACCCAAAGGCCGATACGAGCAAACATTCCTGGCAGCATTCAACAATGCAGCTCAAGAACTTGCAACTCGTAAAATCAAACTGGTGGTCAACGCAGGTGGCATGGATCCAGCTGGTCTAGCTAAAGCAACTCGTGACGTGCTACGTGCCAAGAATCTATCTCTAAAAGTGGCGCATATTGAAGGTGACAATATCATGCCGCTCATACCTAAACTTTTGTCATCAGGACACGAGTTACGAAATCTGGACTCTGGACAGCCGTTTCGAAATTGGGGTAAATCGCCCGTGTCGGCGAATGGGTACCTGGGAGGGTGGGGTATATGTGAAGCTTTAAAGCAGGGTGCTGATATTGTGATTTGTGGCAGAGTAGCTGATGCGTCGCTAGTCGTTGGTGCGTGTGCATGGTGGCATTCATGGAAGCGCACGGATTTTGATGCACTGGCTGGCGCAATGGTTGCTGGTCATGTTATTGAGTGTTCAGGTCATGCAGTAGGAGGCATGTTTTCTGGGTTTAAAGATATTAAGAGTATGAAGCACTTGGGATACCCTGTGAGCGCAAAAAAAAAACCATACGACTTTTGCTGTCAAAGCTGTGAGAGCTTACTGGTTGTTTTTAGGTCGCTGAAGTGGCTCATGATGGAAGCACCGTCATTACAAAGTATCCAAATACGAACGGACGCGTCACAGTAAGTTTGTACTATCGTACATTTTCTCCAAACGTTTTCAGGTATCTACCATTGTTTGTTGAAAGTCTTTTTTTAACCTTTTTACTCAATATACAGGTCCACACCGTCACGGCTCAAATCATTTACGAGATTCAAGGACCAGCTTATCTCAATTCAGATGTGACCTCACATTTCGATTCAATCCACATTGAAGAGATTGCACCAGACCGTGTTTTACTCTCTCACGTTAAGGGGTCTGCTCCACCTCCCACAGTAGGCGTCGCGTATTCGATATGGAGTATTTCCACTGAGCAAGCTAACTGTGCCTCTTTTGCGCTGGTTACAGACAAAAGTCGCCATAAATGCAATTGGCGGCTACCAGAATGAGCTTTCATGCTTTGCGACCGGCCTTGATATTGAAGAGAAATGTCAAGCAATGGAGGAACTGGTGCTCGGGGAACTGGATCCCGAGAATGTTAAAAAATTCGATTATATGAGGTTTCAACTTGTTGGTGCTGCAAAGGAGGATCCAGAGACACAGGACGAGAGCACCGTGCGTATACGTATTACGGTACAAGCCAAAGATCGGAAATGTATTGATGAAGGTGAGTCATTTATTTTGCAAGTGCATTTCGTCGGATGAGTTTCCAACTTTTTTTTTAATCAGGCAACTGGTCAAGACCTATACTGGGAGCTTCTCTGACAGCTTTCCCTGGCTTCTACGTTACAATTGGTATGCAAAAAATACGCTGTCATTGGTCTGGCACATGAGCTCACACGCTGTTTGCAGGCAGACCACCAAGTCCTATACCCTTCTACGAGTACTTCCCAGCTCTGATACCATACTCGGAACTCAAGCATCAAGTCGTTTTGGAGGATGGACGGATTGTGGCCGTTCCACCAACCCTTGGTATGAGAAAAATGCACTTTAACAAATAGCAAATACGATACTGAAACTGATGCACTGACTACCGTAGAAACCGCCATTCCACCTCATCATCCAGCCGACCATCAAATCGCACCAACCAAGGAGTTTATGCGCAAATTTGGACCCACAAAAAGGGCTCCACTTGGGCGGATTGTGCATGGACGAGCTGGAGACAAGGTATGTGAATGAGTCTTCTCATTATGTTACTGAGAATCTAATTACATGTGAAAAAGGGATCAAATTCCAATATTGGCTTATGGGTAGAAACCGATGAAGCCTACGAATGGTTGCGAAACTTCATGTCTACCGCTCAACTACGAACATATCTGGCTAAAGAACTAGACATGATTCCAGGCGGTTGTGTCATTGACCGATGTGAATTTCCAAGATTACGGGCAGTCCATTTCATTCTTCGAGGATATCTAGGATGTGGAAGTTCTAATCGTGGTGTCATGGGAAATCATAGGCTAGACGCTTTTGGCAAGGCCGTCGCTGAGTTCGTGAGGGCTAGATATGCTGATATTCCAGTCTCATTACTGGAATCTTCACCATTGGGTGTTTCACTAACAAAAACAATCAAACCGCCTGTAGTTGATCTATATGCCAAATTGTAGTATGAGGTCATATATATTACGAAATGATATATGAAGAAAATGAAAGTCCGCGCTGTCTTATTTTGTTTCAGTGAATCCAGTAGATAGGGTTACCTGATTTCAAGAGTTACAAAAGAGTAAGCAACAATCAGAATCGCCATGACAGGCACAGAGGCTCATCACACTAACCTCCAAAAGTCCTTCTTCCACTCTCACGCTTGATGTATGTCACAAAGAGCGCAAATCCCACGACCGATGCAACTAAGGCACCAGCTCCAATGCCCACATACATTGGTAGTTTGCTTGACGTGTCCGAATCGGTGGGTGAGGCTGAAGGTGAAGGAGTGATCAATCCGACATCGACTTTAGGTGACGGAATGAATGTGTTGGAAGGAGTCCCTGGTGATGGAGCAATTATGACTGTTACAGTAAGCAAGGTTGGTTAATTTGCTTGAATTTGTCTCTTGATATTCGTTCAAGGCTTACCGTTTGGTGTGTTGGTGGGTGATGCGACAGCCTTCAATGTTGTTGAAGGACTAATCGTCGATGAAGCGAAGATTGACGGCGCGGGAGAGGGAACTGTAGAGGGAGAAACAATGACCAATGTTGCTGGTGAAACGGAGCTACTTGGAAGTGCTACGTAGGGAAGCGAACGATGAGTTATACGAATGTTTTCTCGACTTTTAGTTTTGGATTTTGTGGACGTACGAGCAGTTTGCTGTTGGGCGTCACCGAATGCCACACACAGTAGCGCGATTATTAGACACCATATTCCTATTTTCTTGTGCCATTCACCGTAATTCATTCCCAGATCTAGCACAATTCGTGTTTTTCTGTTTTGGGTGGTGAAGTTTGACGACATACATCGAAACCGGAATTTTGGTGCGAAGCAACTCGATGAAAGGTCCAAAGAAGCTAAGCTTACGACAATAAATCAAGACTTCATCTGAAAAGCCGGCCAAGCTCAAGAAGCCTTGTGAATTCTTTGATGCGGCAAAGAGCAGTTTGTTCCTTCAAGAGTACCACCAAAAGAGACAGTTCCATCCATAGAGTACCTTTGTTTACGAGTTGGATTTGACGCTAGAACATAAGCTGTAAGATGGTGTTAGCGGCAACTGTGCCTCAACCAATAATCGTTGTCCTTTCCTTCAACCTCCTTTTATTTGGCCACGAGCACTCCGAGAGTTCTACACACGGCAACAGAACCAAAACGACATTCCAAGCTCTGTAAATTACTCAGGTAGAGAGCTGCATAGTGCTAGGTAGGTGCGACCGGGCTTGATTCCGTCGAGCAAATTACCCTTTATTCACACAGCTCCGTTTTGAATCTAGAAGCAATACAACAACCATGTCGTTTCAAGCAAGTAGATCGTCATGGCCAAAGGGTGTTGAAGAAGCGGTAAAGGCTGCCACGGTTACTGAGATTGTCAAGCAGATTACGCAGACTAAAGAGTGGACTGGTAAGCGCAGATCGTTTCGGAAAGCTTGAAAACTTGGCATTTGGCAACTGACACTTTCTCTTGTATTTTTGCAGCTGAAATGGTGATGGAGATCTTTTGCAGACAGGCATTAGATGCTCAAGAGGTAGAGATCTCATTTGTCATAGATGTTGGCAAAAGAGCAGAAGCTAACGACCGTTACAATAGGAATGCAATGCCTTAACTCAACATTGGATGGACCGAGCAATACGACAAGCTCGTGCACTCGATGCAGACTTTGAAAGAACTGGAACACCTAAAGGAGCGCTACATGGAGTTCCGTTTTCAGTCAAGGAGCAAATCGATGTTGAAGGAACAGGTACACATCTTGTTAGATACTATATTTATATAATGTCGCCATACTGACACTCCTAGTAGATGCTACCTTGGGGTTCTCACGCTTCTTGGGCGAACCAGCATCACGAAGTGCTCTGGTAGTGAGAATACTGGAATCAGCTGGTGCCATTCCATTCTGCAAGACCAATTTGCCACAGGGCAATATGGCATTTGAGACTTCGAATCCTGTTTATGGTACTACTTTGCATCCTATGAATCCAAGTTTGAGTCCCGGTGGTTCGTCAGGGTATGTTTGCAAGTATTCACACCCGAAGTGAAATGGTCTTTTATTGAAGTCACTTTTTTGTCGTATTCGCTTTTAGTGGTGAAGCTGCCTTGATCGCATCATGTGGATCGCCATTAGGCCTTGGAACAGATATTGAAGGTGGTCTTCGTGTTCCAGCTTCATTTTGTGGTAAGTCTTCTGGTCATACTTGGCACCACCATCTGGACAAAAAACGTGTGAAGTCGCAGGACTGATAACACTTTTCACCCCTTAAAGGTTTATACGCCCTCAAACCATCATCAAACCGTATCCCACTACAAGGAGTGCGAAACAACTTGGGTGGTCCAGACGCGCTACGTCTATGTTTGGGCCCCATAGGTACATCTGTACAAGACTTGGCACGAGTGTTGGAAGCAATAATAGATGCTCGACCATGGAATGATGATTCAAAGACACTGCCAATCCCATGGGGTTTGGAAAGTGAAAAGGAGCCTAATCCTCCTCGATTTGGGTAAAGCGCAAAAAAATGAACAACATGCCATCGCAGATGATCTAACCATGATGTTTTTATTTGTAGGTACTATACAGATGACGGCTTAATAAGAGCAACCCCAGCATGCACACGAGCTGTATCAACCGCCGTACTAGCACTAGAAGCAGCAGGATATGAGTGTGTTCCCTTCGCACCACCAGACGTCCCAGAAGCCATATCCAACTTTTACGCTCTCCTATCAGCCGATGGACTATCCACCGCCGTTGGTCCCAAAGGCCGAGATCCAATAGATCCAGCCCTAGCACCTTTTATACGTCTCGCAGGCACCCCGAACTGGCTTAAAGGTGTCCACTCTCGTCTACTTCGCTTTAGTGGAGATGAAGCACTAGCAGGAGTGATGTCAGCCATCCAGAAGCGGGACGTAGCAGGACTCTGGAGTCTGCAACGAGCACAACAGGAATACCAAGCTAAATTCCACGCCATGAAAACCGCAGCCAAGATCGATGCCATTATAGCACCTGTTCATGCCTTGCCCGTCGTAACGCATGACTGCTTTGCCGATATCCCATTTGCAGGTAGCTTCTCGGTACTATACAACTTTTTGGACTATTCCGCTGGTGTCATTCCAGTGACTACCGTCGACCCCACCAACGATACCTTGTCTGAACGCACATCTATGATGCGATCCAGCCGTGGTAAATGGACGAAACTCGAACGGGCTGTATTTAGACATTATGATCCACACTTGTTTGCTGATGTGCCTGTCGGTGTGCAAGTCGTCACTGGACGCTTGCAGGAAGAACGCTGCTTGAATATGATGGCATTGGTGGATAATGCTCTAGCTCAATCACGTGGTAAAACTCCAGCTGTGGCTCAGGCGGAAGCTAATGCTGCGAGAAGTCGTCGATATAGTATAAACAGCGCCAAATCGGATTCTACGAGGGTATCAAGCTCTGCTGGAAGTAGTAACAGGCACTCCATGACTCGACAGGGTAGTAGCAATAGCTTAAAGACTGTAGGAAGGAGGGTTAGTTTTGCTGATGATCTGGATCAACGATTTAAGGATGAAGGTCGAGAAACATAAACAGATGTCGTGAATAGGTAGGATAAAATGTTATTTTGGGGAAGGAGCGCTGTTGTAGTGGCAAATAAAATACAAAAAAAAGATAACCTTGATATGACTGACACATGGTCTTTAGTTCGAGTTAAATTGCTTCCAGAACAAAAAACACGGATAGAGTAGAGATATTATGAGCGAAAACATTCGCTAGAAAGTCCGAAGACATACAAGTACAAATAAAAATTCCCTTCATTCAGAAACTGTGCCAACTACTGTAGAGGGTTTACAAAACTTTCACTACTTTAATACTTATGTTACTCCTTTCAGCTACCCCCCTTTCACTCCTTTTTTGAAAACAATTTCCCAATCGTCTTTTGGAAGAGGACAGAACCCTGTCTTTTCAATTTACTACCACCCTGTTTCCCAACCGATCCAGAAGCATTCAACTGCTTTGTCAGTTCCAAATCAACCAAGTTTGGTCGTGGACCTTCAATGCTAGCCCTCTTTTTCGGCTTTACATTAGGAATGGTGATTGATAAATCGGGTTTAGCTTTCGATGCGTCGGAAGCAGATGGCAGCACTTCAGTTGACTTTTTGGCTTCTGCTGCTGGTGCAATCACCGGTGCTACGGCTATAACCGGACTTGGTTCGGCGGATGGCAGCGATGGTGATATAGCATCTGATGACAGTGGTGCTGCATTCAACGTTGCGGGGCTCATGGCTGCTAGACTGACCGTTGAAGGCGTAGAGACTGCTCCTGATACGGGTGTAGCCACGTCAGTGGTAATAAGCGGGATTGCGATTGGTTTGAAATCCATAGCGGGTAGTTGAGCTAATGATGCCTCCTTGTCGGGCGACGATGAGATTGCTACAGAGTTCTCGTTTACGGGTGATCCGGACAACGAGTTTACAGCTGCGTTTGATTTGACTGGTGATGGTGGTGTTACGGATGTTGATTTTACAGATGATGGTTGTGGTGCTGATGATGTTGGTGCTTCGACTATTGTTGATGATGGTTCGGCGACTGGAACTGCTGGTGTTTCTTCTTCGACTTTTTTGGGTGCATCGACGGGAGATGCGAGAGCCTTGGCTCTGCTTTCTAACAAGGCGTTGAATTCTTTGGTGACTGCAGTTCGTTCCTTTTCGAGGTCAGGCCATACGGTTAATAGTCTGTGTAACAAATTGGTGTATACTAAAGAGAAGAACAAGACATGGAACGAACGTGAGAATGTTGTCGTCAACTTCGAAATGGAATCATCACTGCAACACTTACCAGCTCGAATCATTGTTAAATCAGCAACCATAGAATCATAGAATGACTCATCACTGGAATGAGATACGGTAGTTTGAATTTTAGACAGTTCCTTCATTAGACCTTCCAGATATGCCAATTCAACATTCAATAATGGACGGTTGGGAGCAGGCATAGATGGAATTACAGCTGGATACGAAGTCTACAAGGAAAAGAAAAATTAGAAACACACCTTCCAGTGAATATGGTTTCAAGGATCAACCAACTTACTTGAAGGAAGGTATGAATACGAGTCAGAACCGACGACTGGTCAGAGATCTCTCTCCGATGGACCTTATACAACGCGGCCAACAACAAGGCAGCCTGATCTGTTGGAGTGGCAGTATTGTTGCTTCGCTGTAGCTTGGCTTCTGATAACTGTTTGGGCAAGTTTCGAAGTAATCTTTCCACTTTTTCGGCAGTGGATTTGAGCAAGACTGTTAATGGGACCGAGAACGTCTAGTTTGTTAAGAAGAGGGAAGGTTAGTGAACGTTCCCTATTATTATACCCAAAATGTGACTTTTTTTGGCTTACCTCTCCACTAAACTCGACAAACCCCTTATATACACGGTCAATCGGCTCTCTGAGATCGCTAGACGAGTTACCGGTTGTGGTGTTTGACCGTCTAGGAGCAACGGCGGCGCGCTCTGGTGCAATGACTCGTTCCAGAGCTGGGTTGGTAGCTACTCCCACAGGTGCAGCTACAGACACAGGTTCACTGACAGCTGGCGATGATGCATTCGGAATTGACATTGATGGAGTGGATGGTGAAGTATTCGTAAGAGTGCTTGTAAACGTTGTGGTGCTGGTTGGGGATGTTGCCGCATTGATCTTTTCGGGAGCAGGCTTTTCGGGAGTTACAAAGAGAGCCTCAATGTCTTCGGCGGTTACGGAAATAACATTGTTGAGGGACCCGTATCCGTTATATGTTGTTGGGTAGGTGTCGCATGTTACCCATTGACCATCAGCGATGAATTTCACCTACAAAACCAAGTAACGCTGAGTTTTTTTTCTCCTGATCAAACCGGAAGCAATACTCCATCCGTTACCTGTGTATCTTGAATTGACGGGTAGAGTTCCAGCGTAATAATAAACGAGCCGTCCGCCTGTTTGGTCATCATCGTGTTGTGGTAATTCCAGGCATTCATTGAACCAGCCACGTATACCTAGGCGAATTGTTTGTGTAAGCATACATTACAAATGTATTAAAACCAGTGTTCAAGACTTGGACGCTCTCATTTGAGGCTTCCTTCAGTGATTGAATTGGTTTCAAAGCATAACATTGCAACTTCAGAAAAAAACCTTGGCAAGAGGCTTGCAAGCTCTCCTTTCGAGCGTCGTTCAGTGGATTACTTACAGTGCTAGGGCCAGCTGGGTATGTGATCTGCTTCTCCACAAACTTCATCATCGTTGCAACGGCAGGTTGGGGTAGAGTTGACTTTTCTGTGGTGCTTGCAAGGTTTTAGTAGGAGACACGATCTGCTGGATTCTAACAACGGGCTGTTCAGAGGCTGAAAGTACAGCTGGCTGTGCTGAATGGTTTACGAAGTGATGCGTTGGACCTATCTGCAGATGGTAAACGAAAGTGAAGTGTTGATTGGTTGGAAAGTGAAATTCTGAAAATTGGAACAAATGCCATCACGATCCAAGTTCTGAGCACCATGCTAGTCGTCATATAGCGTAAAATATGCAAAAGAAGAATATTATGCGACTTCTCTACGAGCGATCGCTACTGGCCAGCTGTAAGAACACGTTCAAAAAGTGCCAGGTTTTCAAAGTCCGATTCTCGAGAGGCACGTTCTAAAGCATTATGAGACGCGAACTACCTTCCTCGACGCTCCTTCAAGCACAGAACTACTAGAACTGTTAGAGTTGAGCAGTCAAAAAAGGGTTGCACGCAGCTCGAAAACCATAAAAAAGCACATTACAACTTTTACTCCTTTATTACACCTCCCAAAATGAATATGCTATATAATCATTCTATAAGCTGAAACGAATATGTCGATAGGAAAACTCTTCATTTTTTTGTTTCTTGATAATCTTGGTCTTGTTACTGATTAGGTTGCTCGATGGTAACGGTTCCGCGAATATCCTGTTCCATTCTCATGAGAACGGCAAAGAAGCCGAGATTGGGACTTGCTTCTGGTCTCTTGAGGCGTACGTGTTGGTATGCTTCCTTTAGCGTCATGTTGTTGTGGGTGATGAGCCAGGCTAGGACGGCTGTGGCTGATCGTGATTTGCCAGCCTTGCAATGTACGAATACTATTGATCCTGGTGTTTTGTGAGCGTTTTCTGTAAGATTAGAAGAAGGTTGTTAGGCATCAATCAAATAAGACTACTCACCGAATCCAAAGATTGTGCAAAACAACAAGCATCGAACTTACGTATGAAATCAACTGCTTCAACCAACGGCTCTTCCATAGCGTGATCAGAAGAATCCTCCGTCTTGATCCACTTAAACACAAAACGACCATCATGTTCAACAGCATCATCTCGAATCTCCTTGGCCATATTCAGCACATGTGTAACACCCAATTTCCGTAACGAGTCAACAGCATCAAGCGACGTAGGCACAGTATCCGATCCAAGATACAACCAGTCCAGTATTTGCGAATATGGTTCTGTGGGTGTTGGCATGTCAGATGCCGAAAGCGGTGATGATGCATCGTTTTGCTGATTGAGGTCTCCGTCACCGACAAGCGACACCATGCGTGGTTCACTGACAGTTGAATGTGATGGTGTGCTACCAGTGATATCGGATAGGACTGTAGGAGCAAAAGATCCAGCTCGTAATTCTCGTACTTGTGGAGATCCAGCATCCCGCAATAGACAAGGACGTTGATTATTTGCCATAGTCAGCCGTCGTGGCTGAGCAGTTGTAGCGGTATTGATAGAGAAAGCACTAGCTTTCCGACCACCACGTTTCATCGGTCCGTTTTCTCCCAGGAAACTGTTTAGTGGGAGTGATGATGGTGTGGATGACAGTATGCCGCCAGATAGGGAATCAGAGTCCGTTATGGAGGATCCAAACTGTAATGATGACATTGGTGGTATCGAGTTGACTTGTGGGAGTGCTATGCTGGCTCGAATGAGGGGTTGCGAAGATGGTATAGATTGCAATTCTTTGAATCCACCCCTCACGTATCCGACTGTAGCTCGACGTGATTCTTGGACACCTGGTAGACCATCTGTCGTTGAGAATTTGCGGCCTGACGAGACATCGTATAGGTGGTCTGCAAGACCAAGCAGCAAGACCGATACCATACACCAAGCCTCGCTTTCAGCATCCTGTTCTGTCATATCGTCGTCATATACAACCACATATCGAGGCGTGCTTGGTTCAGCAGAACACTTCCGTCTCCATGTTTCAAACTCGGTTTTGGTGTCTGCCAATAAGAATGGATCAATTGAAAAGGCAGATATGACACCTTTCCTAAATCTCTTGATGACTATTGGTGGTAGATTGACATTCACCGATCCAACAATATGCTCTTGTACGAATTCATGTGTCGGTCTCATATCAATCAGCAAGATATTGGAACGTTGAGGGAGTGATGCTATTACATGCTGTCGCTTGGTGAGTTTTTCATCGGGAGTGTTTTCGAGGAGGTGGGATATAACAGCAGAGGCCAAGATAGCACAAGCGCCATTAGCTTTAGGAGGAGGTGGTGGTAGATCTACTATTGGTTTGTCTTGACTTGGTAGGACTGGATCTGCAACTAGTTCAGACAAGTGTTTGAGACTATTGCTACTCTTGAGTTTCGATAGTCCCAGATGGATAGATGGCAATGAAGGCAACCCAAACCCTTTCTTCTTTTCAACTTTTGTATCTCCTGCTGCTTGAGCTTCTTCAGGAATAGCTCGACTAGCAACTACACCTCCATTTTCGCCATGATACAAATCAACATTCGAGTTGTTCTTTGAGGGTCCTCTCGACACATCCTCATGACTAGAATGCAGCGACTGTAACGATCCCATACCAGGTGATCCACCATTTGAAATCCGACTTTTAGACCTCCTCAGCAATTTCGGCATTTCAGGAGATCCTACGTCAGAAGGTACATGTGTCTCACCACGTGAATGTACTGAATGGATTGAATGGTTTGAAGACGTATCTTCCGGCGTAACGATTTCAATATCTTGCTGACTGCGTTGTTTACGAAACGAGGAACTGAATACGTGCGAGATCTGTTGCAGAGCTTTGCTCAATCCAGCTGGTGAATGAGGCGACTTGTGTTCCAAGCTTGGTGAATTGGGTAGAGATGATTTCTGTTGTTTGCGATCAGTGAGTGGTGATTTCTCCATTCCTAATAGACTAGGTTTCGAGTCTATTGATCGGCCACTGGGTGTCACAGATCCATCTGAGTCCGTGTTGAGAGCGGTAGCTGATAGCGGTCGGTTCAAAGCTCGGGTTGAAATTGGTCTTTCGAATGTAATCAGAGATGATAACGGCCGTTTTTCAGGTTTGGGTGAATCAGGTGCATGGCGTGGCCGTGCTTGTATAATCGAGTCGATAGCCTTGTCGAGACTGGCATTGGAGTCTTGCCGCGGTCCTAGAATACGATCCAGTTTCATGGAAGACCGTGATGTGGACCGCTTGATAAACATTTCATCGTCGTCTTCGGCAGTTTCACCATCCATTTCTGGGATTGACGATTGACTGCCCATTCGAAGAGCTTGGAGCTGCTTGTGCGCAAGGAGAGTCGCAGTAGCGGAAGGGATAGCTTGTAGAGGAGCCATAACATTCGAGGCGGATGGAATCGAAGCTGTCTCAACAACAGCAGTAGGTTTGGGTATTTCGGAATCTGATCGATTCATTTCTGGCATTACAGGCTCCGGTATGTCGGTAGCTTCACCACTAACTGGCGTCCTTGTCGTTTCAGAATCACCATCCTCGTCTGCGGACGATTTCCTTGATCCTGATCCTCTTCCATTCATAGACATTTTTGTCAAGTCGTCAGTTGACATTGCACCACCATTATTATTCATTCGAGTCATGGCGGATAGATCATCAGACGATTTCGCATTCTTGCTATATATCGCATCGATTTGCGAAACCCAGTTTGTCATTGACGACCGACGAGACTGAGTGCGTTCATGCAAAGATGGTAGGAAGAATCGATCCGATAAGGAAGTGACGGAGCTCCGTGGTGGTTCTTCACTACCGGGTGTGGTTGCATCATGAAGCAAGGCTTTTGATGATGTTGACTTTTTGAATCCGAAATTGAGAGAATCTGGAGTGTGGATGGTAGATGCACTTTGTTTAGGTGCCTCCGAGGTTCCCGATACTGTAGCAAGTGATGGTAATAGTGGTTCTCGCATGTCTGGAAATTTCAACTGCGTAATTTTTAAGAATGATTAAAAGTTTGGTTTCGAAATTGGTGTAGAAGAATGGGAAACAGGGAAAAGCTGCCTGGACGACTTGAGACACATACCTAATGAGAATATTGTCAATTAGACTGGCCACCGATCCCCACTTTAGAGTTTGAAGTTCAACGACGGTTTTGAAAAAGTTTCCGTACGTGATTGAGAGCAACAACAGTTTTTATACATGGGACTTTGTGGAAGGACTGAAGTCCATCCGACAGAATCACTTGACGAAATTCTGAAAGTATTACTTGGTCTATCTTTTGACTTAATATGTGCTCTACACTCACGGTTTGATATATATATAAATTGACGTTTTTCTGATCTACAAATTCATGTTTTTACAATGTCACATGAGGCTTGAAGATTCTATACCTAATGCTTAACTTTCTTTCCACCTTTCAATAGTAGGGAATCGTGGTCTTGTTGTTGCGGTACCTTTTCCAATACATATACCCTGCCAGGACGACCAGCAACCCAATAAAGATGGCGACGATGATTCCAACTATGGTAGCAATCTTTGGTGTTTCGGATTCTGCCCTGTAAGTTGGGACAAAGCGAGTCCAAAGCTCAGGGTCACAATTGAGTGTAACGACTTTGCCATCGTTGTCCAAGGCGTTCTGTGTACAATGAAAGTCAAGGTCAGAAACGCACTTGTTGTCAAAATGATGAATAGTAATTACCAAACTGGCTTCAAAACTCCATGATCCTTGAGAAGCTGCATATTGGTATGATTTCACGCGAGTAATCGATTGGCTCCAGACATTCCTGGTTGCAGCGGTGGATGCTAATAGATTTAATAGGTATGTGGTGAGCAATGATGTTTGACAAAACGTAGAAAAAAAGTTTTGGCACAAATGAGATGAGTGGGAGGTATCAAGCTCACGAAAGGAGAAAGAAGTAGTTTGATGTGGCGATTTGATGTTTACCATGCGTTAAAGTGTAGATACGCGTATTCATGAATGTTGTCATCCAGACTATTTCGTCAGCTCCCGCTGCAACTGTTGGTGCATAGCCTAATGTTTGGTGTGAACGATGTTAGCAAAGTTCGAGACACCAAGTGCTTTAATTGCAGCAACGTACCGTTTGATATCATGGTACTTTGAGTCTTGGCAATCATTGAAGGCAATGAATCTGGATCTGATTCCAAACCATGCTATATAAACGGACAAATGGTCAATTTAAGATATGTACGTTCATTCACGCGAAGTACTATACCTGAATTGCTGCGTCGTACATTTGTCCATAGCTTAGGGGAAAAACCAGGCCGACAGCCATGCCAAGAGCTTGTGAAGGATCAAAGTACATGTAATCCGTGGTATTCACTTGAACCTTTTGATTGAAAGGATTAGTTTGTTCAATCTGTCAGCTTCGATTGAGCGAAGGAAAGAACGCGAATGAATTGCTCACTTGTCTGAAGATTGTATCATTGCAGGACGCCGCCCATGCGTCACAAAATCCAGACAGACCACTGGTCGAAGACGATCCACTAACATTCAAAGCTTGAAGTGTTGAATAATATGGATTGAGTTGATTGTTGGGTTGCAGTTTCGTGTAATTGGTGACAACTGAGAAGGCATCATGGGTGGCTCTGTTGATGAATCCCAATCGGTGTGAGTGTAACAAATGTGCTCGAGTTCTTGATTTGCGATATTGTTTACTTACGTTGTGAATCCAACGATTCCTGCAGTGTACCCACGTCCGTCATTGATATTTTCGCAGTAATCAAAGTGGAAACTAGTATTTGAGTAGTAAAGTCAGTTCAAGCGGGAGTATCGAGTAGATGTTCTACGACTCCAGTTTCCCAGTCCACAAAGCCGCTAGTCTCCCAGCTTTTCACGTGCCGGTCAAAACGCCAGATCATCATCAAACGAGAAACATCAAGTCACATACTTGGTATCACTATTTTCAAATATGTTGGTCAAGGACTGGACAATGCTTTTTTGACAAGGATAGGTCAATGTTGAACCTGCCACTGCTGCCTTGTTGATGTCTGCGAGGGAGATGAGGTTCTTCACATAAGACATGGCTCGTTGGAGAGACCTGGAAATGAGAGAACTAACACAAGAGTTCCTTTAAAAGTGGGATACTCATTTTAGATCATGCTACTAGGTACATTCGGTTGAAAAACCGAGACGAGTTGTTTAAGCATTCCAGATTTGAAGGTTTACCTTGAGCCTCGAGCAAGCAAGACCGAGAAGCTTTGTGTGCTAGACTCGCTATGACACCAAAAATCGTCTTGCTTGAGCTGTCCCTATCTTGCGCCTCTCTGTCTTGAAAGTTTCTATTTTTGACGCTGATTTATTCTCAACGCTGATTGGACATGGTGTCAAGAACTAGGCTTGGTGAGGCGTTTGCTGTCGAATTCGTCCTAAATGAACAATCGTAGAATAAATTAACAATCGTAAAACGACAATCGCCAGACAGCACTTGATAAATAGTGAAAAATGAGTTTATTTTTTTTATGGTTAAGCAACTAGCAACTTCTATATGACCGCTTGCAGCAAGGACCAAACGACTACGATACAACCTACGATGGCAACCAATCTAAATTAGTACTCTGAATCAATACAAGCAGACAGAATAGTGCAAGGTACTCACTACTAATCTAATGGTGTCTCAACATCTTGACAAACTCTTCATAACCGAGGTAACCGTCACCGTCTACATCGTGTTCCTTGATCAATTCGTCGACTTCGTCAGTAGTGAGGTCTTCGCCAAAGCCCTTCAAGATGGTTCTGAGTTCGGTGGCAGAGATACGGCCGTCTTGATCGGCATCCAATAAGTTGAAAGCAGCTCGGAATTCTCGTTCGTCTTCGTGAGCTTGACCACCTGTAGATCATGAACAATGGTATTTAGAAAATTCGAGTTTGTTTGAAAGGTTTTGCCTGCTGTCGCCCAATATGGAGTCCAACATACCCTTGGTTTTGTGAGCCATCATAACCAAGAATTGGTCTTCGGTGATGTTGCCTTTGCCAGTGGTGTCGACTTCGTTGATGAGAGAAGTCACTTCAGCCTGTTGATAAAAACATGAGTGATTTGAGTCTCTTTTGTACCCCCAACAAAAAAAAGGGAGAAGGACAAGAGCAATCGACAGGGAAACATCGGATATAGCGGCATGAATGCGCCATCGATGAATGAGATATAGCTTGTTGATGGCCTAGCATCAGAGCCCCTTCACAGTCTTATCGCGAATCATCCTTGCAAAATGTTTGATGTGTGCTTCTCATCCGAAAATCGAGATTGATTTCGAGCGAATAGCTTGATGGACAGAGTCCAAACGAGACTATAGTAGAGGCTATACATACCTCAGTAGGGTTCAATCCAACAGACTTCATGGCGTTCATGAGTTCCTTGGCACCAATGTGTCCATGACTTCCTCGGCCAGCAAACACTTTGAAGCATTCAGAGAACTCGGCCTTTTGGGCTGCAGTTAAAGGAGCGTCTGTCATTATGGAGACGGTGGCTTGAGACTGTTATGGGCGGCGAGTCAGTTTGAAGCTTATAGTATCAAGCTCCGTTGTCTGTGAGAGAAGTGACGTGCAAAAGAGTGAAAAATTGACGAAAGGGAAGAGAGAGGATTTGGAGAGAAAAGCAGCCGTCAAAGCTTATGGAGACGAGACACGTCAAGGCATGGATTTGGAGTTCAAGATTAACTATATCTTAATCGCGCAGAGTTCTGGTCGGAACTTTGAAGCTACATTCATGCTATAAAGATTGTAGATGCAATCGCGGCTGCTATGTGAACGGACGTGTCGTTTTCATCTCATGTCACGATGTTGAGCTCTCACCGTGACCCCTTCCCTGTCAAATCTTACATGTCCTCACGCTTTGTTGTTTGTCAAAACAGATACATTTCACGAGGACACTCGTCACTCCAATTTCACCACATAGTATAATATTTAAACCAATTCATTTTGAGAAGTTATGCAATTCTCTGCTACGGTACGTACACCGATCGATATGAAAATTACAAACAATTGGCGTAAAACACAAACTCAGGTCTGCTTTTTATCTTCAAAAAATAGATCTGGTATACGACACTAGTAGCATTCCTTATTCTATCTGCACACAGCAATGCCCAGCCATGCGCAGACAGTGGCGACAATACCGCTCACGCTACATGGCATCATCACGATAGCAGTAAAATCCAAAACGTTACCGCCCATGCTGCCCTAAAACACGAAATCTCAGAACCAATCGCAAACGAGCACTCAAACCCACCACCACCATCTAGATTCATATTACGAGACCCATCAGAGCAACACCAAACACTCCCACTTGACCCATACGACTACCACACTCAACCAAGCGATGGATCTCTAGCAATGTCAATTATCGCTTCAATCGTCCTGTCCATGGCTCTACTCGTCGCAATGATGGCATGTATTCTCTCAAATCCAAGCATGAGATATAATGACTGTTGTGCTCGTGGACGTCGTATTGCACCGGATCGTGGTGGACGTAATGGCACACGTGACGCTGGATTCGGTGCTGCTATTAATAACAATGTCACAAATCCACCTCGAGCTTATACTTTAAACAATGGTGCTGCTATGCATATGCAGGATTTGTCGACGCCACCAACTTATAGCATTAGTGATGAAGGAAGGGCTGGTAAGAGCTTTCATAATAATAAGATTCCAATTTGAGGGGACGGGGTCATGGTGTTGGGTGGTAAAATAGTAGAGTTATATATTTTGTTTTCAAGCTGTCATGTACAAACAACCCAAATGTTGTAACAAGGCAAAGTGTATGTACCAATAAAAAAGAGGGTGTGGTTATACCATGTATCAAAGTGTCATAGAACTTTATAGATCTCGATGGTTCTCGGAGCTCAAATACCCAAAGATGTCAAAGGCGAAAAAAGGACAAAATCACACAGCTTCATCTGAAACGTCTAATTTTCAGTACATAGAATCGTGTATTGATACTGTCAATTTACAGTCAAAAAGCTACCAGCAGGTCCTCCAACCGGAGACGCAACGCCAATTCTAGAGTTTCCATAGTCATAGACGGTATAAAACTTTCGTTGAAAAGCAGCCCTACCAGAGGACACTGTAAGAGGTCTTTCGACAGTTGACCAAAAAAAATGGTTTCATCAAGCCAAATGCATCAACATACCCAGCAACATAAATCCCATTACGAAGAACAGGTGTTGAAGTAGCAAAGAATGCACAATCTCCTGTCGTTGTTGCATCGATATACGTAGAAGGTGGGAGAGCCAGTCCTTGAGATCCTAGACCAAAGTAGATTGTTGCTAATGAGCTGGTTGAAGCAGTCGTGCACTGGACTGAACCAGCGGCAGATATTAATGCGTCATAAGTCGGTGAAGGAAGATCAAATCTCGTTGAGCCAGTGTCAAACACACTATAAAAAGGAAAGAAGCTTGAGATTCGTTGGGCTCAAAAGCAGGGGAAAACCTCTTCGAAAGCTAAATCATGACGGGTTGTCACTTAACATGTAATTGACACCAGCTGGTAACAAATTGGTTGCATTCGACCCATATCGCACGTAATCCCACGAAACAGCCCAATACCGCCCAGACGGAGGTGCGACCAGCGGCATATACCTCACCGATCCCGTGTATCTAGACCTGTCTATACCTCCAATGGTCACTTCTCCAAAAGCGCCAGGAGCAACAAGGAAACTAGCGTTTGGGTTATACTAGAACGCAAACACCTCGCCTGTGAGTAGACCTTGACTAACAGCATTGCTCAGGAATCGATACGTGGTAGGAGCACCCGCAAATTTACCAGTGGAACACGTTTGATTTACTGGACATGGTGGTGGAAGACCCACCATACCATCCGTGAATCCGACAGTTGTGTTATATGTGATGGCTTTGGCAATGTACTGGTGCTTTACAGTCAGATCAGCGAGGGATACTGTATCGAATCCAGATGAGAAGGATATGTTGCTTCCGTCTCGATACTGGTATACACCAGTTCTGTATGTCGTTGGAGCCTGTTCGTATGTGATGGACCTGGTATGGTTGAAGGATGAAAGACCAGGAGCACAAAATACTGCTGATGTGCATTTTGAGCTTCGAACTGTGTTGAAAGTAAAGCGTTAGATTTGATTTTAGGTTGTGTTTCAGATGTTGTCGACGCTACCCCAAAACAAGTCAGAGCCTAGAATACAGGTAGAAATATGAGTATGCGTATGTCGTCAATACTACTGAGAGTGTTTTCAGCTCGCCGACCTGTATCCAAAATCAGACCAAATGGACCTTGCGGCGGACTCCCAATGTGAGCCAATGCGACCATAACACCATCGAAAGCAGACACGTTAGCAGTTCCAGCTGCTGTGTACAATACGGCTTGTTGGCTTGGTTGATCTTTAAGAAAGAAAGGGAGACTACATTATTCAAAAGACGAAATTGTGAGGTCAGTTACTCCGTTTTTTTTGGTGTTGACGTTTTTCCGAAAACCAAAACTTTACAGCATAATTTCAACAGAAAATTCTTACATGACCATCTTGGCATGAACTGTTACCAAGAAAGATAGTAAAAGCATCATTTCCAGAAGGAATACGATGACAACCACTCAATTACTTGCGATCTTTAAAACGTCGTGTCTCTTGAAAGGTCGTGATTCTTCCTCGCTATGACATACTGTCAAAGTCCTGTGAGCTTAATTTTTGATTTTACACATTTCACGAGGATGTGTTTCCTTGACTTGAGAAACCAGTAAACCACTGTGAGGCATGATCCTCGGACTCCTTTCTCGAGCTGAATGCTATGGCTAAGGTGAACAACCACTTGTGTATTCAGCGACTGCAATGACTTGATGCTCTGACACACAGAAGCGTTTGTGACGATAGGTTTCGAGTATAAAGTACGTCTTCGGCTTGATCTTGCTCTTGGCCAGTATCACGACTAGCCAAACAACAAACACCACTGCAAACTCTAATACACTCGCAACAGATCAATACTTGTCATCAAAAGTCATATTCCGAAACCCACCCGCAGAAGCCCGATACCACGATTCTGATTCTCTTCCTGCCAACGACGACGAGCCCAGCAATAGTGGAACAATAGCAGTATCCGCTATCGCAGGATGTATCTTTGCCATTGCTCTGCTTGTAGCTGCTATTACATGTCTTTCGAATCGAGGTAGTAGATTCTGTATGAGGATTCAGCAGGGACGTCGAGATGATCGTGATGTGAGGCTGACTGAGGACGTGACGGGTCTGTCTGGTCGAGCTGTAAATAGTTCGTCGAGCTCTGCTGTATGTGTGCATGAGATGGGAGTAATTGAGGAGGAAGTGTTGCCATCGTATAGTTTGATAGATCAACGAAAGTTTGGTAGTGGCAACATGAGGACTGTGCAGTGAGGGTAAACAATGGTATGAATATGTAAATTTTGGTGAATGTGTTTTGGCATCAGACGTAAATTAGCAATTTCAAGCTGCGGTAGCATAAATAGAATACATTTTTCCAATTTGCCAACACTCTATTAGACGTTATCTTGGTTGTTGTCTGCTTGGTGTCAAATCTCGTTTCAGAACTCAGAAGCAACCTCACAATGGACATGATTCCAATGCACACTTCAATTCCACAATAGTCTGGACAGTCATTTCAATATAATGCGAACGTGGAACTAGTCCATCACGGTCTGCATCCTTCGCACACACCCCTTCGTCAAAAGATATCAATGTAGGAGCCCTTTCAACCGTATTAAACCAAGACTAGCCAAGAAGGAGCAAGCAATGCAAAAGCGGTACACGATAGCTCTTATCTTGGCCTTTTCCCTCACTTTGATCGTGATTCCCAGCCAATTGAATGCGTTGAATGTTTTCAGAAAGGACGACGGCCAGCACCGGATCGAATCACATAGATTCTTTGTAGCTCCAGATACCCAATGTAGCGGCACGAGTATTGCTGGACACCTGCCTGCGAAATTCGAGCCTAGTGATTTGGCCTGGGATCCGAAAAATCAAACATTGTGAGTCCTGCAAGGTTTTGATGTTTGGTATGCTTCAGAACGCTAACAAAATTACAATCTTCTAGATATGTAGTTAGCGATAATGGAAAACTAGCTGCTGTTGACGTCGATGGAAATCTGTTGCATCAATGGAAGGTACAAAAGAAGCTAGATCTTGAAGGGTTGACCATTGTCAAGAACAGAACCGAATTTGTGTATTTGGGTGTTGAATATCCTGCCGAGATCATTGAATTCAACATTGTTGAAGGGCTAATAACACGACGATGGTAAGATCAGCTTGCACAGAACGACATCAAATCTCACCCACTGTCTTATAGGCTCATACAGGACGTATTCGATCAATACCCATCAACAACTACAGATCAGAACGCAGGACTAGAAGCACTTGTCTATGTCCCATCACCAATGTCAGATGGATACATGTATGCCGGACGGCAAGCCGACACCAAGGTCTTCATGTTTGACATAATGCCACCATACTCCTCACCATCAGCACCATTGAAATTCCGTGGAATTATTAACCCACCAGGTCCATCAGAAGATTTAAGCTCCATGCACGTATATAAAACCACATTATTCTTTGTATACGATACCGCTCAACGAATCGTTGGTGTTGATTTGGCTGATCCGAAATGGTTGCCGAAAGCAACGGACGAGATTACTGTTTTAGATGCCAAGCAGGAAACGCCGTTGGGAATCTTAAATACTAATATACGTGGGTTTGAAGGATTTGCATTGACAAACAAGTATGCTTTCTTGGCTGTTGACGCAAAGGATCGAAAGGATTTGTTGAGGTTTAGCTTGGCGGTGTTTTGGAGCTGCTTTTCGAGTGATGGTGATGGGAAAGTGTTGGCAGCTAGATCAAGTTGGGAAGAAATGCAATGACTGGTGCGTGCCGCAGCAGAACAGTTTTTTTTGGTGATTTACTTTGATCACCTAAAATTCATCTACACCCTTTTGGTATACAGCCAGGTAACACCCACTTTGTCTCATTTGTTGTTTTTCAGTGGCATGAGCTGATCCTCCCTAAAATTCAGGTTTGCCCATCATAACCTCATTATCATCATCATATACCCAGCACTGAGTTAAGTAGCAGGCAGATTCTCATCTGTAATAGTTTTCGCAAATAATAGTAAATAGAGCAGTTGTTTATCAGATCAATGCAAACTGTCGACGCGTCGTTTTGCAAAAACATTCATACCTGCCGCAGAAGGCCATTACCAACAATGAGCATCCCAACATCCTCCAAACTGAGCAAGCTCAGCACACCCATCCAAGATGGATCCCGTAAAGCATGCGCATCTCTCCTTGTCCATCTCAACCACACACTACCAACAAACGAGACTTTCGTCGAATTTGAAGGCTCTGCATCACAACTGTTCCCTACCCAGTTTCGAATTAAAGAGGCGGCTGCTGGTGTACATGGCGCTATTGGGGTCACGATTGCTGAATTGGCAAAGACTACTGGGAATCAGTTGAGCATCCACATGTCGTCACACCCAACAGGCTCCATATTTTGCTAACGTTTTTTCGTCTTGTTTTGTGTAGAACACCCTCGCTACGTGTGAATACAGACCATGCATCATTATCGCTACTGTCGCAAGAAGTTACTGCTGTTGATACGGTTCCATTCAGAAAACTTATGGTGTGTTATTGCAAAAAGAACTCCCCACGAATTGAACTTTACCTCCCATTTGCATCCTGTGGTCTAACACTAAATCTACGATTTTGTAGGCTCAAGTAATCGCAGACGGTGGCTACGGATCAAGTCTCACCGGCATACACCGTGCCAAAAACAACAAGCACATTTACCTGCACAAGAGCTTCTCAACCAAAGCCTCAATTGATATCGTGGGAGGCATTGATCGCAAGATTTTCACCATGCTGGACAGTAAAGATAAAGCTGCTTCGAAAAAGATGGTGGAGGATCGAACGATGCAGTGTGATGCGCAAGAGTTGGAGAATAAGTTGGTTGATGCGGGGTCGTGTGGGTGTATGGTTAGGAGTTTTGAGGAATTTGAGAGGCATCCTCATGTAAGTTGTTAGGTCTCCTCTTTTTTTCTCATTCACTCACATAATTTATATAGGGCAAAGTGCTAAAAACACTCCCACCAGTTGAAGTAATACCATTAACCACCAATCTCCCCACCAAATGGAAACCAGCACCTCTGAAATCAAACAATCCAACACGTTTACTGGAAGCCATCCGAGTCCTTGATATCACACGTGTGTTGGCGGGACCGACATCAAGTCGCATGCTCGCCGAGCACGGCGCAGACGTCTTAAAAGTTACTGGACCGTATGCGCTGACCCCTGACATGGATTCCTTCATGATTGGTAAGCGCCAAAGAGACATTTATTACATTCCCTCGTTTTTGGTTGTATTATTGCATTTTCTATATAGAGGTTTGATCTCAACTCTATTTCTTTCGTCATTCCTACATCTAGAAACATCACTCGGCAAACGAACATGTGAAATCAACCTCAAGACACCAGAAGGAAAAGCCAAACTGCGTGAGCTTATCCAAGACTGTGATGTGCTTGTACAGGGGTACCGACACGGTGCATTAAAGAAACTTGGATTCGGAGCTGACGATGTTGCCAAGATGGTTGCGGGACGAGACAGAGGGATTGTGTATGTTAGTGTCAACGCTTGGGGACATAGTGGGCCGTGGAGTAACAGACCTGGATGGGAGCAGCTTGCACAGGCATTCACGGGATTAGCTGACAATCAAGTATTTCATTGTCATGACGTTTGGGGGGTTTTTTGCTTCAATCCTAACATCTTTATGTTTCTTAGGGCCGCCTAATGGCCAAAGCACACGGCCTCCCAACGACAGACCCAACACTGATACCCGCCACATGTCTCGACATGATGACGGGCCATATCGGTGCACTGGGAACGCTTCAAGCGTTGCTCAAACGTGCTACGGTTGGCGGGTCATATCTCGTACAAGCGTCCCTAGCTCAAACGTCGCTGTATATTCGATCGTTGGGGATGTATCCGGAGACGGAGACGGTTGAGTTCGTAAGGACATTTCCGTTGTTTAAGGTATGGTGTTGTTGTGAAATTACAAATTAGGTTCTATAGTATTTGCTGAATTTTTTTCGCGCACTCTAGTATGATGAAGATATAAGCGCACATGAAGCCAAGCTAATTGATACATGGGTGGCCAAACATCCTCATGTGCTTTCGCATGAGATCTTTGATGAGCATCCAACAGGTCCGAGAGGACGTGTACAGTTCGTCAAGCCTGTTATTCAGATTAACGATACGTATCTGACTATTGATGAACCTACGAGGAAAGTAGGGCATGATAAACCTGTATGGAAGTCCCGCTTGTAAAGGATTACAACGAAACGCTTGTTGTTTCAAATATGTAGTCGATAAATCAGGTTTAAAATATATTCTTTTTTCAAAAGTCCGTTACGACCAGAAGAAATTATAATACCAAAAAAATGAATATTGTTCAATAAGAGGCGACCCTTTTTTTATAAAAGACCTATTGTTGGTTTTGTGGTATATGCAAATCAGTCACGTCTTCAGTCCCAGACGACAAATCCAAATCCAGCCGTGGAGCTTCCGACGACACGGGCGGCACAGACGACAATCTATGAATCGACGTCACGTCTCTGCTACTAGCATTACTATCAGGCAATATCGGCTGTCCATAAGACGATAATCGTTGTGGTGCCGGTTGTGCAGATGCGAATCCTTCTCCTACTTGCAGATGTGGCATTGACAGTCTATTGCTATTTATAGGTGATGGTTGCATAGGTGGCTGCAGCGAAAACCTATTGTTGTTTCTACCAATGGACTCGGAAGACAGTCTGGATTCGTATGGGGCTGCAAACTGAGTTGGGACGGTTGATAGTCGTTTTGAGGATCGTCTTGGATCGGGTGTTATTTGAGACGAGGGCTCATTGTTGGTATCGGTCATTGGTGGTACATATGAAGCACGTTGAGCATTGTCCATTGGTGGTACATATGAAGCTCTTTGAGCATTGTCCATTGGTGGTACATATGAAGCTCTTTGAGCATTGTTCATCGCTGGTACATATGAAGCTCTTTGAGAATTGTCCATCGGTGGTACATATGATGCTCGTTGAGAGTTGTCCATTGGAGGCACATATGAAGCTCGTTGATTTGTCTCTCCTAGTACTACTTCAGCGGGTGCTTGCTGTTCTTGCTGCTGTTGCTCCTGTTTAACCCATGACGCCCGTGGTGGTAACGGTATTTCAGAAGACTGGTATGGCGGTACAGGCGAATAACCTGGTGGTGGCATAGCAGGTTCTGTATATGCTTGTTGCGCGGAGGGAGGTGCCGCAACTGGCTCTGGATACATTGACTGCTGTTGTTGCATTTGAGGGAATTCTTGCACATATCCACCTTGTGTTGGTTGTTGAGAATATACTTGTTGACCTGGATATCCTTGGCCTTGGACTAGAACTTGTGGACCGGATGATGGTGGTTGGTATGGACCACCCTGTACTATTACCATTGGACCTACTCCAGATGCCAATTGTTGAGCTTTTCTTCTTCTCATAATCCATACAGCACCCCAAGCGCCTATTATAATTAGACCAAAAACTACTGCAATCCAAGTATAATACGGAATGGTTGCCGAAGACGCAGCAGTTGATGCTCCAGACGTGCCAGTCGTGCCAGTACCGCCAGTAGTACCTGTTCCAGTACCAGTACCGCCTGTTGAAGTTCCACCACCTGTTGTGCCTCCTCCAGTAGTTCCTCCTCCTGTTGTGCCTCCTCCTGTCGTTCCACCTCCTGTAGTGCCATTTGTTGTTGTGGTACCTCCAGCGCCGACTGAACCACTAGACACAGCCAAGAATGAGCCAGCAGGACCTGAACAGAGGTATGAAGGATAAGTGTCCAACCAAAATGCAAAAAAAATCACAATAAACTCATTGATTGCGCTTACCGGGTACAGCAGACGCAACACCGATTCTAGAATTGCCATAATCGTATACAGTGTAAAACTTTCGTTGAAAGTCAGCACTAATAAAATCATCCAAGTAAAGGATTCATGAGCATACTGATTTTTTGGCTCAAGACTGGTACGACAGATGTAATACACGAACCAACATTTACTTACCCAGCAATATAAAGACCGTCAGTAGAAACAGCAGATGAAGTGGCAAAGAAGGTGCATCCGCCGGATGCAGTGCTATCTATATACGCAGCAGGAGCAAGGGCCAGCCTTTGAGAACCCATACCAAAGTATATGGTCGATAATGAATTGATTGAGGAAGCTGTGCACTGCACGTTTCCAAAAGAAGTCATGAGTTTGTTGTAGGTGGTGGATGGAATGCCGAATGAAGTTGAACCAGTGTCAATCACACTAATGACAAAATACAGGCGCTTAGACAATATAATTCGAGCAAGCACGAGGAATTAAAGCTTACGCATAGTTGATACCAGAAGGTAACAAGTTGGTGGTACTAGAACCATATTGCACATAGTCCCAAGATATAACCCAATAGTTGGTTGACAGAGATTGAAGCAAAGGCAAGTAAGTAAATGATCCAGTATATCTCGCACTATCTAGGCCTCCCATGGAGACTTCTCCATAACTTCCAGCAGCAGCGGCCACACTTGCGTTTGGATTATACCAAAACGCAAAAACATTGTCTGTAAGAGTGCCCTGACTAACAGCATTCGTCAAGAATCTATACGTATCAGGAGCTGTAGCAAAGTTGCCGGTAGAGCAAGACTGTCCCGATGGACATGGTGGTGGAAGACCCATCAGACCATCAGTGAAGCTGACAGATGTACTATATGTTACAGCCTCTGCGACATATTGGTTTGGTAGAGTCAGGCCGGATATAGTGACTGTATCAAATCCAGCTACAAAGTTGATGGTGGTTCCATCACCGTATGCGTAAACTCCCGATGTGTAGGCAGTTGGTGCTTTTTTGTATGTGCTTGATTTGGCATCGTTGAACGAAGACAGTCCAGAAGCACACGTAGTTGCGGTTGTGCAATTTGAACTTCGAACTAGGAGTTTAGAAATAGAAAGATCAGCGATTTCACAAGTTGGTAACAAAAGTTGTGACGAATGGTTGCATGCGGAGCTAATTTACCCCAAAACAAGTCAGAGCCTTATAAGAAGCAGATGTGTTAGCCTGATTTTGAATTTTGGGGATGCATTATAAGAGTAGCATACCAGTGTCGAGCAGTATACTGAATGGCCCCTGCGGTGGTGTTCCCAAATATGCAGTGGCGACAATAGTGTCTGATATGGAAGAGACACCAGCAGTTCCGACTACTCTAGATATGAACTTTGAGGAAGTGGTAACAGTTCGCCGATCGTTGACCACAAATGGTAATCTAAGGAGCGTTTGGGCGACGGATGCGTTTTTTCAGTTAGCGGCCATATGCAGACAACTGGAAGAGAGGAGAACAGGCTAGATACATACATGAGGACTGTAGCTGTAGCAGCTGCCGACAGATACAGCACTATTAGGGCCTGCACGAACATTGCAGCCCACTTAGAAACGAAACGGCCTACAAAACTACAAGTTAAAATTGCAGGACCAAATTCCGATGAGAAGCAGGCATCATCTGGATGATCGAGGAGGACTTACGTTCGGTATCGGAGACACAACCTGCGACTCCAACAAAGAAACTTTCCTTCTTCCCTGTTTTCTTGCTTGCTTACTTACTTGGCAGACAAAACCAGCCGTAGTGGAATCCGAGACACGAGGCTGTACCAAAAGATATTTTGGGGCCCAATTCAATAATTGTTCAAATGTCACGTACGACGACGTGTATTGAGAAGCGAGATGCGATCTTGATGCAAAGTGTCTTTGTTGTTTCGTCCATCAAAAGTCTAATAGTCGCTTCGTCCAACCCAAGTCGTTCCGTTTCTGCGACAATAATTGAAAATTGAGAATGAATACACGTTCAGCTTGTCCCTTTGTTGCTTGTTTTCCATGGACATTCTCAGCAGTGTTGCGTAATTTTGCAAATTTCAGCTCCAGTCCAAGCAACTAGTAAACCCAAAGCTTCCCTTTCAGAGGTCAATACAAGATGGTGTCAGCATGGTATGTCCGTAGTCTAGTCCCTCTATTCACAGTTTCGTCCATAAAACATGCCTTTTTGACAAGAAGAAACTCATTTCTCGTTCGCCTCATTCAAACAACAGGTTCTACAACGCAGAAGACAAGTCAGACCCACGTGAGAAGCACCAGTACTCTCCAAACAGGCCTGTATCTCTGGAGGAATTGGCCCAGTTTGGTGTCTTGTACAAGTTTGTTGATGCTTCATCGCCATATGATGACAAAATCAATGCCTTGTGCAAGGAACGAGACTACAAGAACCGCGACTATGTATGTATCACTGTATCATCCATGTGGCTTGATATTGCTGGGCAAGTGGTTGTGTTCATGCTGCTGGTATAACCAGAGACCACCACTTGATTAACACTTTCAGTACTTAAGAGGAGAAAACGTACTCACTGTATATGTCTTCCCACCTCATAGATCAACGTATCCCCCACCAAACTGCCTGATTACGAAAACAAGATCAAGACCTTCTTCGAAGAGTATGTAATCGCTATATCCGGTGTGCCTCTACAGATACGGTTTCTATAACGTACTTTCACACAGACACCTGCACGAAGACGAGGAAATCCGATACATTGTCGATGGCTCGGGCTTCTTTGACGTTCGTGACAAGAACGACAAGTGGATTCGAATCGCCGTCAACAAATCAGACTTGATCATCCTCCCTGCTGGAATATACCATCGATTCATTCTCGACACAAACAACTACCTTCAAGCTATGCGCTTGTTCAAGGAGGTATGCTTGTTTGGAGAATATGAGCGTTTGGCATATGAGTGTTTGGACTGTAGTCTACACCCCTTCTTGAACTGAGGAATTCTTTACTTTTTACTCATCATGAATCATGTGTCATAGGACCCCAAGTGGACTCCCCTCAACAGGTCTGCTGAAATTGATCAAAACAAATTCCGTAAGGAGTATGTTCGAGATTTCGTCGAAAAGGGATCTGCTAGCTTGTAATGCCTGTAATAGATACGGAAGAAAGGTGCGATAAAAATATAAATATGATTTGAAGATTTGTAGCGAACGTTTTGGAGTCTGCCGCAGCACACTGTGCTTTTTGGATCTTCAAAGATTTCGACCCAGGATGCAGAGTCAACGCGTTAGATACGAACATATGATTCCTGAATTTCAGATTTCCTGGCCCTTCCATCTCCAAACCGCACGCCCCTTTGTGCTATATCCTCCCCAAACGTTTCAACCTGATCGAGTCGACTTGTCTATTGACGCGACGCAACAACAAATCACACCCCCAACGACCAGCTGGACTGTAACTGGAATTCTCTCATCTGCTCCTCTCTGGCTATTGGAAAGTCCTTTTATACCAACTCAACTCGATGAAATTTGTACTTTTGTTCTGTGTTGCTCTTCTGCTTAGTGAAGCTTCTGCTCGCGCGACTGGACTGACGAGCAATACCACTCACAACATCAACGGTGACAACTAGGAACGAAATTTGCTTGGTAATGTTTTATTTCTTTGATTTTGAGTCGCAGGCCCTCTGCATTCGTATGCTTTTCTCCAACTTGGCGACTTGGAACAAATTGTGGAGATGCAAAACATTTTTGGCTGCGTTTCCTACATATATACATATTTTAATCATGAAAATGGAGTTGGTTTCAATGTTTTCTATGTTGTCGATAATGTAGACTCACACATTCACCATCACTGTCATTAGATAGTAATGTTCTTTCTTTCACTACTGGCAACGATGGAATCAAAACATATGTCTTGACTTTATCGCTGGGGAGTGCTGCTCCTGTTGGATTTGTTTTCAATCAGGCAATTCTTGTCGATGGTCAATTTGTGAAGGACTATGCTCCATCGATTTACACTCTGGCCAAAAGTTAAGACCCTGTTTTAAAGCCGGCACCGGTATTAGTTCTGAATGAGGATTGAAGCACCTCGTTGATGTACTTGATGTTGGGTGAACGTTGTATCTCATTCGTGTTGTTTTAGGGCGAAACAGTGAATATCAGAGTTGTAAACCACTTGGACGAGCCAATGTCGATGCACTGGCATGGTCTTTCATCCGGGAATGCCTCAATCCGATGGAGGTACCGTGTTTGCTCTGTTGTCTGTCTTCTTTTCACCCTAAGTCCACCTGAGTGTACACAACTTGGAACCCGTTAGCCACATGCGTCACCCAGTATCCCATCGTTCCTGGCTCCTGGTATAACTATATGTTTCCAGTGAAACAACATGGGACGTTTTGGTATCACTCTCTCACGAAGCCCAATATCCAGAGTGTCCCATAATACTCGTGCCACAAAACGACCAGTCTGCTTGCAAGGGTGCCAACGATGGAGTACAATTTGCTTCCAATCAAACAGCCCAGGAGTTTGGACCTTCAATTGTGAGCCTTGGATTGCCATCGTCATATTCTGAGTTTTTAGTTATTAATACCACTTTTTGCAATGTGCTTAGGTCACGTCGACTGGCATTTAGCATTATGACTGAAGTTAAAGGACAAGACAAGTTGGCCGCTACAACGTTATCGAATGAATGGAATCCACTGTGTGTTGATTCTAAAGCTCGAGGATTCCTTCTGGCAAAGCAGAATCGCACGACTATGAACTTTCCTATATAGAGGAATTGCTAGAGAATTAAGATACCACAATAGTGGCAGCTGGCACTGCTAATACTCTGTCATCACAAATATTTATTATTTTTGTTCGCAACTGGATCTGCTGTGTTTCAACATTTGTAAATATTATCTGCCTCCTTTCATATTGTTAGTATATAGGTTTGAGTATTCAGATTGCAAAGAGACTCAAGTTGGTGCAAAAGCCGGCGGAGCTCGGACAACAAGAAGCATCTGAAGCATTGCCAAACAAAATTACAAGAGAACGAAAGACACGACGAAAGCAGCAATGGTTCCGATCCATCTCACACGGAATGTCTTCTCCAATGAGACGTAAGGACCCCGAACCTTTCAAACGTCTCCAACTTTCAAAAGCAATTGCGAAAGACGCAAACCTCCTAAACCCCAAGAAGAAGGTTGCGGACGTGACCAAATCGGACGTACATTCATTTCCTGCACGTTGCAAATGCTATTGATTCTCTGTTGCCATCAATGAAGTCAACAAAATTCGGAGTTCTTCTATGCGCTCTCCTTCCTTTCATTGGAAGAATTTGGGCAATCGACCGTAATGCTAAGGGTGATGGTAGAATCAACTTGTATGGTACGTTGTGCTCTTAAGGATATGACTAGTTTATTTGTCATGTCGTTTTATGGTTGTCCGATTTCGTTATTGGTGGTTTGGCGTTTTGAGAGATCAGAGAACATACCATAATTGCAACTTCACATCGAGTATTGTTAAATCACGTTTACTTTATTTACTGATACATTGCATTTGTAAATCATATTTGGTCACCGCCCCATCTGATACATTTCTTTATTGGATAGGAACCCATGTCGTTCCTTTCACGACCGCAGACGATGGAATCAAAGAATACACTCTGCATCTCTCTTTGGGAGCAGCCGCTGCTGATGGCTTCGTCTATAACCAAACCATTCACACCAACGGGCAATTTCCAGTTGGGTGATTATAGGCTGCACAATGTTCTCCTGAAACGGTTTGTGTTGTAGAAAGCTAAAATGTGTCTCAAAATTAGGCACCTGCAATGGTTTTATTTGAGGTTGGTATCTTGTTTCCCATGACCTCGTATTTGTGAGGAGTTTCATGTCAATTATGATCATCTAGGGAGAAACTGTTCGCATCAAGGTAGTCAACGGTATGCCTGAACCCACTTCAATGCACTGGCATGGTCTGTTTCAACACGATACGCCATCTCAAGATGGAGGTAGTATTTGTCGTTGTGTTGTTTATGCCTGTTCTCCCAATTAGACTCTGAGCAAAATTTACGTAATAACCTGAAACTGTTCCATTATAGCAACCTTCACTACTCAATGCACGATTCCGCCTAGCGACTCGTACACATATGAATTACAGGTCAAGCAACATGGAACGTTCTGGTACCACTCTCATTTCAACGCTCAGTACGAGCACGGTAGTCGTGGACCATTGATACTGATACCTCAAGATGACAAATCTGTGTGCAATAACGCAAATGATCGTGTTATTACTCTTGGTGACTGGTATCATCTTAATGGGTCAACACTCCTAAAGACTTTCTTTGTACGTATGGCTCTGCTCAACTCGATTATTTACAAGTTTGAATTTCAAAAGCTTTCTTCGCAGACTAACAGATCTTGCTGGTATACATCCATAGGACCCTGTAAACAATCCAACTGGTGCTGAACCAGTACCTGATTCTGGTCTAATCAACGGCAAGGGTCAATTCAATTGCTTAGGTCTTCTAGCAGCTGGAAAGCTCAACGGTACTGTTAATCCGATCTGTACCAAAGACCAGTATGCTGAAGTACTCGTGTCTCGTGACGGTCGATACCGTATCCGAGTTATCAACATGTCTGCATTCACTTCGTGGATTCTCAAGATTGACGGGATCAAGTTTGTGGTTACTGAACTTGATGGGACAGAAGTTGAGCCTACGACCGTAGATATTTTGCAAATTGGTGAGCTTCCATGCTTCGAATCTGATTTTGTACATGACATAATACTAAGTAACTACAACATTTTAGATATTGCTCAACGTGTCTCTTTCTATTTGGCTCCTGCTGATCAGGGAATAGCTTCTGGCCGCTACCGGATGGATACGATGATGCAGTCACAATACTATCCGGTACGTACACCAATTGCCAGATGCTGCTATAACAATCTCTGTTCTTACGAAATTTCCATATCAATTTATTTTCTACCTAGTACGTCAATCCTGTATTAAATCCTAATGTCACTGGTTACTTGATTGTTGGTGACGACACACCCGCCACTCAGATTGCAGCAGCACAGCCTACCATATTGGACTCTGATGGCTATGTGTATTCTGCAGATCTGGGGCCTAACACTACCGCAGTTACATGGGCGATTCCAGCTGGACGTCCCGCAGGTCTGCAATCCCCAACCAAGAGATACATGTTTGAATTTCATGTAAGAACTCCTTCCTTCCAGGCTAAAACGTCATGCAGCCACCGTTTTTCATGTTTTTGTTCTTTATCTTATAGTTCGACAATGATGTCAACACCGGAAGCAACTATGCATTCATCTGGCTCTACCATAACGTAAACGGCAACTGGTTCAAACGATTCGGAGGGTCATCCTGGCAGCCTGATAGTACTCCTGCACTCAAATATGCTATTGATGGTGCAAAAAATCATGATTTCATAACGGATAATAGTGCTGGTCCCTTCCAGCCTTCATGGAATGCTGTTCCTATCAGCCTTGGTGATGTCGTTGAGATTACATGGGTCAATCACGAGATGGTTCCTCATCCATTGTGAGTCAGTTGGATCCTTGTGCTCAGCGCTCTGTTTTGTTGTCAAGTCACATACACTTGAGCTTCAATCCAGTAACTAACTAGCTCTCTCAATCGAACTAGCCACTTCCATGGTCACAACGCCCAAGTGGTTGGTCGAGGAACAATGAAACAAGAAAACGGTACCGATATCCTGCCAAGTATAAGTGATATCGATGCTGGTATTGCTGCTACAACAAATCTAAAGCATCCACCTATTCGTGACGTGGCAGCTGCAACGCCTCAAGGATGGACTACCATTCGATTCAAGTCCGACAATCCAGGAGTTTGGAACTTCCATTGTCACGTAGACTGGCATTTAGCTGCTGGTTTGGTAATGACTATGATTGAAGGACAAGACAAGTTGGCATCGGCACAATTGTCAAGTGAATGGAATCGTCTTTGTGTTGATTCCAAAGCGAAAGGATTCTTGCCGTTGACAGTGGCAAATCGAACGTCTATGAATTTCCCTGTATAAAATCAAGCAAGGCCATCATCACAAGTGGCAGCTGGATCTGCTGCTGGTTTCATTTCAATAGTTTCGATCTGATCTAGTTTACCTTTCAGAACAATACAGCAAAACATACATGAGAAGAAGCCAGGTATCTTTTTCTATAACTTGTATTTGCGTGACTGTTTTAACTTATGAAAGCAAGATGTACAAATGATTTCCAAACGACTGTTACGGCAAAATATATCCTCAACAACAGCAATGATTCAACAGCACACTCCTCATTCACTCTTTGAAGGCGTTTTGGAAGTCTGTGCCTGAGTCTCTCCGTGATCTCCGACTTCTCCGTCTCCTGGTAAATTCGTCGGGTTCTCTGGAGCCTTCTTCCACTATGAGAGACATGAAATAGAGGCATCAACAAATGTTGTTTGTATCAAGACAAGCGGATGTCTGGGGCTTACCATCTTGGCAACATCAGCAAAAGCCTGACGATGTGAGATTTCTTTTTCAAAAATTGGAGCAGATTAATATGCAGCTAATATACAGCAGGAGCAGATTAACATACCGGGGTGAGCAGATTTATACACAGCACTAGAAGGAGGAAAGTTGAATCAAATGTGAAAAGTTGAGTCACGATATGGTGAGCTGCCAGTCCTTTTCCGACTTGTGCGTTCGGTCGCAGATTGAGCTTCCAGACCATGACTGGTATATGCAAAATCATTCATTGATGACTTACAGATTGTTTTTTCTGGGAAAAAGGAAAGTATAAGCGTACGAAATGATTGACATGTCAAGAAGGTTTATGATGAATGATGCCAGTCCAGATATCAGAGACATAATGGACAAGACAACGTATACATACATGAATAAGTTGTATGGAGATATCTTCTTAGAGCTTCCTCCTATAACAAAGTATAAGATGCATGAAGCTCAATGTGATGTGTCGAATGAGCTCAAATGTCGATCGAGAAAAGCATGAAATCAGGCACCATATTGTCATTTGATACTTGCCTTTTGCGGCTTTAGGCATATTGGATATAGTTCTCTATAGCGTACGGTATTGAAGGGGATAATCTACTTACCTCTGCGGTTTGAGTTGTTTGGAATAAGAGTGCAGAATGGTTGGATTAAAGGAGAGTTTAGACAAGGAAAGGCCAATGTGATGGCAGCAAATGAGAGTCAATGAGGAGCTTTGTTCTAATAATAGATCTGCTATTTGGACACTGACGTGACGTGTCGACTCGGTTTTTTTGCCAACATCATGCATGGTGAAAATATGATTTCCACTCGACTTGGAGTCGAGTTTACTCATTGACGATACTCTGATGTCGTTCGGCATCTACGTAATTCCAGAATCAAAAGTTGGCATTTTTGACTGCCGCAAAGTCAATAGACCTAATAAGAAACGATCAAGTCCAGCTGCCAATGCATGCAATTCTCCTCCTTAACTGTCTCATCTTGTCGATTTTGTAAAACGTTCAGTTGGCGATCTACTTTTATACGCGAGTCCAGCTTCTAATCCTCGATTCACGGAACTTTTCTTGGTGAGATCAGCTTTTTCACCATAGACTCACCACTCTACCATTAGTGAGCAAACAATATGGCTCCGGTTACCAAATCACATATAGATCTATCGAAATTCTCTTTAAAGCAAGTCTCTTCTGAACGTCCACGGAATCAGCAACCCAAATCTCAAGGTAGCGTCACATCGCCGCAAACCACACACTGTATTTGAGCACATACACTAACCAAAATCCATGTCTCTATTAGTGCTAGCATCCGAATTCGCTATAAGAGAGATATTTGCCAAATATCCGGTTGCTCCATCTCGAGAACGAATACGGGAATGCTTTAAAGTGCTCGACGACATAATACCAAATCTAGGAATCGGTGCTCAAGATGTTTTGAAAACGCTACGTGATGAGTTCAAAAAGGCAATCTACGCCCGCGAGCTAGTGACGAGTGCCGATTTGGGACAGGGTGTGGAGGCTATTCCTTTTTTTGATGCTTTTCGTCGAGTTGATGAAATAAGGTACTGTACAGAAGAGCGGATTCGTATTATGCTCTATTTGGATATGACGCTGATATGCTATCTCTACTAGGTCTACGGATTTGGACTCTGCACAAGAAACCATGTCGGAGCTACGTCAGAAACTGAGTTATCGAGAAAAAGATATGCAGAACGTTTATAGAAAGAATGCGTCACTCAAGCAGGAGCTATTGGCTAAAGAACGGGAAACGGCTGCGATGACTACACGGATTGAAGACTTAACAGCTCAACTGAAAAAGACGGAATTCAGAATGGGAGAGGATCAAGATACATTACAGCGGTCTGTCTACGAGCTTACGAATAAGGTCGAAACTCTTCAGGTATAGCCAGCTGCAGATGGTCAAAGGGTTGTCTATCGAATCGATTTATCGAACAGTCTTTTTCGCTACTTAGACGGCTCTTACACAAGCTAATATGATGATTGAGAAAATGACAGTCTTAAAATCAGCAAACATGTCCGATGATTCATGTGAGAAACACGGTCATCCCACATCCGTTTCCGACAACAGGATCTGACTGTCTTTTTTTGCTTATAGCACGAGAGGATCTATCTCAACCAAGAGATGAATTCACCATCGGACCATCGTCACTTGCGGAATACGATCTAAAAGAAACAGAACGAATCGAAACTCAAATGTCGCTAGTGTTGGACGGCCAATTAGATGACTTTGATGCAGCTCTTAATCAGTACAAGAAGAAGGCAGAGCTATTGATAAATACTGCTATTGATGCTGAAGAGAGTGCTGCTCGTGAAAGCGCATTGAGATTAGAGGTGCACGCACATTCGCCGAAGTTTTTGCTAAACAAAAAAAACCACGACTGACGTTTGATATCTAGTTACGAGACCTAAACCATTCATTCGCTGATCGAATGAACAGATTCTTGGAAGAGCAAGATCTGCTTCTAAAACATGTAAAGGGTCTCAAATTGAAGCAGAGCATGTATGCTAAAGAAGCGGACAATACCGCTGTTGAAAGGACTGCTGATAATGCCCTTAGGAAATATGCTACTACGGTTTGTCTTGTTTTGAATGTAACAACATAAATCTTCCTTGACATGAAGTTATTACAGATGATGGTATCAAATGATCACGGCCACACATTCAACGTCCCTGATGCCCTCCCATTCTGCAGCAAATGTGGGACCAAGACATTACTCTGCCCACATCGAATACTTCGAAAGGAACTAATGGAAGTTCCCGAAAACACGACACATGTACGATTCGCACATCCCGCTCTACGATTACGTGCAAACTTGCAACATAATTGGCTTGATGAGATTCTGGGCAAGAAACCTGAACCTCCTGAAGAAGACGCCGAGTCTTCTAGTGATGAAAGTACTGAGGATGACGATGATTCCGATGAGGTAATACGCAAATCGCAGTTTCTGGGGGTTTTTTTTAGGTTATCAAACTCTTGGCGAGAAAGCGTTTTCTAATATATTCCTGATTTAGATGTCAATGGCAGTTACAAGGATATGGAGAGACTACAATGACAAGGGTGGCACGAAACCAGCACGAGCAAGACAGATTTCAGTCGAGAAACTGGTTGCCTTGATACAAGAAATCCATTCAGCTAGATGGACGGAGGAGCAACGTATGGAAGCAGCGTCTGATGAATGGGAGATTTTAGGGAGCATGTCTGTGAGTAGTGTGCAGATGTGTCTCTCCTTTTGTCAACCAAGTGTTCACATCATATTTGTAGGAATACTTTTACGAATTCGTGAAGAAACGATACATGATCCTATTCGTTGCCATGAAGGCCATATACGACGTGCTTCATTCTCTACAGATGCACGAGTTAGCTCATCCAGTAAGACAAAAAAATCCTATATGCTATCGACTCGAGATTGATGTCTGAAACTTCCTTTCCGTTTAGACCATAACGCTCTTCGTGAGAGACCTGGGTGGTGAAGATGACGTTACGTGGAAGTACATTGAGCTGGTTCGTAAACTGGCAGCATCAAGGCCGAGTCTGGATTCGTTCAGGTATCAGCAGTTCTTGCGAATATTGTATCCAGCACGAAAGGTATGAATAATCATCCACGAATTCTTTTTGCCCCTAAATCCAAAACAGCTCAAACCACTATTTTCGCAAATTTAGCAAACAACGTATGATCACATGGCATTAGAAATGATTGCATTCAGTCAAAACAAGCTGACAGTCGAGACCATTGAGAGCTACATCATGAAGCAAATACTGGAAGATCGAGAACCTAATTTTGCCTTCGTAAGTCTGAATTTTCCCTTGTCGACTTTACCATCAAATATTGATGCATCTGATGTTTGTAGTTTGGACGGCGATTAAGAGCATTTGACCCCAAAGGCCAAGGAACTCTAATTCTCAACGAATTCCAAGAAGCAACGCGACAACTCCTGCCAACCCTTCCGAAAGGTTTCACACTGCTCCGTTTCAGGTTAGCACAAGATGGAGAATCTGAAGATGTATCCATCATAAGACTCGCAAGGACAATGTCCTATGCCTACATCTACTTGGCATCGCAACAAGAAGTAAGGCAGCATCATATCGGTGGTTTTTTTCCTTCATGTGTCTCAAGGATACCTTGAAAAAAACCAAAAACCACACAAAAACCATCTGACATTTCATCCTTTACTCTCCCAGTGGATAGCTCCTGAAGTAGGCAGTGTTGGTGCGGATTTCGAAGAGAGTGTGTCAAGTTTGGAGGAGGATGTCAGTCCGTCGAATCATGACATTTCGGTTAAGACGGTTGCTGAACCAGATGCTGAAGAAGGTGGAGAGGATGCAGATGATGAGCCACGACAGACATCAACCAAACAACGAAAGTCACATGAAGATGTAAATGATGAGCCTCTTAGATACGAGTTACCAAAGTTCAAGTTTGTACCGCGCAAGTAGTCAAAACAATTCGAAAACTGTACTATTGTAAATTGCTAATACTTATATCTGAAGATAAACATAATATAGAAATAACAACTAGACTATGTGTGATACCAAGTGGGTTAAACAATCTCTTCCATATAACTTCCAGGACAGAAACCTTCCTTTGAACCCTTTCTCACACGCCACCACCCGTCCTCGAGTTTCTCAAGAAGGTCTACTTCATCGCCAACTGAAAGTGGTAGTTCAGAAGAGTCTGGATCATTTGATCCAACGAATTCGTACAGTGCTCTGGCACGTCCAAACAAGTTTCCAGTGGATGATAGTGGTGTAGCCAATGATGATGTGTCTTCCTCCTCACTTGATGCAGCTTTAGCTTCTTGGTGGCTGATCATGAGTTGTCGTACCTGGATTGAGACAAAAGAGTGAGATTCGCCATACATAAACTGTTGAGTCTGGTTTTTTCTCCTACCAAGTCAACTTTTGCAGGACTATCAGGCTCCGACATCCCATTAGCAGATGATGGTAGAGGTGGAGAAATAGGTGCTGTACTGATAATCGGAGCCGGCGTAACAATATTAGCAGCCGACGGAGGGCTTTCCGAACCCCTTCCATAAATATTAGCACTAGACACCCTCTTTGCCGGCGAGGTTTCTGGAATACACGGTGGCTTCAAATCATTCGAGGTCTTGAACGAATGACTCTTTGAAATGCGTGGAGTCATATCATCATCGTTCGTTACGACTGAAATCACGGATAGTGGAGGTGCTCGTGATGTATGGATGTGCTCTGGAATCGAGTCTCGAGATTTGTTGTTTGATGTAGAGTCTCGTGCGGCTTCGGATTGCACCGAGTCTCGGATTTTGATTGTGTGAAGATTTGTGTTGTTGTTTGTGGGGGCTGTGATGGTGCTTGTTGTGGTTGGTGGGAAGGTTGAAGATGCTGAGGGTCTTGAAAGGGAGTATGGAGAGCCGAGCTTGACGGAAATTAGGTCTGGAGGTGAGGGTGCTGGTGTGCCATCTGTGTTGTAAATAAAGTTTTAGTGCTTTCCTGCACATGACAAAACACGTCTACGAAGGCACTGTATATACCTAAGGTTGCAAGGTACACATACAGCTTGTGCTTCTTGATCAAAACAGCTTCCAATTGCTGATCAAGAATCGATCTCTGATCAGACAAGTCCTTTTGAATCTTGGGATCATGACTGATATCAGAGCTGACGGACAACAATGTCAAGTATCCTTGTCGTTTCTTTTCTAGCTCGGCATGATCCTTGTCGAGCTGCTTCAATCTTTCCACAGCTCGCTTCCTACCCTTGCGTTCAGGTAGTGTTATGATTGATTCTTCCACGTTTGATTCGGCCTTGGTGTGTTTGGTAAAGGCTTTCAAAACATTCTCAGTCTATCATAAAATCAAGTTTAGCAAGGTTTCCGTCACTCTCAAGGACTGCAACTACTTACACCAACGCCTTCAAAGACATAGTCTGGTGGTGTTGGATCACCGGTTCTCATCAACTTGACAAAAAGATCGGTATCATATTTGGGTGTGATTGTTTGGGCGGTGGAGATCATTGATTGAGTACATGCAGATACGACTGGAAGTTGAGTAGATTCCAATTCTGCAAATTTGATGAGTAGTTCTTTGGCAACTACAATTCGGTCCTTTTCGTCGTCCCGTTGAATGATCTACGTCATAAAGCGTCAGCTTCGAGACCTCTGTGTAGGACTAACAAAAAGAAGATAAAGGCCTACATCCAATATAGCAGGTAACTGTTCCTGATAATGCTTATTCTTCTTGTCGTTGGTTTCGGCAATACTCTTCTTGTAAGCTTCCATTGCTTCCTTCTCGAGTACCGTCTTCTTCTCCATATCAGCGCGGATCTATATAGCGAGAATAACTTCAATTCGGAATTGGCGCCAAGCTGCTGAGTGGGCTTCCAAGTACCTTTTCAACATCTTCCTTTTTCCGTTTGGCATCGGTTGAAGCTGTTTCATAAGTTGAACGAGCAGTGTTGGCTGCTTTAGTGGCAGTTTCGTATCTCTCTCTCGTCTAGTTTCATAAGCACCACTGTAAGCGTATCTGTTTCGTAACGGCTACATGCATAGGTGCTCTCACCTTTTCCATTATTTCTACAGACTTTCTCAATTCTGCCAAGAGTCTCCTGATCTCATCAAAGTTCTAAAGCCGAGAGGGGCAATTAGACAGAGATTACATAAGCCTTAAATCGTGTCCTTTATACCGTCTTGTTGTTCTTTTCATTCTCCTTTAACCTGATCTTCAATGGCTTCCTCAAATCCAATTCCATCTTCTCGGAGATAGTAGTATGCGACGATGCCATATTTTCGGTCTCATTTAATAGCTGTAGCCAGCTTTGAGCGACGGTGCTACCATATTTAAAAATATGTTGGAGTTTGAAACAACCAGTGTAACAACCAGCTTGTAAAACGTAGTTTACACGACGTACCTGCTCAAAACAGCCTTTTGGAACGATCCAGCGCTCTTGTCAGTTGATTTCTTTGTATATTCATCCTTGTGCGCCTTCACCAGTTTCGTCAGTGATGTTGCATATTCTTGTTCTATAGAAGCCCTCTTCTTCAAAAAGGAATTTAAATTCTCAAAGAATTGGATGTTGTGCTCTGCGTATTGTTCTACGGTACGCCATTGGTCCTGGATAAAAGACGAGATAATTAGAAAACTCCAAATGACAAGAAAAAGTTGGTGCCGCTGCCGCAAACGAGAAAATGCAAACAAGGTGACATACCCAAAGCTCGGTTCCGAAAGGCATTTTTGGATGTAAGTCTCCAAAGTGTTTTTCACCTTGAGAATAAAGTTGATTGATGCAAGTTTCATCCCTGTCCTTTGTTCGACAAACCCCAATCAGAATCCGACCATTGATTTTTCAAGCAGGTCCAAAACGCTGCAGCCGAGTCATCTTTGCACAGAGAAATAAAATCGTTGACAATAGAGATTTAAATACATTAATAATTACAAATAGTAAACATTAATAATTACAGTGTGCATCAAACACGTGAGAGACCACTTCTGTTTTCAAAGTCAGCGTAAAACTGAATCATACTATCCGTGATTCTCGGGGTGATAGTGCCAATACTATGCTGAAAATGACGCATAGAGACCTATTCAATGATACCACTGTGTCAGTGAGAAAGGTCTGAATAGGCGTTTTTTTGGAGCTTTGTACCTCTGAAGCATCAATATTCTCGTCCAGAGCAGATACAGCTGCCTCTTGACAAACTGCAACAACTTCAGCTCCAGAGAATCGATGAGTCTGCGCGAAAAAAAGACAACAAACTATTAGTCAAAACGAATTCCGTTTCCGAGCATGCCAGTAATGCGACATACCAATTCAGCGATTTGAGCGAGATCTACGTCATCAGACAAGCTCATAGTCCTGGTTCTGACCTGCAGAATCTCGTATCTAGACGCATAGTCTGGTGGTGCTACATAGAGTATTCGATCTATGCGACCAGGTCTCAGTAGCGCAGAGTCCTATTGAGCCAGTTAACATTTGGATCATGTCTATTTTTTGAGTGGTGTAAGAATGGCATACCAGTATGTCAGGTCGATTTGTAGCAGCTAATACAGTAACTCCATTCATAGACTCAACACCATCAATCTCAGCGAGGAGTTGAGCCAACACACGGTCCGAAGATGAACCATCTGTTGATGATCCTCGTTTAGATCCCATGGCATCGATTTCATCCTAATCATGATGAGCACTTAGAAACACAGCGAACCGCTACGAATGAAAGAAAGACGTACGAAAAAGACTATGGAAGGAGCTGCAGCTCTTGCACGCCGAAATGTTTCTCTGACAGCCTTTTCTGATTCTCCAACATATTTGGAATAGAGCTAGAGAAAAAAAAACACGTTTCAGATAAAATGTTGCACACTAGTTCAACGTAGACTTACCTCAGGTCCTTTGATCGATATGAAGTTGACTTTTGTCTCTGTAGCAAGAGCTTTAGCCATTAGCGTTTTGCTACATCCAGGAGGTCCATACAATAAGAGACCTCTAGGTGGTCGTATACCAAATCGTAAGAATGATTCAGGATGCTAGAAGAAAAAAAAGCTATTAGCATTCATTCAAAATTATACCGATGGCACGACATCTGCCCAACATACCTTGAGAGGCCACGCCACAGCTTCAATTAACTTTTGCTTGATTTCAGACTGACCACCAACATCAGTCCAAAACACCTGAGGCACTTCTACATACACTTCTCTCATCGCACTAGGTCTGACATCCCCCAATCCAGTCCGTAAATCTTCAATCGTCATACAAGGCTCGGTCAAGCCACTTTCAATACACCTTTGAATAGCCTTCAAACTAGCTTCTTGAACCACTCCAAAAAGATCAGACCCAACATACGCATGTGCTGCGTTTGCCACCAGTTGTAGATCAGGTTGAGCAATACTATGCGGCACATTTCGTAACAACGCTTCCAAGATATGGTATCGTGATATAGCAGTAGGTATACCGATTTCCAACTCACGATCGAATCGTCCTGGCCTTCTCATTGCTTCGTCGACGGCATCAACTCGATTCGTCGTGCCAATGACTATGAGTCTGGTATCAGATTCTGCCTTTTGTGATACACCGTCGAGGAGAGTCAACATGGTAGCAACTGCTCTTCTTTCGGCTTCGGTTACATCACCGTCTCGACGGGGGCACAGTGCATCGACATCGTCCAGTAGAATGATTGCAGGTGAACTTGCACTAGCGTCTTCAAACACTTCACGTAGCTAAAGTTTTGAGACTTTGGGTTAATTGATTGCAAATAAACCCATATTGACGTTTCCAGTTGCGAACCTTTGCCTCGGTTTCACCATAGTAACTAGACGCAATATCGGACCCATTTATCGTAGTGACATACATGCCGCTAGACTGTGCGACAGCTTTAGCCAACACTGTCTTTCCAGTTCCTGATGGTCCATATAACAGTATTCCACGTGGAGGTCGTAGTCCTAAATACAAGGCGAAATTCAGCACAAACAAGGAGCTTATCATGTATTGGTAGACATACCAAACTGAGTATATCGTTGAGGTTGACGCAGCGACAAATCCAAAAATTCACAAAGAACACGTATTTGGTCGTCTAGTCCACCAATCTTTGTCAAATCACCCGCTTTCGTTGTTACAATTGGCTGATACAAAAGTAGAGTCAGTGGTGGGTTTCAAGTCAGAAAGACTGGATGTTCCTACTTTAAGCATAGGCTTCGTTATAATGATGGTCTTTTCACACACTCGATAAGCTATAGCTTGCTCCAGCACTGGCTCAAAGCTTTCAACAGTAAAGATTCGTTCAACAGTTTCGTAAACTAGATGAACTTGCTGCGATCTCGTAATAAAGCTGGCATTGACTACAATGAGCAAATGTAAGCTCACTGGTGTTAAACGACGGGCCAGTTTTGCGGTTCTTACCAAGACACGACTTCACGTATATCTCAAAGGTTGCGTCTCGACGTATTGGTGGACCTTCCGTCTGTTTAATGACGACTTTCAGAGCCTCTGGTATGACTTCAGAGCTCTTGACTGCTTGTAATGATACTAAGAATGGCACCGGAAGGCCGAACGTGCTTGCAAGAAGCCTTCCAACACGAATAGCTATATGACGAACCATTGAACTCCGGATCCAATCTGAAAATTACACACGAAACTAAATGACTTACATCCTCCGGTCAAGTCCCTAGCAGGCCAAATCGTACCAATAGCCTATTCGATTTTTTTTCTGCGTTAGCCAATGTCCCTGAAAGCTTCAAAAATCAAAGTACCTTGAGTTGCATCGGATCTGGTAGATGATTTGCAGACGAAATAATGACCGGATCGCCTGGACTACATGCCAGTTTGACCAGATCTGATGCTGAAACTTGAAGACGTGATTGATTTGAGGAATCAATAGCAATCACTCGATATGAATTCTCTGGCGGTGGCGGCAAGTAATCTGCAATGAGCTGCTGTGACGTCCTATTGGATTTCGCTTTTGGAGCCATCTGTGTGCTCACGAGTGTCGTCCTTTTATTTTCATTAGACGCAAGACGCGATAAAGAAGGAAACAATGTACGTGCGTTTATACGTGATAAGTGTTTTTCCTATGCAAATTATGAGGCGGAGGAAGCGTGCAAGTACCATCCAAAAACCTATCAATTGTTCGTATGTGCTGCTTTTCCCAATCGCTAGCTGTGAGTCCTCTGCGGACACCATCCGTCTCCAAAGCTGTTGCGAAACCAGAACGTTCGTCATGAGGAAGCTTCGAAGTACCATAAAACGTGTAAGTCGACTGCTGTCGACCTTTTGGATTAGGATTGAATGCAAGCTTGCAACCACATCTTTTCGCAGCAATAAGCAAGGCATACCGGAATACAAGCTTTGCGTTATAGAGTATCTACACTCCAGACCTTGCCTTCGTGGCTGGTTCCTTCCCATTTTCGAGGTTTTTGGAAAGTACGCATTGATCTTGAGCGTTTTCGAAGAAATAAAAGATGACCAACCAAGGGTGAAAGAGCTCCCTTGTCTGCTATGTGTCATGGCATCTTAAAATATGGAATCCAGATTCTGACACGTTCTGACAAGTAGGTGTCACGTCGCCTCATCTCAGTCTCGACATTAATCATAAGGCGAAGAATATGTGCAATGTTCCAATATAATACAAAAAATCTATCTATGTTTGTGTATGTGTCTGTGTCTGTGTGCGTTGTTCACAAATGTTCGTTTGTGTGTTGCGTTTCACTTCTCCCAATCCCACGCTAGCTCTGAATAATCCACTGACCCCATCTCATCGCCTCCATATTCGACTTCTACCTGAGAAGCGACAGGAGATCCTCCACACTTTACCCTCCATGGTATTCGATCTGGCCGTTGATTAATATCAAGTGATTCCGCAGTCAATTTCACATATGAGCGGAATGTATCATTATATTGAGTGAGTGGCGGTATCCATGCCTTTTCATGCCTAGCAGCCCTCCTGATGACAAGGGGTGCTGCAAAATGTGCACTTTTGCATCTTCCAAGTGCTGCATTGGCTTGAATCTTTTCAAGGAGCATAGCTTCCAGTATCGTAGCTGCATCTGTGCCATCGGTCATGGCATGATATGCTGGAACCAGAAACTGGAATTCTGGTTGTATGTTTTGCAGTAGATCTGGTGGAAGCATCTACATGGAGAAATAAAGGGGGTGAGCGACATTTTCAGACATGACCTTGCTGACCATCTAAAAAAACTAAACGAATGGGAATGTCATATTACCAAGGCCGCGCATACTGCAGGTAACACCGGTTTGTTGTTCTCGTCTCTCCTAGGGGTGACGACCTTGGGTTCGGTTTTAGAGAGAATAGCGTCCAAAAGAAGTAGGATATCCTGCTTTGTCGGAGCACGATCCCATGGATATTCGAATCGGAAATCTGGATGCACACCTTCTAAAAATGTCTAGAGCAGAAACAAAAAGAATGTTCAGTGAATCGATAGTTACTGCAGAGGAAATACCCACAACGCCTTACGTCGATACACCACAAGATGCCCTCTATGAATCGGCGTGCTTTGGCGTGAGGATTGGAAAGATCTATGGCAGGCTGTATCCTGGCAGGCGGTTTTACTTTCGGAGCTGGCGTTGGTGTTTCATCCACCTCCTCTACAGCACATTCACTCGATTCCGACTCAGACGAGCTACAACTATCATCCTCGTCCTGCAAGTCGGTGGGAATCGGGCTGTCCTCTGCTCTATCCTGCCTGTCAAACCTCCTATCGGTTGCCGTTAAAGCGAGTACCTCCTTCAACAGAGCACAGTTGATTGACTCTTCATCAACATCGACAATATATCTGCTCGAGCTCATTTTCAATGCCTTTTGTTGAGCTACTCGATACCTTAACCATAACACGGAGATATTCGACCCACGACATTTCGGCAAGTAATCATTCCTATAATTGTTGAGCTGTGAGTCGTCGTAACAACAAAATGATGTATTGCCTAGATGCCACAAGCGTCGTTTGCTTAAGCATCAACTCACCCCGTCATCAACACCAAGAAGGACAAATCAATGGCGACACGACGTGCATCGAATTCAGGTCGTTCAGCCAAAAATCTAAGAAAGTTACTGGCTCTAAAAATATAGCCCTTGTCGAGGTTTACGAATGTTATGTCGTGGTTGTTGGAAACTACAGCTTGGAGTAGGATGTCTGTGTCGCTGCCTACTATAGCAAAACTTGTAGGCTCAGAAGATGCTGATCCTAGTCTTGCAATGTGCTGCAGTATTTTAATCTCCCCCTCTCCAGGCGAGGATGAAAAGTCAACAATGACGGAGACTGGGTCTGGATCCTTAACGACGAATTTTGCAGCGAATTCTAGTAGCTTGTCGTCCACACTAGACATATCAGGCGAATGCGTTCAGGTCTGACAGGCTTCGATGGCACTAGGTCAAGTCACTCACGAAAACATAACCTCACACCCTGGAGTTATCAGCCTCGTATCAAAACGCAGACGACCCTTCTTCTCCTTGGGGATACGATTGTTTGCGTACTAGTGCGTTAAGAACTTTGTGTTTAGTCGACTGGCTGTGTACCAAGAAGCGTTCGTTCCGTACTCGTCTCTTTTGTTGGGTAAATAGCTTTGCGAGTGCACTCGGGCCATCAACACATAAGGTCAGAGTTTCAATAGGCCGAGCGAAAGGCGCGATTGCTTCGGCAGTTCCGTGATATATGTTCCTCAGGAACTGTCGAGTAGAGTTGCTTCGTCTGCCATTCTGATGCATGATGGTATTCATGTCAATCAATACGTGATGAAACCATAGATCTCTATAATAATGATTGGATGTTAGAGATACTTTCATGTTTGCTTTCTTCATCGTTTAGATTGCTTGCAGCTGAGCTGACTGGGCCAACAACTTTGGAGAAAGTGAGGATATAGGCAACCAGAAGCGATTAAAGCTTACGAAGTGTGAATAGCTTCAAGACATCCTGGCATCTCTCGACGTATGAACTTTTCAAAGTGGGGAATGCCCATCTTTTGGTTATACCTGCGTGCGCTTGAATGCAAACAAAGCACGCAAACAAAATTAGCACATGTTTTTGATAACAGTAGCACTTAACAGGTTTCATTTATAGAATTTAGCAATTTAGCTTATTTAAAGGCGTCAGTGGTTGTTTACATAGTTTTTTCTTTGATGTTGAAATTTGAAATTTGATCTAATTATTTTTGGCTGCTGTTCCTACTTGATGCAGTGTAGCTCGTGTTTGAGCTTCTATTGGAGCTGCTATTGCTTGATCCCATATATGATGTGGTGGCACTTGTTGATCCAGTGCTGTTTGTTCCTGTGTAGCTACTAGTTGTGCTTCTTGACGCACTAGATCCAGTCAAAAGCGAGCTTGCGCGACTCGTAATACTTGAGGCATTGGTGCTCCCGGTGCTGGACACGGATGTTGAGGAGGCCGTTAAGCTGGTGGTTCGAGTATCCGGCAAGGTGGTGATAGTACTACGCGAGTCTCTGCCACTACTGGAAGTCGTTCTGTCACTACCAGATGCAGTGCTACTGGAGGCTGTACTACTACCATTGCTGGTACTATTCCTATCTTTACTGCTGTTCGTAGAGTCTGTGTTGGTGCTTGCTCGTGGACCTAAAAATGCAGTCAATCTGCTCCCAGTCGTGTTGATACTACTTGGAGGAGCAACTGCACTAGCGGGCCTGCTATCACTTTTTGCTGATGTTGGTGGCGTAGCATTCATCTTGCTGGTAATTGCAAATAGTTGTTCAGCAATGCCTTTGAATCCCGCTTCCATTGCATAGTCTGTAGCCGTTCTCCCAATACCATCTTTGAGTGATACATCCGCTCCAGCTTTGAGCAGACGATCCACAACAGCTTGATATCCGTGTCCGCAAGCCAACATTAGGGGTGTTCGTCCATCGTCATCTTTGAATAAGAAAATAGTAGGTAAAAAACCTAAAACATATAAGACAATCGCTCATTCCAAGCGTTCATTACCTTTCTCATTAGCATCAACACGTTGCCTCAAAATCAAATCCACTACATCCGTATGTCCAAACTGACACGCCAAATGCAAAGGCGTTTTGCCTCGCCCATGGTATGTAGCAGCTCGTAAAGTCACTATAGATATAGCGAGAATCGGACTAAAGTTGAGCAAGTATTTGACCACGTCCGTGTGACCAGTTCGAGCAGCAGCATGAAGACCACCTTCACCGTTCTTATTGACGTCCGTGACGACGAATGATTTGGCGACAGAAGATTGTTTCGGGATGGTGCTAACTATGGATTTAATTATCTCGAGATTGCCCGCCCTACAATTCAAAAAGTGTTGAGAGTCGATATACGGCAGTCACGTTTTCGAGATAATGTCCATTGCAGGCCACATTTTCGGTCATGGAGACAATGAATAGCAGGACTAAAGTACATACTGGCATGCTAGAATGAATGGCGAGTTTCCAGCATCATCAGCGATATGAGTTTTTGGATACTCCAATGTTCGTGCAATTTCTTTGAATTTGGCCAGATCTGCACCAGATGTTGCCAGTTCAAGGAGAGCGCTACAATCAATATTGAATTTAGCATCGACTGGCTTTCAAAAGTTAACAAAAAGGCGTGTTCGTCACGCCGTTTGTCCGACTAGAAATTTCAAGACTTGATTTCACCTCCTAGCTTTGCGGGCTGCAGACGCTTCCTGGGCAGAATGGATAACATTTGTAGTCGCGTATACAGCATAGCCTATAGCGACACTCCCAGCTGCAGCCACCGCTACTGTTGTCACGGTCATTTCGATAGGAAACATAAAATGGACGGCAATTTGCAGATCGGCAAACATTCAAATAGACTTCGACGCGCTCGTATGCGTCAAAACAAATGATTACACCAACGAACAACATATATATGCTAAAAATATAAAAAAAGATTGCTTTTTGCTATCTTGCTACAAAATCAAACCATCCTACGTTTATGCCTTATTGATCGATTCCCTTGAAGCACCCAATAAATTCCTGAAGAGGTTCTTTTTCGCTTTGGATGATTCCGATTGCGAAAACTTGCCAGTAATGTGAAGAGATCCAGATCCTTTGACGACTGGGAGCCAGAGATCAAACGCTTCGCCATGTTCGTGGACGAACTATGTTGTAAAAAACCAGTTAGGGATGCTGCTGCGTTTAAGTATGTACACTAGACACAATACGACATGCCAGAACCATTTCAAATACTCACACTCATAGCATCAATATCAACTTCACCCAAATCACCATCGCCTGAAAAGGTATTATGATCCTTCAAGACGAGCTTTAAAGATGATGGCGGAATCGCAATATCAAAAGTCTCGTTCGTCCATTTTGGAGTCAGAGTCTTCTTGATGACCGCTGTCTTTCCATGAGACTTTTCTTTTCCTTTATGGTCGACAGATAATATCTTCACGAAAGGATCACTTGTACCACCAGCATCCAGAGCATTCAAGTCTTTAGCTTCTACTATAGTCAGATGCAAGAGGAGGCCTATGAAGAAGAGAAAATGTTGAGACAAAGGACTTTCTTAAAAATACCACACTTACTTACCGTGATCGTGTGTCTCAACTGAAGCAATCGATCCCGGTCTTGATGCGGTATCCGAATCTTTCGGAACACTAAGACCACCCCATTCAACAGTTGTGTCACTATGAGTTGTGGACCCTCCGTCTTTGATGGATGCTGTTGAGGATTGTCGTTTTATGGAGCCAAAGCCATCTTTTATACCAACAGCATTCAATACATTTCCAAGACGTGATGGTTTAGGTGAAGTCTTTGGCGAGTTGCTGCTACTGCTATGAGCCGTAGCGTCATCACCACCATTCTCAGTTGCTTTTTCAGCGGCAGCTTCTGCTTGTGCTGCGACGCCTTTTTCTATTTCACGCTTTTGAGCCAGGTTTTTCAACATGTTGGGATCAATCTGACTTTGAGAGGCAGCTGTATCTGCTCGTAGACCACCGACAGAAGTGACTTCATGAGTCAGTTTCTTGCCTACACCGGTCACTTCGGATAGCAAACCACGACCAAACTTGGCGAATGTTCCTTTCTCTTGTCCACCTTGGGTACGTTCTTTCTTGCTGTCCACTTGGACCTGAAGAGACGTCAGAAGTGTGAGAATTTTGGCAACGAACTAAAAAACGAGACCTGCAAACTCACCAGTTGAGGATCAAAGTACAATCTCAATTTGACCGATCCAGAAACAGCTTGAGACAAGGTGAAGGCCTTCTCCAAGACTTGGCCTGGAGTAAGCTTGGAGAGATCTACATCCACAACACCAAGCAATGCATCACCAGTAACATTATAATCATATATTCGGACCTGGAAGGTTGATCTTAATCGAGAGGGAATGGCTACTTGTACTGATTCATCGAAGACTGGATTTAATGTCTTTTTGTGAATCTTGGTCTTGTGAACCTTCTGATCATTCAACACGACCAATGCGTATGGATCAGAGAAGCCTGGAAAACGGAGTTAGTGACCGGGTCATCTATAACAGAAACAAAAGCTGTAGACAACAGACATGTATCTTTACAGCATTACCATTTGAATCGTGTGAGTGGAGGTCAGTTGCTGACAGAATATCCACGTAGAGCATACCCATCGCTAAAAGCGAAAAAATGGAATTATTAGAGTTGCATCAATGATAGTCGAAAGTTAGTCCATCCCAAACGCCCATACAAATCAACAAACACTCACTATTGGATCGTTCAGCTTCATCCAATTCAACATTCACAGGCACAAATCCAGCGTCAATCATCATTTGACCAGCGACTCCAACTATGGCACCAGAGATTGGGTTTGGTATAAAGTCAGCCATCATAAGCCAATAATCTTCTCGTCCAATTATATCAACAGCATTGCCAGTCCATGAGCAAATGATGGGATCCTTTTCAGTCTTTTTGGCTTTTTCACCAAGTGCATCTTTGAGACGCATAGTGATGGCAGTGGTGGTTAAATCCTTGATGAAAATATCACAAGCTTCTTCGAATATGGGTGCGGATGTTTTGGGATGAGCTCGAGTGGAAAATGCTACTTCTTCATCGTTCAAGACTACTTCGACATAAGGTGATGACCTACGGATATCGTTGGCATGTAATAGTTTCAACCTTAAAATCCCAACGCTGTGACGCTCGATAATCTTGGCAGCATGAGCTTCAGCTTCAGCTCGAAGTTTCTCCTTTTCTTGCCAAGCAGCTCGTTCTTCTTCGACTTCCTTCTTCCAGGCAGCTCGACGGAGTCGTTGTGCATCTTCTGTTTCTCCTTGGTTAATTTCAAAGGGACGCTCTTCATAGGCAGTCAGAGCTTCTCTATCTCCAGCTTGCACACTGTTGCCAGCTGACGTCGGATAGTAGACTACTTCAAAGTGCACATGTCCCTTTTGTTTGACCTTTTCCTCACCACCATCATAGTCATATGCATAAGCGTCTCCACTGTGACGAGAACCAGACGATATACGACTAGGTTCAGCAGGCGCCAGGCCGTTTTCTGCTGCTGTAACAGGAGCAATAACATTCTGATTATTGTCCTGAACAACAACAGGCCTCTTTCTGCCTCCGATGAGTTTGTTTGCTGCGCCTCCAAGAGACCTTCCAGCTGATCCAACTACAGAGCCTACACCTCCGATCACAGATCCTCCTACACCTATCACAGCAGAGCCTGAAGCGCCTACTACATTTACAACACCTAGAGAGTTTTGTAAGGGAGGAATGAAGAAGGAAATTGTGAATAAAAAATAAACCAAATGTTCGGATACCCACCGCCACCAACTGCCATAGCACCAGCCCCTACAGCATTGACGACACCGGTAGCTTTACGCAAGTACACAGGAGCCCAAACGTCAGCTTCCAGTGCGGAATCACTAGTTATCTCGAGACCATCAGCTTTAAAGCGTTCCATCTTACGATCAATCTTCTTTACAGATGGTGCACTAGGTGGCAATGCAGCAGTAATTGATGTTGTTGATCCATCACTGTGTGTAGTCGTTGTAACGGTTGTTACTGGTGTGGTGTGGTTGGGTTGTTCACCATTCGTAGTAGGTGTAGGACCGTGTGTAGATTCGACTTGGACGGAAGGTGCTGCTGGTATTGAAGCTAAAGAAGCTGATGTAGCTGTTGGGTTGATTTCCTGGTTGCAAACGATGAAGTGAGTTTTTACTCTCCAAACTTTTCAACAAATACAAATTCTTACTGGGAATTTGATCAGATCAATCAATTTGAAATCAACACCACCCAAGCTTCGATCTTTGGTCATTCGATTATAATCCCAAAGCTCAATATTGAGTTGTTCTCGACGAGAGTAGCAGATACCATAAAAGATTTCATTCCAAGTTGGATTGAGAGTATTATCCTTAACGTGGGTCTGACCAATGGATCGACTGCCCAATTGAACTTTGGCATAAGGATCTGACTTGTCTATCATAAACAGATCTCTCGACATTAGCATCAGCATGGCTAAAACATGTAGAAATCCGCAAAAACATACTGCCAAGTTGCTCAACATTCAAAAGTCCACGAGCTTCTTTAATCTTGAACCTGACGATACCAATGGGTTCCTTGGTAGCCAGTTTAGATTTGCCACCTTTAGCATCAATAGGCACAGGTGTGAACTTCAAAGACAATCGAATACGTGCTCCAGATCCAGTCATCCTAAACCAATCATCCTCTGGATGTTCCTATAAAAAAGTCGGCGGTTCAGCAATTTATTGATCAAGACTGCTTGATACCAAAGTAATTCAATGAGCTTACTTGAAGACGCTTCATATCATTGGGGACGTTGAGAGTCAATGATCCCAAAATAGGGCCGGCAGCATCCTTCAAATCCAATCGAAGGGCAAGTTTCTTGACATCCAATGTAAACAAGGACAGTTTCGCATCCCATACTGGTGTGGCTGTTCCCTTCTTATTAGGAGTCTGGAAGACGTCAGAATTATCGGCAAAGACCTGAACATACGATGTGTATCGTTGCGATCCCAAGTCTTTGGCTTGGTGAATGGAGAGTTGGACGACACCAGATACAACATCTTTAGGAGAATTGGTGAAGACAAGTGGAGGTTCTGGCACTGGATGCCAAGACATTTCCATTCGGACTTCTCCTTTCGTTTTACCACGATGCTCTTTGTCATCTCCGTCATATAATTTGAGCCAGACGTCTGATAAATCGATATAAGGCGAGCCCCAAAGATTCATGAGCTCTTCTCGTTCTTCAGCATCAAGAGCTGGCATTGAAAACATCTTTAGTTTTTTTGGTACTACTACGGTTGCATCAGCGGCTTTTGGTGGAGCTGCAGCTCCCTTGCTACCATCTGCTCCGTCAACTGGTGCGTCATCCAAGATACGCAACCAACGTCGTAATTGAACTTCTCGAGTATATCCAATTGATCGATCTTTACCGAGATTGTTCCAATCCAAAACTTGGATACGAACTTGGTCCCCTTCACCTTCAGTTGAATCAAGAATGGAGCGTGGAATGACAATATATAACGTTTCGTTCCATAGTGGATCCAGACTAAGATGAAAAACAGATTGTACTGTAAGCAAAAAAATCCCAAGAGAAACTAAGAACCACATACGTTTGTGGAATAGTCTTGGTTCTGGCAGTCATAACTCTGTTTCCACCAAGTAATATACAGGCATAAGGATCAGAGAGACCGATTGTTTGCACATTCTTGAGACCACGTCCTTCAGAAATGCGAACTCTCAAGATACCAGCAGGAATACCTATTGTTTCAGAGTGTTTTAGACCCTGTTCAACTTGTTTTTCGAGAAGAGTTTTCTTTCTTTTACTTACTACTGGATTCATCAAGAGAATTCAACAAGTCTTCCACATCAATTGTAATTCGATTTGGTTCAACCATTATTGCAGTGAGTTGACTGTCAATGATATCGTTGATGAAGTTGTTGAGACCAGGCAACTACAACGGGAAAAAAAGGTCACGTTTAAAGCGCAAACAGGATTCCTTACATCCATCAATCATAAACAGGATTCCTTACATCCATCATATCCAAACCCTTGAGAGGTCGCAATATAAATCCAATATGGGGCTTGACCATGAAACTGGCTTCAAATCGTTTGACATGAGGGAAGGCTGTCATCAACTTCAATTCAATACGCAACTAGGTGAAAAAAAGGGATTGGGATGCTGCTATGAGACAAGGTGTTTTAACTTTTTACGAGATAAGCATACCCTTCCAGTAAGCTCCATCTCTGAGACCAACACTGGAATTGGAATACTAGCAACACCTTTACCAATCTTGGCAACCAATTCGATGTTTGAGTTGCGGAAGTCGGCGCTAGCTTCTATTTGAGGATTGTCCAATGGAACAAATGCCAAGTCCCAATCCATTCGCTATAACCAAGAAAAAAAGTTGATCTTCAATGCTGTAATGTGAGGAGATGAAACACGCCAAAGCACAAAGCACATACCACTACATCGTTTTCCATGGCTGTATATGAAGTGACTCCTTCCATTCGTGGCGCAGCTGAACCAAGAGTGAACTTGGCCAACTTCAAGTCATCCAAGAAGCCAGGCTTGTTGGCATCCAAAATCTCATTGACAATACCAATGACAGTATCTGATAATACGGGCTCATAGATAAGCCAGAACTTTTGCAAAAAGAGATTCATCCATTCCAAAGTTTCAGACGATTGTTCAATCTATTTTTTTCAGGGGACCAATTTTTTTAGAATCCAGGCAAAAATAAGAAAACAAACTCAGTATACCCTTTTCATGGCCTGCTCTCGTGATAACTGTGCTCGCACTTTGTTTCTGAGTCGCCCCAGATTCCGTCGATAAGCACCACTGACAAATACAATCACAATAACAACCCATCCGAAGCTAAGCCTCCATCGTCCTAGAATATACGACACGACAACACCAGTACCAAAGTAGGCAGCAATTTTCAGTGCTTCCCAATATACCAGTGTTTCAATGATTGGTTTGAATTCATCAACGCGCTGCTGGATCATTTCCATTTGGGAGCTTATTATCCTGAATGGAGCAGGCAAGTCTTTATCACTATCAAATACGTAGCCAGTTGGCTTGATTGTGTCGACTTTGCCTCCTGCAGTAAGACTCTTGGGAGGAGGTGGTAAACTACCACTTGCAGTCATTGGCGGTGTTGTGTGGACAGGCGATGAGCGACCATCAGTCAATCCTTTTTCATATGCAGCTTTGGCATCTAATCATAGGTGATACATTTTTTAGAATGCACGTATGCAATGACTTATTTATACAGAAAATAGACAATACACAATACTCTAAACTGTGCCGCACAAGCTTGCGGCACAAGAGTCTCTGTCTCTTTATACTAACGAACGCACCTGAAAGTGTAAATGAATTTGAAAGCAGCACCCCATTCAGTCCACTAGAGACGATCGGATCAACAGCTACAACAGATGTAGTCTTGACACTGACCGGCAGAGCTGGCGCATCTACTTTGGGCACTGGTTCTACTGTTGGTGGAAGGGGATTCGGCGAAGGAGGTGTTAAAGTTACAGGAGGTGTGGGGACTGCAGCTGGAGCTTGTGCGTTCGTTCCTCCACGTTGAAGCACACGAGGTCGATTACTATTTGGTACTGCTACAGGTGCTGGCGGAGACGAGGAGGAGAGTTGTTGCGGCGGAAGGTTAGGAGGGCTGTTAGGAGGTGTTACTTTCCTAGGGGGTGTTCGAGGTCCGTCTTTTTCACTACGTGGTGCGACTCCGGCTGGCGTCATAGCTTCATTCATAGCCTTTTTTCCAACTGTATTAAATAGTGATTCGATCAGAGCTTCGTAAACGCGAAACGACTTGGCACGAAGTTTAATCAAATTACCATCGCCCAAGACCTCAGCTACTTGACGGAACGTAGGACCTTCAGTCATCTTGTTCTTTTCAAGAGCAACTCGAGCTACAAGTAAAGGCAAATCAGTGGTATAAACAAAATCGCGTTGTTTTTGAAGCTTCCAGTCAAAATACCTTCGTTGATGACATCTTCCGCTATATCCGTCACATCCGTTTTCCTTGGGCCAACAGGAGAAGTCTTTCCACTTGCAGGAGAGTTTTTTCCACTTGACATTGCTGGATATTCGATTTGGGCTTGATGTTTGGAATATTAGCAAAGTTGACTCAAATCCTGTTCAGCACGGTGAGAGATCAACGGCCTAGAGGCAGCTAGTTAGAATCCGCGAAATCCGTTAATCTTACAAGAAATTGTTTGGTTTGCTGGTTTGTGGCGAAGGTTTGTGACAACTTACACTTTGTTCAGCGATGCACGCGGTGGAAACTCGCCTTGTGAAGGACCGTATTGAAATCGTTTCACTAAAATCTAATACTTTGAACGTTTTCGTCTTGACTCTTCCTCGTGAAGCCCAAAAGTGTTCAAGTGTTTTGAAACCAGCTATTTCAATCCGAACGGTGTTTTTGTTCAAGTTTAACGGTGGGTTAGAGCAAGCACATCTCGAATGGTAGCTCTAGCGGGCGCGCTTATATTGTCTTCACTGCATTCACTTTTCGACCGATTTTTGTTCCGTTGTCTCTGGTTCCAGCCTTCAACACGTGCTGAAACATCTGAAGATAGCTGTACAGCGTGAACCACGTGAATACACACGCTGTGAGAAATTTAAAATAGACGAATTCCTGACTTCCTAAATCATTGGTCCAAGAGTTGCAAAATCACAGCCAACACATTATTGGTCAAATGTGAATACTGTATTTATCTTATACAACCCATGGAAACGCGAGCTGGTTACGTGATTTTTACTCTGAAGGACTGAGTCAGACTGACGACTGACTCTTTTGTCGTTTGTGTTGTTGTTGATGGACTACAAGTCAAAAAACGATATTAGTTCCACGTCATACTTGTTATACTGGCTCGCTGATTTTAACTGAAATATACCATTGACATACCTGCAGGCATTTCCGCTATATCATTCTTTCGTTTTGAAGTGGCAGGCTCATGTGACCCTGGTGTACGATAACCAGTCTGCAGATGAGCAGGTGGTACTAGCCCATCTCGTTGTTCACCAAATCGTGCAGAATAGTCAGAGAATCTATTACTTGGTGGTGGCGGTGGCATAGCACGACTGCGTCCTGGTCCTGGCTGCTGTGGTGGTGGAGGCATTTGTCCATCACGTGGCGGCAACCTATGATTATTATCCCTTGGTGGCATGTTGTGATTCGGCAAATGATTGCCGTTACTAAGACCACCACCAATCATTCCAGTTGTGGAGGGATAAGGGATACCACTGCCCATTCCGCCTTCATCTGCCCAACTACGATCACTTGGATCCAGTGGCGTACGTCCTACATATCGTTCTGCGCCATATCGATGGTCTCCATAAGCTGGCATATCGGGCCCATATGGAGGCATTGGACGACCATATCCGTTCGAGCTCCCGTCAAATCCATCATAACCACCATACCTTGGCGGCGGTTCAAATCGTTTCGGGGGCATAGAGTACATGTTATTAATTGCTGGATCATATGGTGGTGGACGATTGATTCCATTGTACGAGTTGTTATAAGGTGGTTGATTTGAGTGGAGAGGTGGTGACATCTGACCACTATTATTACTACCGATACCATGTGGCCTTTGTTGAGGCACCCAAGAGGCATGCGGCAACGACGATAGTGGAGATGGTGCATATTGGCTTCCAGCAGATTGTCCTGCGGGTAATGGTTCTGAAGTTGAAGGTAATGGAGTTGGTAGTTTAGATATGGGTATCGGTGGTGGAGCTGTCGATAAACCTAATGATGTACCTGCTAGTGGTGGACTCGTGGTTGTCAAATCGATTGACTTGGTTTGTCGTGTCCTTTTGGTGGGTGATGATTTCTTTGTAAGAGGAGCAGCAGTATCATTATTGGTAATCTCAATGGTTGCCCTCTTAGTTGCTGGTGGAGCATTGTTGTGCTTTGCAGGTGCTCTTGACCCTGTCCTCATCCAATTGCCGACCTCCACTCGGAAGTCATCGAATTCTCGGTATATAGCGGCTTTGTATACTTCGACGTTCCGTACCATATCACTCAAAGTTGGTTCGTGACCTAAATTTACAGTAATCTTATCTACTCGTGTTTTGAGAATATCGACTTGAGTGTTGAGTGTTCCTATCAAGCGAGTTTCCAAATCCATAGCGACCTTTTCTGATATATAATTACGTGTTTGGGCATCGTGAGCTTCCAGCTCTTCCCTTATCATGGTTCTTATAAGTTCTGCTGGTAACCTTGTCTTTCGAGAATGAGGTGATATGGGTGATGTTAACGGAGGAGATGGCAACATAGTGTTGCTCAAAGCTTGCATCGATAGTGTTGGAGCTGACATTGTCGGGCTTGGGAGGGCTGATGGCAGTGCTGATGCTGTTGCACTACTGCTAGCACTACTAACAATACGAGTACTCGGCGTTTGATTTGGGAATTGACTGCTCCAAGGAGACTCAGGAGTTACAGACGATATTGAAGCCATTACAGCGGCAGCTCGCTGTACAGTATCGTCAAGATCCATTGCATGCTTTTCCTTGTTATCATTTGCTGAGATCTGACTTGCATTCAAGTCAGGGGATTGTCGCGCTTCTGATGGCAGTTCATTTACGTTTATACCATCGTTGTGACTATGACCTGCAGCACTCACATCCTCCTTCTCATCATCAAATACAAAATACTCTCTTAGGCGATCTGCTAGTACTAATTGCAACCTCTTTTCTATCCGTTCTTCACATTCCTGAAAAGCCAAAAAGTTCTTTATTCTGACCTTGGGTACTTCTTTATCCAATCTCGTAGTAGTTTGCTGCAACATTGTCGAGAATCGACCTATACGAGACTCGAGAACCTTGGTTATACTGGCAGAGCGCAATTCAAACCGTGATTCGGCTTCTGCTACAACGTCATCGATATACTGGCGTGTTCGACGCTCGGTCCTAATAGCGGCCTCTGCAGATTTAGCCTCTAAAATTGGAAAAAGGGTCAACAGTGGCCTAATACTCGTAAAATACATTCATCGATGTTGTCAAGATGAGGATAAAATACGAACGGCATATGCGAGTGGCTTTGATCAATGCTCAATAGAATCTTGCAGTGAAATCATTGAATACGACACGATGGATGAATTTCCAAGTGTTGTTTATCATCTTTTCTTATATAGTTCTCCTTCCTTCTGCGCAGCTCACTTTGACACTGATGCTCTAAAACCCAAACACAAATGGGTGGCCACTCCAGATTGTTTACCTTGTTGGGCAAACTGCTGCATTTTAGCTTCCAGTGTAGCAATCCGTATATCCATTTCATCTAGTAGACTCTTTCTGAGTTCGACAGGAGTGGCTTCACTCATGCTGCTTGTTGATTGCGCTGACGATATTGCGATGCTTGGTTCTCCGACGACCTCCGATTGATCCTTTGATGATCTACGATTACTAGAGACAGTAGTGGTCTCTCTGCCAGATTTCATCCTGCCAGTTCTGTCTCTTGTGTGTCGAAAACACCCTGACTAGTCAAGTTGCCGTTGATTCGAGGAAATCCAAGATAGTAAACCGGGGAGGTCGAAACGTTTACCGACCAGATCCAATAGCTATATCAAACAATTAGATGGGAACTATATGCAACCAACTCTGCTCTGTGCCTTGTTGTCAGGAACCTTTTTGTGAACACCAAAAGTATGTGGATTGCGAGGAAGGAAAGAAAGTAGGGTCGCTTTGTGATACAGCTGACAAAAACAAACTTCCAGACAGGCTTTGCTGGTGTAAAAGCCTGAAAACACCTTGTACCCTGTACACCTTGTGACGAATGATGTTATTTTCCTTCCTGCGTCCAACCAAGCTGCACATAAATATATCTATTGACCATGTATATAAACTTGCTTATCAAACCCGCAGCTCACCACCCAATTCATCTGCTTATCCATGTAAATGCATCTCACGGGTGCGTCATGTGTCGTTATACGTCTTATAAGCTCACCAGTCGATACCTGAAAACACCATATTGCAAAATCATCCCCGGTTACATAGAGATACTTTGCATCCGACGAGAAACAGCATCTGGGCAGCGATACCTCAGCTGGAGCTCCGTAACACGACAGCAGGATCTTTGACGAATGCGTCAAGAAGAGAAGCAGCTTTCCTGTAGGAGTAGACGTACTTGCTAGCAGATATGGACCACTCTCTGACGTGGCCAAATGTAAGACTGAGAAGGATATCCAATCATCATTATTGGCGTTCATATTGTACTTGACCAGTTTTGGCTGTCCATTTCCAGAGAGATAGTAATACAACAAATAGTTGGTGTCACGGCATGCCACTACGAGTGCTAAACCGTGCTCATGTGTAGCTTTGACAAAGCAGACTGCTTCCACCTGTGTTTCATGCTTCAGTACAATCCTAGAGTCCAAATCCGGCAACCCATCATGTAGTCTATATATACACACGGTTTTGTCATACGATCCAGTAGCAACCCATCCACCTTCTTCAGTTTCTATGATATCGGCAGCGACCACATATTTACTATGATTTCGACACGTCATTAGCTCCTCATCTTCTAAAATATCAATCATGCTCATATCGCCTCCCATAGATGTAGTTATTATAACGTTTGGCAGCGTCGGATGAATCACAATGTTTATAATTGGAGACGATTGACTTGACAAAATTCTTTCGAGATGTGGTTCCCCAACAAGACTCGATACACGGATGGATTTATCAGCTGCAGATGTTACAATGAGCGGCAATTCACCACCATTGTTATCGTTGATCGTAGCAACAGCCAGTACATTTGAGAAGTGCGGAGTGAAGTTATACAGTTGATTTATTGAGGGAGGACTCGTTGGTGGCTCCTGTATCTTTTTCAATGCATCCGTTTCACTATCAGCCAATGAAGAGCTTTCAGTAGTTGCTTTGCGTGGAAATCCTTGATGCTCAAAACTCTCACCAAATTGATGTTGGTTGAGATGATTCCGTTCTAGCTCCCAGTCCTCGTTTCAGCTCATCCTCAGCTTCCGCCAACAGGCTCAACAGTGGTTTTCCAATACTAATTCTCTGGATATCATCGGCCAATTCCGTTCCAAGCTCCTGTTTCAAAGCATGAACAGCAAGTTCGAAGTCTTCGACTTCCAAGAATTGTATGATCATAGCAAGAGCTCTGTCTCGCAACGTATCTCGTGTCATCATCTTTGAAGGTTGTCTATATAGTATTTACACTTGACTAGGTTGAAGTTCTTATTATCGAGAAACAGAAATTACACGTTTACGGATGTACTCCAGGATCACGTCTGGGACGCTGATCAGGCTGTCGATGATGATATAATCTCGTAAATCCTAGTATGACTGAAATTACCATACTAACAAACCCCACCGTCCCAATAATCATCTTGACCTGAAACACCGGATTAGATGCGTATGGAGAATTGATCAAAGCAGCTATAACTATCAGAATAATTCCGAGCCAAGTGGTAATGAGTACTTTGAGCTTCCAATGTTGTTCATACAACAAACACTCGGGCCCTTCGTCACGTATCTGATCGAAAAAGGTTGGTTCAGGTTTCCTTTCGATGCCAACCGATCTGATTTTGTGACTTTCCAGAGATGCAATGCTCGAGACGTCAGACGTTGAGATATTTGAATGAGTTTCAGGTTCGGTTGTCATCTAAGACGTCAGAATTGTTGAGATGCGTCGTTTCCTTGAGTGACAGCCAGTAGTTGACAAGGCTCGACTAACTTACGCTAAGTACAATAAAGTTTTTCTGACGTTAAAATCGTAGATTGAGGGTAGTTTTTGACTTGTTCCGGAGGGTGTGAGAGGATTTGGAACTAGTGTTGCATCTTTCGACACATTGGTGTTTCAGATATCTTTCGGCTTCAGTCGCGAGAAAAGAATGCTATGAGGCACTTCGTAAGTGCGGTGAACAGTAGTTTAAGCCTTCATCGCTTGGCGGTGGTCTCGACTGATGCACTAATTAAATGTGCGCAAACCTCGCAAAACCAGCCAAACCTGTCAACTCCGCAAAACTGGCTTCTTCTATTCACAGTGAAGGGACGGATTTGAGTTTTGAATGTCATTCTCGATTGCTACTTCATTGGCACATCGGCAAGCTCTCTCTTCTCGCAGTTGTTGTTGTTTGCGGCGGGATCATAGCCAAACCTTGGTTTCCAACGCGAGAAGGCAAGGAGCGACAGAAACGCCAGTGCAACTTTATCTTAAACTGACCAAAACATTTTACATGCATGAATCTTGTGTATTAAACTATGGCAATGTATTTTCCCTCCTACGTTTTCCATTCTGGACTCTTAAAGTACAATTTCTTGGGCCAACTTGGCCATCTCACCTTCTTCATCTGCTTTGACCACCACCACCTTCACTATACTGTCTGCATGACTTATATCTACTAAGTCAGCGCTACCATCAACACCTTCATTCTTGGCATCATCCAACTTGACTCCCAATCCATCCAACAACTCACAAACCAGCCTCCTAACTATTTTCGAATTCTCACCAACTCCCCCAGCAAACACAATACAATGAGGAATACCTTTTAAGGGTACTACATACGATGCGACATATTTGGCAATGCGGTATGTAAACATGTCTACAGCTAGTTTACATCTTCGATATTTTTCGGAAGTGCTGTCATTTGAGGACAGGATTGGCTCTATTTTCCTAAAGTCTGATTCTCCACATATACCCAGCAAGCCACTTGAATGGTTGAGGATGTCTTCGGCCTGTGATACCCGGATAGTGTCTGTCAAAGTTGTGTGTTCAGCGAAATGAGGTTGGGATAGATGGAATATGGCAGAGGGGTCGACATCTATGTTGGCGTTGACGTTCGCAAGCGTTACAAAGAATTTTTTGGTCATGCAAAATCTAGAATCCCAAACCATTACCTCCAGATCGAGTTCCCATTATCAAGCCTTCTAACGGTGTGAGACCCATACTTGTATCGACACTTTTACCATCCAATATCGCACACGCCGATGCCCCGTTTCCAAGATGCAGCGTAACCAATCTCCACGGAAGTTTTATGGCACCAATAGCAGTAACGGGCTTGACAGACTCCAGATACGCAGTAGTCTTCTTAGCAAGGTACCCATGACTCGTTCCATGAAACCCATACTTTGCAATCCCTAATTCAAGACATTTGTCATATGGGAGTGCATAGGTTTTGGCGACTTCAGGCATGGTTCTATGAAATGCGGTATCGAATATTGCTATCTGTGGTTTGTCACTGAATATAGCCCTCGTTGCGTGTATGAGTGACAGTGCTGGTGGGTTGTGAAGGGGTGCCAAGTCTGATACGGTTTTGAGATCTTCAATAACTTTATCGGTCAATATAGTTGGAGCGTCAAATAGCTTTCCTCCATGAACGACTGGAATAGCTCGGAAGAGTCAGATTTTACGTGGAAAAAGGTGCCGAGGGGTTTCGGCTACAAGGCCTCAAAAAACCTTGACCGTTCATTTTGAAAACGTAAAACTTACCTCTGTGTGCAATACAAGCAACATGATCGAAAACCAAGTGTGGTCTAATCTTTTCCAAGAATGCTCGAAACACAACTTCATAATTGTTGATATCTTCTTGTGTCGGTGGAGAATCCTGTTCAAACATGAGATATTGTCAAGCTCTTGCATATAGAGGGCTAGTTTAGAGCCAAATCAAACAATTGGAAGCAAAATCTTTGGTTCGAGCGATGATCGTTGTAAGAGCTTACCCAAAGAGCTTCATTCTTGATCTTGCTCGATGATGGCTTGATGACGGTAACATTTATGGCGGGTTGCTTCGAGAGAAGAGCGTCAATGGAGCCTGAGGCAACGAGAGTCAGATCCTTTGCTGAATATAGTTTGAATTTGATGGTTGACGACTAAGTTTTGAATTGTTGCTCAAGTTAGCTCTTGTTGGGAGTTTAAAGGTGGGTAAACGCGGTCAAATTGGAACATAATAATTCGAGGCTTACTCCTGAGTTCAGTACAAGTATTGTGCTTGAAGCTTCTTCTGCCATCTTGTGATCTTCTGCTGCGTACGTGTACAGATTGTGGGTTTGTGAAGTTTCATGCCGAACGAGAGCAACGAACAATCATTTCCTACCCACTAGCGTATTGAATGAGACGGGAACTAGATATTATATTCAATCATGTTGTCGCGTGGAAACCTGTCAAGCAGGAACGACCACAATCACTTTTCGAGTATTTCGCACAAGGAGCACCACCGTCACTTTGAACCATGACTATTTGATCTCGTATTAGTAGCGAACAATTCAGAAAATATCATGGATCTCCTTCCGGACAAATAGTTTAATATTTAGAGTGTTTCTACCAAATGCAAAGTAATTAATTGGTTTGATTGGTTCAAGATCGTTTCGTTCGTTTATGAGCATCACCATCATCTTCATCTTCAGCAGCTCGCTTATTATTGCCGGCTGCTGGCCCTTCGTCCGTCTCTTCCTCCTCCTCATCCTCCCATTCGTCGTCTTCCGCAAATTCTAGACCTCCAGTAATTTCTCCTCCTTCATCGTCCTGTTCTTCCTCACCTTCTATTTGAAAATCTGGTCCCTCATCATCATCATCATCGCCCTCATCGTCCTCTTCTTCACCAAAAGCCCCCAGCTTTTTGAATATCAGGAGCCTCACGGCATCTATTTGTTCATCAGAGGTTGCTCTTGTCATGTTCATCATTGAAAGTGTTTGAGCATCGGTTGGGCTTTGGGAGGGTACTTCTAGAACCACTTCTATTTGACTCGTATCAGCAGTGGCAAAGTGCATCTGTGTGTGCGCAATGTGTCAGAAGATGTTGAAGAGACGTGAGCAACCTTTGTGAATTACTTTGAATGCAAAATTTTCTAGATCGTCGTCAGGCTGATCATCGTCGCCAATGACTGGCGACCAAACACCTTTCAGGAAAGAGCCTTCAAGCTTCAGTTTTTTCAACTCTCCCCAGCAAGTGTCCTAAGGAAGCAAGCGTCAAGATTCTACAACGTATAGAACTCAATGAGGTGGCGAATGTTACGTTGAGATGAAAATAGTTGCCGTTTTCTGAAAGCCATAAAACTACTGTCTCTAGAGCGTGAGTGACAGCTCCCGATGAATTCTGAAGCCTGGGATGAAAGGCTGGTAAGCGAGTTGCGAAATGCAGGCAGGCGCAAACACAATAGTTCTTTGATTAGGTACCAGTTTGCTTTGAATTCACCGTAAAAGTCAGGGATTGTTGGTTTGACAGCTGGAGTCGTTGGTATCCTCAAATGGTGGGCAGCATAGTCCGTAGAAGCCAAAGTAATATTCACTGACATGCTTCTAAACGATCTACCGTGCTCAATAGTAGACAGAGCTCTCGTATCCAACAAAGAATCAACTCGAATGGATTTTGTCGGCGTTCAGGAAACAAGCTAGATCACCATGTAGGGAGCGAGATCTATAAGAAAACGATGAGCAGTAAATTCAAATCAACGTGTAAACAAAGATTCTTCAACTTTTCATCGCTTTCCTTAGTGAACGTGAACGCGTCCGCCATCTTTGACATCAATATCCAAAAGATCAGACAAGATGACTATACCTAGCAATGGAAGCAACAACAATACTCGTCAATCAACATCTGATGTCTATACTCAGAAACTACTCCAAAGCTTGAATGGCTTCCAACAAATGGTATCTCCCGTCACAAAATATACCTCAGTCTATGTCGATGAATTCAAACGACGCGCCTCAACAGTTGATGCCACTCTTTCAAAGTATCCGGTCTTCAAGGTAGAATTCCAACATATTTTTTCATCACTCTTTGCTGCTGTTACATTTGCTAGCCCCGTGCATCAATTGTCCAAACATGTGCAAATCTTGTAGAATGGGAACGATGCTTGTACTATCCCGTGTTAGACACAAAGGAGATATCTGAATAACACTTACATATTCTAACACTTCATCAAACGATAGGTCTTTGTCTATGCTTTACTCGCATGTGCTGGCATCCCAACCGTGATTTATGGTACAATATTGCCGGTTGAAATTTCTCGACAACTTCTCACCATATCAAGACAATGCTCATCACATTCATGAACCTACCTAGCTCTCCTCGCTTTCTTCACCTTTGCTGGATCTGTAAGTACATTGCGACTTGTCGTATGACGATGGACCAATGTGCTAACCCATTCTTGTCTTCTTTTGACCAGGTCGGTATTGGTGTCACGGTCAGTCATCGCGTCGTACTCTAGTGCCGTCATTAACTCATAGTAACAACGACGGATGCTTCTTAATAGGTCGCCACGTTTGTTACTGGAGGGTTCCTTGTAAGAGTTCTCTCCTCTCTGTGACATTCCAATAAGCCTCCTCATCATTCAACACACTTTATTCGTCTAGGCAATGGGTGGTCTCGTACTTGCCATCTTCTTTGGGTATGTGACCGCGGTCTTGCATTCAACCATGTCATGGAAAACTTGTGTAGACAATCAACAGACTTCGCAAGAAGCATTTATTGATATTCTCTATACATTTTAGATTATCTCTGATGCTGGCTGCTTCGATCGCTGCAGGATTTGCGATATCCAATCAAATCAAAACAAAGTGAAACAAGCCAATACCCTGAAAAGCAAACAAATATCCTCCTGTTTATGCTTGTTGAAACTTGATACCATCTTGTTTGAAGCACAACTTTGACGTGCTCTATAAATAGTTTGTACTTTTTTCGGTAGAGATGTTTAAAATGTTTGATCGTAGTCCCCGTGTGTACGTTCTTTACTCTAGATATTATGCGGCAATTATGAAAAAGTATTAGATTAGAATGCCCATGCCGACGCGTTTTTTGCAGCGTAAAAGTCCCAAAAGTGGTTAACAGAAATCAGTCGTGTCTTTAGCGTTAGGAAGATATAATTCAGATATACAAGACCACAGACAGAACAATCGACATCAGGAACAGAACAATTGGCCAAGGAGCTTAGCACTAAATGGACCAATGAAAAGGAATGCTATACTGTTGGTCTGTTAAAGACTCAGCTGACACGATGATGCAACAAGTGAACTCAAGGCCAAAACCGTTCAAAATGAACCAAACCAAGCTACTAGAACGTTGGGTAGGACAGATTACATCAAAGCGCTTTTTGCCAATCTGATCCAAGGAGGGTTGATCATCAACGCCAATTGCTCCCTGCGATTCTAACCGGATGGATTCAGTGGGCCATGCCAATTCCTAAGATTTGAAACCTTCAGAACTTTGATGATTATACCTATTAACGGCTCTCAAACAATTTGTAAATTATTGAACGCAGCAGAATGGCATCCTTCCAAGAAACGACACTGGAACCTTACGGCGCCTTCCAATACACGACAGTCACACTAAATGGCCTTATCTGTTGTGTCGGAGGACTACTTCAAGTAGCAATATTCTTCATCATCGTCACAGACAAGATTCTTATAAAACGTCATGGAAAATTCCTGCCTGCATCGCATTTGCTGATGCAACACTAGGAATAGGTCAAACCATCGTATCTTTTCGTGGAATTTATATAGGCCACTACCCGGGATTTGGTGACTGTATTTTTCAGAATGTTATTGAAATGCAGGGAATGTCAATTGGTTTATACTGTATCATGGCACTTGCAATCGACCGATACTATGCAATCGTCAAAGGTCGACAGCTCCCTGATACTGCCATTTATGGGATGATTGGACTCTTTTACTTGGTTGCTGTCTTTACGTTTGGCATGGCAGTCTACGTTGGAGCCTTGGAGACATTGGAATTAAGAGCCGCGAACACATACTGTGGCTTTCAATGCGCTTCAAGATACCCTCCGACATTGGCAGTAGGCTTGGCTATATTCTTCATGGCTTTCGCTGCAATGGTACGTTAAAACATCTCTTGTCGTGTCTTCGACCAACTTTTTTTCGTCCAGGTCTAAACTACAAACTGAATACTTACAAGCTTCAACTCTCATAATTTCCAATCTAGAATCTCTTAATCACTTTCAATCTCGCAGTTTTGCGAGCTGTCTGGGCATTGTCATCGACAATGTCAGCATTGGGAATCAAGGCAGCAGATACAATCAATCCCGCTCGCAAGGCTTCAAAGGATACTGAAAATCATCGTTCATCAGTGCCTTTCTGGCCGTCTCACGAAATCATTATCTTCAAGAAATTCATAATGATTACCGCCGCCCTCTTCATTTGTTGGTAAGTGTTGTGTGTGGCCTGGTCTGGAGCGATTTCCATACCTTGCATTTCTGATATGTGTTGTCGTGATATTTTTACAGGGATTAACATACAGTGGTTTTGTTTAGGAATCCATACATGATTGTAATTATGCACGATATTATTTCGGGAGTTCCAATGATTCCAGAATATGAATTTTTCGCCATATTGGTTGCATCCACACATCTTACTGTCAATGGTATGGTTTGAAATGTTGCCTTAGCAGCAGAAGATCTAACGCGAAAGCACCAAATAGGGTTGTTGATGCTCTATACCAACAAGCCACTGTACAAAAAATTCTTGAGACTGTTCGGACTCAGCAACGAGAGTAGATTGGAACCGTCACGGCCGTCCGTGTGTGTTGGGGGTAGCGATGCGCTCGGTTCTGGGCTTTAAACATACTTGTAAAGTGGAATAGCTGGCCTAGTCTGTCATTAATATGGGTTTTATATCACCGAAAAGACATCCAATCGCCTGTAATGGACGATGGTCGAATAATGACACTGACTCGGATGAAAACATTTACCAAAAATCGTCAGGTGCCCCTGTGTCTGAATATAAGTCGCGTCATCTGTCAACTCATGAATTATGAGGCTAAATGGTTAAAAATGCAAAGTGCGAATTGCTATGCTTTTTGGCGGTGTACATACCCGTGATCCATGAAATGTTGTCGTCAGTGTCAGCCTGACTTTTGGCATACGGAAAGTGCTAACAGCCCGGATACTGATAGTTCTGAGCAACAAGAGCCTCAAGTAAATAGCACTACTTATTACATGCCATTCAAAATAACTGATCGCAACTTTATTAACCATCCTTCTGTACTAGATCTGGACAAAATCGTGAATTTTTGCAAAACAAAACCATGGCAGCATCTTCAATAAAAAGTGGAGCAGAACCTCAAATCCATTTCGACCACATAACGACTCGAAGTGCTACCGTATCGTGGTCCTTTGATCCACCTCTGCCCAGAAAGACATCCGTCACATTCACATTGACCACACGACTAATGTCAATCCCAGTCGCAGAAATCACCACGCATTACAAGGGACCTGAATGTTCGTGTATTGCTGAGAATCTGTTTCCGAATGAAAAGTATGTATTGAGATTGATTTGCGAATGGGATGGTGGGGATCATACGACCACGGAAGTGCAGTTTTCAACTCCAGGTATACACCCAAAGCATTGGTTGCTTTGTTTCGCCTGGAGTTTAAATCGGTTTATTGATTTGAATCTAATTGTTCTAGACGAGTCTGATCTACACCGGGCATCTACTCAGCTAACGAGGGCAGTAACAGACGGTGATGTGCTCGCCACAACGAAATTGTTGGATACGTATGGTAAAGAACTGAGTCTCGAAACTAGAGACAAATATGGACGGACGCAGCTCATGGTACGTTTGTAATGTAGTAATTGTTTCAGCATCAAGATCTTGACCTTACAATGCCAGCGCTAAAAAATCCACCTCATTTTGTATAGGTCGCATGTCATCAAGGCGGCCACGAACTCGTATCCATACTAATCGAACACGGTGCAGACATATCAGCAAAAACACCCTCCGGAAAAACACCACTAGCATTCGCCTGCTCCTCTGGAAACTTGGCAGCCGTCCAAGTTCTTCTTAAACACGACGCCTCGGTCGACAAGATCGATTCTGCGGGCACAACACCTCTAATGATATGCTGCGAAAACATGGTCGCCTCGAATTCCGGAATGCAAATCCTACGTGCCCTACTAGCAGCCGGTGTATCCGTCAATATAGAAGACCAAGCAAACATGACAGCTCTAGATCGGATCTGCATCACGTCGGGCCATGTCGAATCTGCCAAGGTGCTTGTTGACGCTGGTGCGAGACTTGTAAATAAGCCTGATAAACGGCATACAAAGACGAATTTGATGATGGCTGCTCTGAATGGACATGTTGGATTGTGTCGGTATCTGTTGGAGAATTGTCATCAGGATCCGAACGCAAAGACGGAACTTGGAGGGACGGCCAGGATGTTTGCTGAATCTGCGGGACATCAGGGGGTTGTGGAGTTGTTTGATGCTATAGGTGTGTACAAATCTGATCGCCATCCTGCTTTTTTCGCTGTTTCTTACAGGTGTGATAAGATATCATGATCCCTAATATTCTGGTTTCGCACAATAGTTTGGGGATCCTCACATACCACGCCTTCAATCCGATTCCAGGACTCCTGAACATTAGACGACTGTTTATTACTATCAGGAAAAAGCCATATCACGACTATTGTAGATATTTTCAAACAAGTGTTTACAGAAGATTACATATTTTTATCACTATTGCTTTAAGACTATAGCTGGTATCAGCTCAAACTAGTTTCATACTATAACGGTGGCTTTATGCACTTATCACTCGTGTACGTCGCCATGGTTTCAAGAAGAGGACTCTGGCAGCTGCAGCCCCACTACTCAATCTTTTAGGTGACAGGACATCTGATCTTTCAGGCGACCTTCTCACTACTGAGGGTCTAACCTGATCAACACTCTTTCTATACGTGATGCTCGTCGTGCTGATTGATTCCGTCATTTTCGTTAACGTTGGCAGTATAGTGGTTGAAGCTGTCTGTTCAACAGATTCAAAGAAGCGGACGTTACGTTTCTGAGGTAGTGCTGGTGGGAAATCGGTTGGATCTATTGCATTACCACCGTATCGTCTTGGGAGGTTGTCTGAGGATATAATGCGAGGGAGTTCAGACATTATTTGGGATTCGCTGTATATCAGCACTTTCTTTTTGGCTGTTTCGGAGAGTGCTGGTTGGCTTATCTTCCATACCATCTATAAGAAGGTGAAATTTGGTTAGAGAATGGTCATAGTGACATTGATGACAGCTTTTTTTTCACCTGGGAAAACCAGTCGGCAGGGAATATAATGAGTCGTCGTAGTATGTCTGGCATATGAGCCCTCAGCAAATTAGCAGCTTTCGTCAAGAATGGTATGCCGTCCACATTCGTGTTGGTCTCTGACCCAATACGGTCAACGATCAAGGTTAACTGATCCGTCACAGTGCTTTGGCATACGAGTACATGTTAGATGGAAAAGATAACACCAAAAGCAATTCGATGGCCCACCCGTCCTCAACTGCTCTCGCAACAGTCCATATGACGAAACGCAGAGTCCGTTCCTGCCCTGATGGATCTGCGGTATGCCTCGACACTCGCCAATACATAACCGGCGTTCCGTCCCTAACGTGTAAAACCATATGAGAGCGCTATCAAAGGTGTGAAATACGGCTTTCAAGAGTACCTGGCCCGTCCAAAGAAGTACAATTTCCCAACTCTCTGCTCATCAGCAAACTCGGCAGAGTTCTTGACCAACTGGTTGTACCCAAACTTCAACCTCCATATCAAATGCTGCTCTACAGCGTGGTACGCGGCCTGAACATTGCGGTGGTGTCCTTTATAAAACTTGTAGATGTTCCAGTCTGTTAGATCCGATGAATGCAGTTTGGTCAAAGTTGGATCTGAGCGAACGAGTTTGATGAGTTCGTCGAGATCGTGCGTTATAGGTGATGGTGGATATTTTGGAGGTGCCATCCGTACTAGTAATGGGGGGAATTTAATGGTGTTTTAATGGAACTAAGTGAACAACTGCCGCAAAAAACCAGCAACATAAAGGAGTGCACGTTATGCCATACCTGATGTCAGCCAAAACTCTACACTTAAATATTTAATGCTAGACGTTCTCCTGCTCGTTCTTCGTCACCTCCTTGATTTATAAGTCACGCTTTGCCGGGCAAAGTACGGAACCTTTGAAAAAAACTTGGACCAATTAGAAAAAGCTGGTTTGAAGGTACATCTCGATAGATCCTCATCGTTCTGATACAGAGACCGATAATTTACACGTAGAAAAGACAAGATATCGTGAAATCAAGGCCTGTTGTATACTGTATTCGCGTTTGAAAATCTCTGTTACCTATTGCAAAAGATGGACTCTTCTGACGACTTGCCAAACAAGAGGAGGTGGGGGTCAAGATGGACGTCGTTGTCAAGATATCTAGGATTATGGAGAAATGAGTTGACTCCATTGTTGGGATCTGACAGGGTAAGCACCGAAAAGCATCAACATCTGCCCGAACAAAAGCATATGTTATTACGATTGAGTTTTACTTCTACTGGTAACACGCACAACCTCAATGTCTAATTATATACACCGTCGAGACGTACAACCTCAATCTCTAACTGTGAACATCACATAGATATCACCACCCTCAACAACAAAACGCCAAACACATCGCCGAATCACACCCGAAGGAACCGAAGTCATAGTGCACCCTGAAACACCAACAACAGCATCTCGACCAGCCCAATTCTCCCTTGACGTGCCAGTACCACTAGACGGATCAGTACCTGCCATACTATGGAGATCTCACGCAGCAGAACTAAATTCCATGTTACGAGCAGCTCACGGCATTCGACAAAAGACGTATAGGATCATCGCAGGCATACTAGCTGCCTTAGTTTTGGTGTCTTTTGCTGCTGCTACAGTTGCGTTGGCATTAGAAGGGTTTACTAGGCCAGCAATGTTGGTTGGATGTGCGTTGGTGTTGACGGCGAGTGTTCAGCCATGGGCTGCAAAGATGTTTTTTCATAAGAGTAGTGATAGTATACAGGTGAGGTCATTTTAGTTATTGCATTTGTTCTTTATGAGTATGTTGACGTGACACATTATTTTGGAACAGGAACAAGCATCTAGAACAGTTATGGAATGGAATGCAAGGGCCCCATCACATTTGAAGTTTGATGTCTATGTACCTGAAGGACCACCACCAATGCCTGGACAGCCTCATGTTGGATCCAAACAGGAACCAGTAAGCGTCTTGAAATCAACATTTGATATATATCACACTGTAACTCACCAAACTACTAGGAAATACATGTGCTGATACTAGACTCGCCTGGCTCAGGATCAGGGTCCAGTCGTGCCTCCACATTGGGCCCACAAGATGTGCTGGAATTGTCATCCGAATGGTGGTGGCCGAGAAACTAGAACGGAATGGGAGATAACTTATATAGAAAGAAGCATCTGAAACCTTCAAATCCTGACACACATGCAACAAACATACAACTTTTTTTCTACCTGTCTTGTAAATGAATTCCCATGTTTCATATAATATTATCAAATGTACAGGAACATGTTAACAGCAGCACAGTGTCAGATTTACACGATGAGGCCTCCAGCGCCGAATATTTCGTATATCCATGCGAGTCTGGGATCGTCGTAAAAGACCCTACAGTGCAAGTTGCGTGTGAGGTTTGTCGTAGCATGGGTTTGTTGACTTCACATCGCAAATGTACCATATTAAGATGATGGCGGTGATTGATAGCGTATATATGGTCCAGTCAAACAAGTCCCAATTACTTGGGTGCCCTACAATTGCAAAAACCCGTTGGAGCTCCCAGGCTTCGATATTTCGGTCAAACCCAAGCACTTACACCGTGACGTTGGTACTTCTCCTATTGGCCGTCTAAAATCTTTCGTTATGGATCTAGCCAAGGCGTATCCGTCCTCGTTGGAAGCGTTTGCTGATGCAGCTGCGTCCGGTTGCGATTGTGCAAGATTTGGCGACTCGTCGGTTGTAACAGTAGATCCAGCCTCATCAGTACCATCATTCGACGTAGATTGTTTCGTTTTTCTGGTAGATCTTTTTCTAGAGGCCATGGTTGAAAACGTGCAAAAACTTGCAAGTTGCTATCTACATCAAACAAACAGATAAGACAAGTCAATGAGATTATTTGAAGCAATGAGAGTCACAAAAAACGTATATCTATGGCTGCTTACCGTACTGTTTGCTCTCTTGGTCGCTGTAAATGGACTTCAGCAACAACAGGTCAACACTGGTGAGTTTTAAGAGATCCGAGTTGTGAACTTAAGAAAGCAGGGCGCGAACGTGTGGGCACAAGCTCTCATCGTTTCTTGCTAATTGCTTGATGGTTAGCTTCACTTTGCCACCACTAACATCTTATGCTTTTATCAAGAGGTTGGGAAATACATCGTAGTGTTCAAGTCAGATATCGCCTCGAACGCTATGGACGCCACTATTGATCGTATTCAAAAGTCTGGTGGCAAGATAACTTACCGGTTCTCGATCTTGTCGGCTGTTGCTATTGGTAGGAACAACAAGTCTGTTTCATAAATGTTACATTACTTACCAAGTACATACTCTTTTAGAGATGCCGACCACCTCAGTTAGTGCCGTTGAGAACGATCCCAATGTCGATTATGTGGAGATTGATAAAGAAATGCGTGCAAATTGAACACGGTGCCTTCCTACACCTTCTTGTATAGTTTCCTTTGCTGAGTTCGACATTCCTTTTGTATAGACTTGTTGATTTCCATAGTTTTGAGAATGAAAATAATTATATTAAGAGTCATGCATGCATATGTCCATGGAATGGACGTTCTAACTGTCAATACTAGGCCTTCAGAGCAGCCCCGACTTCAACAAAGTCATGGGCCGAGTGTGACATCCTTCGATTCTTCAAGATCTGAGACTTTGTTACGGCAGTAATGCTCTCAGTCTCGACGAAATCCTCGCAGGACAAGACAAATGTCCCTTGGTGCCACTTGTGACTCTTGCATTTACAGACTTTACTCCTGTCATGCATGTCTTCATCCGTTGTGAAGTGTACCTAATGAATGTGGGCTAGTGGTTAGTAACAACATCACAGGCTCTAAATCTGAATTGTTGAAGGCAATGAAATCTCACATTTGATGTCAATGTTTGGTGCACAAGCCCAGCTCCAGAGCGGGGAGTAGATGGTCCGGCCGTTGAGTCAGTAGTGCTATCAGTCCTAGATGGGCTGTCTGTAACTTCAGGTTGACCCATTGTTTTGATTTGAGTGTTTTAAGGAGGTGTTTTGTTGACTCTCGGCGGTTTCAGTTGTATCTAACGTTATAGAGTAACGGGATTGAGATGAGATGATCAATGTGACCGTAGCGGTTTTGGCCTCTATCTTGTGTTTTAGCGTTAGACTAGCAATAATTTGTTGCAACAAAAAATCCCGGAATTTCAATGGTGACAACATCATCGACACCCAAATCTATTGTAATTATATCAAGTTCCCGACGCGCTGACGTGTAATATAGGAGGACTGCTAGAAGAGCTACACGAACTGTATCTTATCTTCTATCCAAAGCTTGCAAATTTCTCAACATTCAAACAATGAATACTGTATGCTGGACTCGACTCGCTGGTGGAGCCGATCAAGTAATAGCTCGACAATCATGTCAAGCTGCCATACTAGGCTTTCCTCGCAAACACAAACAGAAACTGCAAGTTGAATCCATATCATCAACAACCACTCTATTGCCCGATTCAACACATCAATCGCTACTCTTGCCACTAGGCACTGAGCCGAAATTTACTGTATTTGGTGGTGGTGGGAATGGTGGTATACAAGAATCTGCCGCTGTCTATTCATTTGGTATGGACGATCGAGTTAGACATCTTTTGGTACAAATGTATGTGAGCTAACCGACTTTATTGTCTATTTTGTTGCAGAAACGAGTGAATGGTCTAGCTTACAGCCTGTAGTTACGCCATGGGATGACGCTACAAAAGAATTGCTACATGCAGAACCTCGTTACTCTGCTGCTAGTGCTTTTGTCTCTGATGGCACCTTTTTATATTCTTTTGGAGGATTTGTAACGAAGGACGAGACTGTCATTACTACAAATCAGGTAATTAGATGTTTAAGACATGAATTTATGATTGTATAGAGGTCAACCATGATGTCGTTTTTTTAGCTCGTGAAATACTGCCCACAAACAAACACAATGACGTTCCTATCCCCGCCAATCGATACTCCCGATACACCATCTCCACGTGTCGGAGCCTCCCTAATCCACTATCCTGGAAACGATGAAACAGCACCTCGACTGCTTTTATTTGGTGGACTCGTCGACAAGCTAAAAGTAAGCAACGATGTATGGTCTTTCGACTTGATTACATCCACATGGTCGCATATAACCATTACTGGCTCTACCATCCCAACACCACGAGAATCACATGCTGCTGTCTATGTCCCAGCACAACAAAATCAACACAGCTATATGATTATACATGGAGGCAATACAGGAGATGTGAAATACAAGAGACGACGATTAGCAGACATGTATAAACTTGATTTGGAGACTTGGGAATGGGAACAATTGCTACCAAAAGTAGAAACGTGTCGACCTAATGCCAGATCATTCCATACTGCACATTTGATACAGGAATTGGATGGGATTAGTAGAAGAATGGTTTCAGTTGGTGGACGTGGGGATGCGGATGATGGTGCTTATGAGAATTTGTCTGAAGTGTGGATATATTCTATTGGTAATAGCATTTTTTAAACTCGATATCAAACAACTCGTGAACTGACGCAATAAACGTCACTGTCCTCGCAGGCAGTTCAGAATGGTCTTACACACGAGCTCAACAGAGTCAAGATGATGGCACGATAGAAGGACGATCACAGCATGCCTCTGTGGCTGTAAGTCAAACTGACATTATTTCCACTGGTTTAAGGCTTTTCTTCACCCATCCATTCAGAGGCTAACGCTGTCTTGTCAACAGGTTGGAAACCGATTATTCCTATTCGGAGGAAGCTCATCCAAAACTGCCGTAAACACACTAGACATGTTGGATGTCGGTCCACCAAAACCGTGCACTTCAGTCGTTGCCACACCTACTCCTGACAACAAATTGAAGCTTACATGGCAAGATCCTTATCATAGTAATCACTACCGGATATACATACGACCACTCAATAGTCCCGAGATTGCTCATCTAGCTGTTGAAATTCACGAAACTACACGGTGTGAATTAGACTCGTATCAAGTCAATTTGAATGATGACGATACAGATGAAAATAATGATGCTGGTGATAAAGGAGATGATACAGAGTCATTGTTTTTGAATCCGGGTATTGCGTATGAAGTATGGGTGACGGCTGTAAATATTGCTGGTGAAAGTTTGATATGGGAACGAGAAACCCCGCTCCACAGCATTGGACGGGCAGTAGTCACCATGTTGGGAGAGCCAGCCGAAGCAGAAGAAGGTGTCCCTCGTACTTCATTCGGCCTATGTCGCTTTGTTTGCACATTGTCTGCTTGCTAATTCTACATTGCTCTATTCACCAAACAGATGATTCTGACGATATATTACCCGAAGCCATCATGTGCTGGGATGTCGTCCATACTTTGTGGCCAAACACAACCACTTCAAAAGCCTGGCGTGATACGAATAGCAACTTTTGTAGAGATCAAAAAATCGAACCCCGCATGCACGGACCAACGAGAATACGCGGTAAAGCTGGCTCTGGTCGTGCATCATATATCTTCTCTCGTGAACTTATAGCCTCCTATCTTGAAACCATCGAAGCCCGTTTCGCCATGCAAGCTCCTGAAAATTGGCGTCGGCTGTTGGCAGACAATCTTGACGGCCCTGCAACAGGATCTGTATCTAAGCGAGGTCCTGGTAAAAAGGGTGGTGTCGCTGCTGCCAATGTTGATGACGATGAAGGTGATAATAGTAATGACATACGTAGTGATGAAGTAGTCAATGAAGATGCAGGTGATGGTGCACTTCTATCGGCTATGATTGCCGAAGATGCAGCAGATGATGATGACGATATGCAATCTGAATGGGAGGATGCTGCTCCGCCCGGTGTACTATATCCAAGATCGCCAGTCAAACCTAAGCTCACCATTAATCTTCGAGCACCAGCACCCCCACAACCATCCGATAACGCTGCTCTCTTCCCAGAAACTGAGAAGCCGGTAGCGACTACACGATCGGGTCGAGCTATAAGAGTCAAGCCTGATGTTGCTAGAGAAATGATAAAGCTGGTCAAAATTAACGAAAAGAAGGAATTACAGAAACGTAAGCGAGGAAGTGCTCGGGATTCTGCTGACGATGACTATGACGTTGTTACTCCGAAACCAGCAAAACGAGGAGGACATCGTCAACAGCAGCCACAACAAGAAGAGTCTCCTCTCACTCCACGTGAACGAGATGATAGTACCAATGCAACAATTAATAATGATGTTACAGAGGAAGTTGAGTCTCCACCACGTAAAAAGGTACGTGCTGCAAATGCAGCTTCAGCAGCAGCACCAGAAAGTATACCACAAGAGCAGGCAGAGGAGAATGACTCTACTGAAGAGACCAAGGAAACAGTAGACGAATCCGTAATTCCTCCATCCGAACAGCAGGCACCACCGATAATGCCAAACGACAATGATCAACTCGCCGACTTCCTCATGGCCCTTCAACAGCAAAATCCACATATGAGTAATGAAGAAATTCAGACCGTCTTGTCTGCATATGCACAGCAAGCTGGAGGGTTATCAACAGCCATGGACTATGAAATGCAACAACAGGAGTCACAGAATATTAATAATGATGAACGTCGTGATAGCATTTCGAACGATGCACCACCCATGTTTTCACCGATTTCTGACCGTGCTCCAACGGATTCACCATTATCGGCGAGGTCTCCTGATGACGAAGAGCCTGCAGGCAGCAGTGCTATGGAAATGGATGTAGATCTTCCACCAGAAGCATCAGACGAAGAAGCTTTTGCGAGTACTGATATTGCAGAGCAATCGACTGGTGGTGATTTGGAAGGTGGTAGCAGTAGTAGTAAACCTGCTGATGGTGGTTTTGAGTCTGTATCTGGTGTTGATGATGAAGTGCCTGAATCCGATAGTTTGCAGCTGCAAGATGGTGGTGAGGGACTCATAACTGCTGAGATGGATGTAAGCCAGACGAGTCATGTAGAAGTGCCTGTTGATGATGGTGGGGAGCAGATTGTAGATACAAGTATGGAAGTAGTTGCTTCTTCGACGGCCACCTATGAGAACATTGAAGATACGACGGGTAATGAAGTCGCCGCTCCATCAGCAACTGCTGATGAGAAGATTGAAGATACTGCTCATATTGAGACTGCTGCTGAAGATTCGAGTATAAATCAAAGTGAAGAGGTTACTCTGCCAACAGTCGCTGATGAGCAGATTGAAGATACGACTCCCAATGAAGTCGTCACTCCAACGACCATTGACGAGAAGATTGAAGTCACCTCTATGGATAATAGTACTGAATTAGTCCTTCCCTCTACAATCACTAATGACGTCTCCGCTCCACCACCTGCTACTGAAGTTACTACTATAGATCATCAAGAAGTAGTCACTCCGTCAATAGCTGTTGAAGACACGACTATGGCTGAGAGTGAAGTAGTTGCTCCATCAACTGCAGCTGAAGATACTACTATAGATCATCAAGAAGTAGGCGCTCTGTCAACGGTTGTTGAAGACACGGGAATGGCGGAGAGTGAAGTAGTTGCTCCATCAAAGGTTGCTGAGGATACCACTATGGCTGAGAGTGAATTGGCTGCTGAGCGGGACGCAGTGGCTCCAGCATCTACTGTTGAAAATACGACTATGGCTGAGGATGAAGCAATTGCTGCACCATCCGATACCAAACCAGAAGGTATTGCAGTGGATGAAAGTGAACAACCAGGCAGTGAATCATCTATAGAAACCGATAAATTAAATGATGCTGCATCAACTACGGAAGTAGATGAGGGTAAACCAACGACTCTAGATGCAAAACCGGACGCTGAAGAGTCTGGAGTTGAACCAACATCAGCTGATGGTAGTAGTCCACAAGCAGACCAATCACAGACCGAAGAAACCGCCACTAGCAATAATAATAATATCAACACAACATCTACAGCCACTGAGTCATCAGAAATCAAGATAGACACCCCAGTACCTGCTACTAGTGCACAAACACCACCAATTACAGCATCGGAAGTAGCAGAACAACCGAAAAAGAGGGGTCGCCCTGGTCGTAAACCCAAAGATCAGACGACAGCATCGAAATCATCACCACCAGTAGCTGCCTCAGCTCCATCTCGTAGATCAACACGTAATGCAAGAACTACGGAACGTGAGGATTCACCTGCTACAGGCGACGAAGCTCCAGCTCCTCCCAATACTACTACTAGAAGGTCAGGCCGTGGGCGCAAGTCTGCTGCTAGAGCGTCTAGTCTGGTGGCTAGTGATACTGTAGATTCGAACTCAGCAGCAGGTGATGACAACGAAGACGACGCTAACAAAGCGGATGTGTAAAAATTCGCAAACAGAAATGTATCTCGCATCATTGTAAAACAAGTCACTATAATTTGAAATTTGATTCTGTTGGTATTCTATATATTCTACAGGTCTACGGTTGTTTTCATTCTTTACAAATTATGATAATAAATCATACTAATATGTTTCCTCAATCTTTCAAAACTCCAGCCTCCTTGAGCCTCTTCAAAAATAATTGCCAGGCATTGCCCGCGGTATACGTAGCCAAAACCCCAAACACCAATACAGCAACATCACTAACAATCAACCAACACGATCCAAACACAAATCGTGGTGCCCATACCCTCCAAACCATCAAATGTCTACGATGCCATCCGGCAAAGAAACTAGCACTAAATGCCAGCAATGATTCAAGCGTCATCCATCCTATAACACTGGTCGTAACAGAGCTTACATAATCTGCTTCTGAATCTAGTAGTAGTGTTTTACGCCATGATGCGATAAGGCCAGATCCTAGAGCTCCTATTATGGCGGTTCCGAATGTGTTGACTGTTACGAGTACTACAGCGGAAGCTGGGTGAGCAGATTCTATTCCAATGAAGGCGGCCGTCCAGTCGATGGATGCAAATGTGTTTTGGTGGCCGGATGCAAAGTAGTGGCGATGAGATATGAGGAAGAGGACTACTTGGAAGTAGAATGTATAGTCTACTTTGGTTTTGTGCGGCGCTGTGGTTGAATTTGCGTGATCTAGGTTTTGGGCTGAAATAGTTTTTGAGGTTTGAGGCCACACGACCAAAAAAAAAAAAAAAAAATGGCACTCATACTATGAATACCTTCATCGGAATCAGATACATCAAACACATAATCTCTCCACAACGCAACAGTCTCAGCCAACCCAATGACCTGAGCAGTCATCACAGACATCATAACAGCCCCAGTGGGTTTGACCACAAACGACACTATAATACTCCAAATACCCAACAGCGCAACCATAGAGGCACCCACAGCATTATTCATCCCTCGCACCCGCAGCATTCTAGCTCCAGGTTGTCCAACATCGGCAGGTGCATCCATTATATCAATCTCAACGGACGTTGGATCCGAAAACCACACATATGTTAGCGCTACTGTTAGAGCAGGGAAACATAGCCTCGCCCACCACACCTTCAGCACAGAGCCGGCCTTCAAGGTATCTACAAAGAGTCCTGATTGATCTAGATAATCTAAAAACCAATATATAGCTGATACGAGCATGGCCGACGGCAAGAAATAAAATACAATCAACCCCACAGTTGCCCATGTCGAATCGGTATCATCCGTGACTCGTTTTATAAGGAATGGAATACCGACCGCAGTAGCAAATAGTGCTAGAGTACTTGATAAGGGTGATACAGATGATCCGGCACTGGCATAAAACGTCGTGGTGCATTTAGGCACTTGCTCTTCACGACACATGACTGATGTCGCTGAAATCCTAGTCAACACTATACATCCTATCGCGATAAATACTAGTCGAGTTTGTACCAGTGGCTTGGATACTCCCAAGGCAGAGACTAGAGCAATCACCCATACCGTTTGTAATAGATATAATGTTACAGTGTCTTCCCATACTGTGAATGAGTCTGATCCAACTGATAGCACGTATAAGGCAGTCAGTAATACACCGACTCGTGCCGGCCATTGCATATTGATTCGAGTTATTTTAAATGATAGCCATACAAGTAGTGGCAGCAGAGCTCCCATGGCTGATGAAAAGGCGATTTCATGGATTATTGTCATTGCTGAGTCACCCGTGTTGATTGATGACACGACATAGTGAATTATTCTAGATGCACCTAATCCACATCCAACTAGACTACCAACACCAATTGATATATACGGTACTTCGGATTCATAACCTGAACCAAAAATGGCAAACAAGGCAGATGCTAGTACGGTGAGTCCAAATATAACGAGACCCATTACAATCAAGGGCAAATCAAACCTCGCCCATATTTTCTTAGCAGAGAATAACGACGACCGTGTAAATTTGAGATACTTCTCATAGATCAGCACTACACTAGTGGTTGGTATTGATGGTTTTTTGATGGCAATTTTACCATTTGCAGCAGCTTTACCACTATTACTATTATCGGTACTTGATGCTGTTGCTTTTTGAAACCATCCCATGATTCCTCCACTAGATGGTTTTGCTTCTTTACTATTACTTTTACTACTAGCATTATCATTAGCAACCCTGCTACTTGGACTATTATTCGATACCTCTCCAAACAACTCCTGATATTGTCTCTCAGCGTCCTGAAACAAGACATCCAAAGCAGGCACATCCAATCTCACACCAGCTCTCGTCTGACTATAAGCATGTAGATACTGATGTATCTGCCATGCATTCATTCTCAAAGCCTCAAGCCCATCTTCAATTCCAAACAGTTCGGGTATAACACTACCTAGATTACCAAATGGAATGGGAGATCCGAATAGCAGTGATAGCGTAGGGACCAAGTCGATTTGAGATACTGTTCTATATGATTCGGAGGTATATAATGGATCGAACTGAGATTCGATTGGTTGACGTGCGTCGTTTAATGCTTTTATATCATCCAGATCATCTTGATGTAATAGTGGTTTTGTACGAGAGTATATGAATAAACCAGCTGATATCTCCTCTAGCGATTCACCACCGTGATCACCTTTAGGATCCATGCCATGATCACCAAAGACAATCAGCAGCGTATCATCATCCAGTGACTTTATGACATGGGACAACATGGCATCCATTTGCGTCAGTTTCTCAGACATGGCGGCATGATTAGGTCCGTATCGATGTCCAGCATGATCAACACCCAAGAAATGTCCTATATAAATATCCCACTCTGACGAATTCTCATGTACATCCTTGCCTTGCAAGGCAGGATACAGATGCTTTATAACTCCATTATCTACAGTATGTAAGTCCCATACATCCAATGACGGATATGGATGCGACATGTTTAGCAGGTGTGAATATAGGCCTTGCCATGTATCATCACCAGCAAACGATATCCTCATACCCCGTTTGACAAACTGTTCGAGGATATTATCTTCTAGGACTGCAGATCCACCAAAATTGGATCCTGCATCGACAAATGTTGGGAGAGTTCCTGTTGTGATTGCCTTTAGACGTTGGAGAGTAGTTGTTGGTGGATCAGCCAGGAATCTATACGATAAAGCGTGTTGTGGACGTGTGGTCAGAGCATTATGGATTGTGGGGAGCTTGTTTAGGTAGAAGCTCGAGTTGGTGGGTAGCGAGTCGTTGTAGGTTATAAAGTCGTGTCGAAGAGCATCAATAAGTAGAATCACGGCTCGTTTATAGCGAGGTTGAGTCCAGCATACATCTTCAGAGCCTAGAAATGAATGAAATATCGGATTTAAGTTCGGAATACGTGTTCTAATACTCGAAATCCAAAACAGGAAATTTCTCAAATGTCTACCAAATGTCGAGCAATTGTTGTGCAAATCAAGCTCCACACGTGTCAACAGGAATCCAGATGCAAATATATATATGCTCGTCACGTGAAGTAGCGTGATTATGATCACCACTATTCCTAAACTGAGGAAACTTGCTTTCGGCAGCGAGATACCTCTCAGCGTGACATACTTGTTGATTGAGGATTTGTTCCCAACAGATGTCGATGATCTATTAGATTTAGGTGACTTGACGAGTTGTAGCTGCCCTCTTCTCTTGATATTATGCATCCTACTCACACGCTTGAGTGACAATTTCCAAGTTGGGCAACCTGTAAGTTTCAAACGTTTTTGACAGTACCGAACTTTATGAAACGGTTTTGTGAAGGAGTTGTCTTTATATTTAACAGCAGAGCAATTTTACGATTTGAGCGCATACAGGTTTTGGTCGGAGCTACCAGCAATAATATACTTTGCGTCGGGCCCCCATGAGAAACATGTAATAGGCTTTGATGTTGCGAGAGTGTATTCTGCCACTTCATTCCACGTCTTGACACCATATACCCTAGTCGCAAACGAAACAGTCAATCGTAGAAAACTAAGAATGAGAAGCTTCAAAAGAACTGAATCAAGACTTACTTGACAGTGCTGCCATTGGCCACCCCCAGATAACTTCCAGAGTAATCAAATGATACAAAGGTTACTCCAGCTTCCAAGGTGAATGTTTTGACAGCTTCGAGTTTTTTCAAGTGCCAAACATTCACAACGGATTCAGTGCTTCCTGCACTCACGGTAGCTAAATGATAGCCGTTTTCAGAAAAGGTGAGCTGTGTCACACTTCCTGCACTGGCAAACTCGGCGGCAGCTGAGCGAGACTTTACATCCCAGATTTTGATGCTTCCGTTCTCGGAGCCTGTCGCCAACAAAAGACCGTCTGGATGGAACTGTGCTGATGTAACTCCTGCATTGGAAAGAGAGTGTGTAGCATGTTTGAGTGTGAAGAGAGCAGAAAAATTGTCTGCAGTTATTCAGGAAGACATACCTGATTGATCATCCATCTGGACCTGAGTAATAGCTCTGCCAGATTCTACATCACCAAATATCCATGATGCATCCATACTACCCGATACATAATAGTCTCCAGTAGAGTGTAATGAGAAGCTAGTAACAATATCCTTATGATCATCCATAGTCCACAAGCTCTTAAACTTGGTAGACTTTCTATTCTCTTCCAGTTCAAATGCCTTGACTGTCTGATCTGCACTGGCAGCAAACACAACAGATCGTGAATCATGGAAGGCGACAGCTTTTACCTCAGCCTTGTCTTTATGTGTGGCGACAGCTTTACCAGTCTCTAGATTCGTTAAGATGATGTGACCATTGGCCGTTCCTGTTATAGCTAGGTCTTTGGCTGATTCCAGGACGAGAGCGTTGATGGCACCACCGACCTTGAATTGCGAGACAACAGCGAGACTGGCAAGTTCTTCTGGTGTCGCCAAGTTGGGGTGTTTTCTCTTTTTTCTGTCAGCAAACAACCTGCAAAAAAAGGAGGTGTTTAGAATGTGGGATTTGCGATGGCTCGGCGCGAGCTGTCTGCACATCGAAGCAACTCTGGACGTGGCTTTTTGTCCGTCGCACTAACACTCTCCATATCTAAACAACTTACTCTTGTTGCTTGGCGTCCATCTTTTCTGCAACATCAGAAGGTAATCCTTCAGTAGCAGCAGGCTCATCAACATCCATATCATTTTGTGGGACTGACTGTTCACCACCACTACCAGCCATACTAGCAAAATGAGCTTTAACGTTCTTCAAGGAATCTCTAGCTTCATCTCGTTCGCGGAGCAATCGAGCAATGACTCGTTTAGCAGCATCATTCTCGTATAGACTTGTAGTCAATTCTTCACGAATTTTGTGATGGGCATCTCGCAATTGGAAGGACTCTAATACTATTGCGTCCCATTCATTTTGTAGCAGGGATAGGAGTGCTGGTATTGATGTTGCAGCTGGTGGTCTGGGTCGTACTACTTTTTGAGCTGTGAGGTGAATAGGATGGTGTTGGTTAGGTTCATTTTGTTCTTTGCGTAGTAAACTAGTCTGAGCCGACAAGGAGACAGCGGCTAGGATCCATCACGTATGAAATGAATCATTTTATACTATGATGCAGCCCCGTTCTTCCTCAGCCAACATTCAACAAACTTTTTAAATGTTTCGATTGTCACAGTTGGAGTCTTGACATACTTTGTACAGCAATGAGATCGTCGGCATTCAATGCATCACCAGTTATAGGATCCTTTCCATTCTCAGCAATATACTTGACAATCAGCCTCTTTTCATACAAATGGCCAGATTTAGTTACAACAGGGTCGTCTGGCACTTCTCCAGAAACTGAATATATGGACAAAGTAGGTAAGTTTTTAGATACATTTAATATTGCTGCAGGCTGGCTTACGCTGGCAAAACATGACTGAACAAAACAAGCTGTGTCTTCTGGATTTTGGCAGGATGACAGAGACAACATCGGTAGTAGTTGGCGTGACAGAGAATTGATTTTATTGACATAATTTTATTAATTTCAATCTAGGTATTTGAGATCCACGTAAATGGCTCTCAGGTTCTCAGATCACGAACTGCACTTTTAATTAAAAAAAATCGCAGCAGGAAGGTCGAACTTGGTGGAAGACAATCTCAAGCTCACGGAAAGAGATCGCTAGTGGACAAATGACCGAATGATCGCAGATACGACGAGGATTCCTCTCCCCTTTCAAAAGTCCTCACTTAAGGCCCTCACGCCTAGGACACGTTGTGAATTCGAGACCGATTTGCCGCATACCCAACCTCATATGGCTATTGCTGCCGAAGCTGGTGACCTAAGGAGGCGTATCCTCACGAACTTGCCGGCTCACCAACAGGTTCAACCGTCATCCCCAAGACATTCGACAGAGGAAACGCAAGATGTCGAGGATCCACCATCAAACAATGTGGACGACGACCAAGAATTTGTATCCACAAATCCGATATGGAGAAAGATTCTCGATTGTCCAGACTGGCAGCAGGCACCAACTTCAACAGCAATCCAACAACAGAATTCATCACTAGCACCGCCGCCACCAGAACCAACTAGGACGAATAGAATGTCCAGATCAAAACGAGCTCCTTCATACCCAAAAGCAGTCGAGATGCCTCCACCACCTCAAACGCGTCGAAAACAAACATACCTCGAAAAGTTTATTGAACGACAGTCCTCCTCTATATCCGATCAAAGCAATACAGTACCTGCTACCACAAGAGTAACTCCCGATCTGCCATCTTTCGAGCCATTGCCATCACCAGAACCTCAGCAGTATTACGTGCCACCACCACCAATGATATTGCCAACATACATGATGGGACCTCCAATAATACCCATGATGGCTCCTCCGCCTGTTATACCTCCCATTTCATACCCTCAAATATCTTACAGTGCTCCACCGCGACAGTCACAACAGCTATATTCAAATTCAGCTCTTCCGCCTCCTTCTGCCACACATCGCCAACGGCAAGGATGGGATGTACCTAGTAGACCACCTTCACTACCACCACTAAGAATGCGAGATGAGAAAGTAGAAAAGCTGGGTACATTAGGCCCTGATCGGTGGAATGAACGACATCTTTCCAAGGTAATATGCAATCGGTGCAGATGTGTTTTGAACAGCCCTTAACTTACTTTATCAAACTCTTAGCTGCGCAAAGCAACGGAACTGAAGCAGTACGCTCATAATATACGGCAGCAAAACGCTGTAACTTATGCTTCCTCCCGACAATCACTATCAAGAGCAACACCAGACTCGTCAACTTTATCATGCAATCGTTTGGACTCTAGACCCAGTTTGAAGAACACCGCAGCCGCGCCAGTAGTCGTTGTCAATGGTCCAAGTATTGAACAAGTTCGTAGAAAGATGGAGATAAGGCTCAAGGTAAGTTGTTACTTTTAGTCAAAGGTCGGCAAGTATTCTCACAATCTGTCCTTTTAGGTGAAGGAGTACGCAGCGAACGTTCCAAAACCATCTCAGCAGTCGAGCACTGTATTGCCACCTATTTCCTTAGTGACGAAACGCGGCACTGACTCCAAACCGTCGAAACGTGTAGTCAGACCATGGTCGTCCACAGATGGCGAGCTACAAGACCTCATCAAAGAACATGAAAGGAATGTCGCCGTTGTAGATAGATTGAGAAAGGAGTTACGCTTATAGCAAAGTTAATATATATTTCTAGGAGTATGAACTTGTTTTACGCGTTTGAAAGGATCAATCAGTCGCCAATAGAATGCTATTTGCAATAACACTTGCCAGTGCTCATTTTAGGCGCATTTTCCATGTTCTTTAAAGACACATGACACGCGCTCTTGCCTTTCGTCCATTCATCCAAATAAAACATCTGTATCAACTGATTCAGTAGAAGAAATAGCACGCAGGCGAGTTCGAATCGTCGGCATCTGCCACTAATAGTCATATAATTTATATAACCCCACAGATCTACTCTCTAACTGCCTAGAACTATTGGAACTATTCAATCAAAAAAAGTGAGTTTTGTTGAAAAGTGTTTGAACGAGTAAAGACTGGAGGATGGACAATCAACACATTCGAAGACGTTCAATTCATATCAATAAAAGCATCCAATCTCACATCCATCCTCCCCTCCTAGTGGTATCATTTAAACTCTTCCAACACGGTCTCCTATATTTCACAACATACGGGTCCGCCTTCCTGCCCGCCGTAAAGCACGCAACAGATCTCTACTTTGCTAAATTTGAACTAGGAGTAAACTGTACGAGTCCCGGTCCAATCGCCAATGCAATGTGCTGGGAGGACCTAGCATTCACGACATCAACTGCATCACTATCTACCGAAGCTGGAGCAGCAAATCTAGCTGCATTAGCAGCAGCAATCGCTATATTGCTACACACTATCTTAGCATTATTTTATATGACCTGTCAATGCCGTGGTAAAAGCGAGGAATTCTTGATTGGTGCTGAAGAGGGGTGTTGTGGTGCTGCATCGTGTTTGATGGCATGTGCTACGAATGATGCTGAGGCTGGGACGTCGGCGTTGGAAGCTAGTGCTTGGATGAGGTTTATTCGTATTGTAACTGCTGCTTTGAACTTTATCGTGGTTGTGGCTTGCTGTGCTGGTGTATATGTCTGTATCAAGGCTCTTGCGCCGATTCCATACCATACTTCCACGGTCGTGTATCTGCCTCCTCTATTCTTGGGTCTAGAAATGATGTTTTGGAATATTAACGAGGCGTTAAAGTCGGGCTGGCTTGTCCCAGCTGTTGCCGTAGTATAAGGGGTATATCGTAGTGAACTGTGACTTAGATGTGGTGGCTGGTAGTGTGTATACTTATGTAGAATAGGGAATTTATAAGGAAATAGGGAAATATTGGAGGAGAGATGTTGGATCCTAGATTACTTAATAAACTGAGACGGGCTTTAATGCTGGGGATTTATATCGAGATAACGTAAACAATAGAATCAAGTTTCAAATAATTACGAGGTTCTAACTTGATGTATATTCGAATTCAATTCTGGTCAAGAAAATTCCATGCTGTCAATTGCAGACCACATCATGGGCAGCATCCATGCGTGTAAAAATAGTCGATTCCTCTCTTATAACTCTAAAGTGAATCCTGTAGTCAAGTTGAATGCTCATTTTGCGGCAGTCAAACATTCGTATTGTTGGGATGTGGGAACTGTTATCAAGAGGGAGTGTCGATGATGCATTCCAACAAATCATGCGATACGTCACGTAAAATGTGTTGCAAATGTCGTCGTTAACTGTCTGTCAGTGATTGACGTTACGATGCATGCAAACAGCAGCAACAGTCCGGAAGAAGAAGAACACAGGATCATATCTATGATGGTAAGATTGAAACGTAACAGGTTTTGCAAGTACAAAAAGTAGAATAAAAAGAATAAAAAGCCCATACGGATCTTCGTGGC